AAGCCTGCTCCTGCCTCGTAATGTGAGTGTATGTCTCTAGCTAGAAAAGCACGCAGGCTGCAAGCATCAGAGGGAGGAGAGGAAAGTGGAGGGGAACGAGGAAGAGTAGAGGTCATTAGCATATTCCTCCCTTCCTTGCAAACGAGGACCAACCGCTATACAAATGTCACGAAATCCATACACCAATGAACACAAGAGAAAAATGATTCTCCGAGTAGATATTCTGACAGATGGATACAGTAGATGGCTATCTCCAAGTCCAAAGAAACTTCCTGAATGATGGTCTTTCTTTGACAGCAAGGCTAATCATTCAAGAAACTCAGGGCTGAAGGCAGACAGGTCAGAGGATGGTTAGGCAAAGGGCTAAAGGTCAAAAGTTCACACACTGGTCAGACATTGTGGCCAATGGAAGAGCCCCTAAACTAACCTAATGTAGCTACAATCTTATTAGGAAAAGTAATGCAATATCAACTGATATATTAAACTGCAGGTAATGGTGTTTAAATCTAAGGTGTGATTTGAGAAACCCTAAAGATTTCAGAAGTAACACCAGTAACTTACAAATAAAATAAAATTACTATATTCCAGTGATTTGCTGGGAGCTTTAATAATTTTGATACAAAAAATATAGGTTCTTTGCATTCAAATGATAAATAAATTGTGTTTTATATACATAAACATAATGCTCAAATTGAATGGCAAACAGTTAATATTCACAATTTGTAGAAATGTTATTACAATAAAAAATGTCACTTACAATGTGTTTAGAAAAATATGCCACCCAAATCGGTGTAATTTATGCAAACTTTAAGATTCATAAAGAAGCCCCTGGGGGTGTAAAACAAATATAAAGATTAAGAAAAGACATCAAGCCTTCTGCATTGAAGCTGATCCTACAGAACTGTGTCATCACAGCAGCATCCTGATAAACATGGCGGGGCTCCCAGCGGTGCTCTCCAATCAAAGAAAAACAAACAGCCCATTTTGACTTGGTAAACTTGACCCGCAAACAGCAGGAAGGGGCTAAAAGCGCCACATCTCCAGCTGTCTCCAGAGGTTGGCTTGTGTTGTTGCAAATGTGTAAGTATGTGTGTAATACGATTATAGACAGCAGAAAGACAATTATGTCAATACCACTCTCCATGATTGTAAAACATGTTAAATCCAAGAGGTATGTAAACAGGATTTTGTCTGTCTGCCTGAGCTGCACATCCAGGGAGAGAGTGGGAGAAGAGGCTGAGGCGCGGTCAGGTCACCAGAGCGGTCGGAGGGTGAAACTCAGTTCACATTACCATGCAGACACCCAGGCTAACAATGGAGGCTCCATCTGTTCACGTCGCCCATTACAAATCTGGTGTCACCCAGTGCGCCGAAGACAACAGGCCACCGCATCTAATCAAGCGGCTCTGGCTCCTCCTGTGTAAAAGCAGCCATCGACTGCACACTCACTCACTCTCTGGTTAGGAACAGAGCGCAGCACAGGCAGCCAGTCAATTACCATGGATAATACATTCACAGAGTCACAAAGTCTCTATTGTACTGTACACTCAAATAAAATGATACAATTAGACCAGGCTAAGAATATATATCCTACCTTTTCCAACAGCCAAGTGCTTTAGTGTAAATCACAAAATGATCGTTATTTTTCACAACAAAGGTAATCTGCTGATTTCTGCAACAAGCGACAACGAAAACTGAATAAATCCTAAGCTCCATTGATAACTGTTCATTGGCAAAAGCCTTGATTTCATTAAGTTCTGTGTCCATTATTCTGGCCAAACACTCCCAACTGAAAGTGTGAACCATTTCTTTCATCTGGCAGTGAACAGCAAATGAACTCTGAACTCCACATGCCCTTAGCGAGGACACAGGCCATTCACCGCTACGCTAACATGGACACATTCCCCAACAATAAAGATATGTGGTACACAGATGGTTTGTAACAACTATACTATTTGTATGTCTGTGTTGAATTTATGGATAAAAAAGACAAATAATCTAAAAATATTATAAGTGAGTACGCAGTAACAGTTTCTCTGTATTTTTTCATATCATTATCACTTAATGACAATTAACTTTAAAAATTAATTGACATTGTCCACTTTGCTTGTATATAATGGATGACAATAATTTGAGTTTTTCAAGTAAGAATTTTAAACAATTTTAATAGTGATTTTTTATGTAATACATTCATTTTAAGAATAGACGTATGGGAAATTTTACTGTTATTTTAGCATTATTCTATTTCCACTGTAATGTCTAACTTAAGTCAGAACTTAAAATTAAAAATACCCTCCTTTGTTTTCAAACATCAAGAGAGATTCCTATGGTATATTCAACTTGAGAATTCATTTTGGTCATCACCCCATCAGTGGTTTACAAATACAAATGTTCTAATTTATCTATAAGCCAAAAAGTGCAATTAAGCGGGGATCATTTTGATGTTGAAGGAAATGCTAATAAAAGAAAAAAGAGGATTCTAATGTTGGCGGATAATTGGCTATTTCTCACAGTTAACACAAACTATGACACACTACAATACTTCAACCCCCAAAATCATTATATTATTGGGTAACAGAAGGTACTGGGGCATTTTGTCACTCGAGGCTAAAGAGAAATTTGTAAACATTTTATAGAATAATTTTGTTTGCTCCCCAATGGAATCCTGCCTTGTTTATTGTAAAATGAACTAATTCAAAAAAACAAATAACAGTTGTCTAGTGGTCTATCTTTCCACCATCTGCTGTGATTATTTCTGTCGCTTTTACCACAGCTGAAAAGTGACTGTTGCTACTCTTCAGTGGGCAAAGGACCGCGAAAGTCCATTAAGCCATTTTCAAATAAAAGGATAATTTCTGACAACATCCAGCTGGCATTTACGACAGACTTCACATTATCACTGCAAAGAGTGACAACATTTTCAATGTTGATATGAACATCTCACATATATTTTTGTCTTTGTGGTCTTTTGTTGTCTTGCATATAGCTAAGAAATACATTTGTGTTACTATATTTCTATAGTTTAAATTTTTACTTACATCTACATTTATATAATTATGCCTTATTTGATACCAGTCTCTTGGTATTTATGCTACTTATTTTTAATTTATTATTACCATTTATATTTTTGTTCTTTGTTATTATATTGTGATGTGTGAGTGACTCTGTCCAAATCATTTCCCTTGTGGATCAATAAAGTTTGTCTAAGTCTAAGTCTAAGTCTTTGCAGGCGTGATAAGTGTCAAAAAGGATCGCTAGGACAAACCTTGGCATCTGAGGGCACCCAAGTTGATAATGCCCACCTGCGGCATGTCATGTTATGGGCTATTAACTGGCGCATAGTGTCCGTGATACAAAAAAGGCTAAACGGGAGGGAGGGCGAGTGCGCAAAGGGAAGATAGAGATTGATACAGAAAGAGAGGGATGTAACGCACATGGCCCCTCAGGTACAGTGTTGTATTTCAAACCCGGTTGTGAAAGAATAGGGGGCTCAGGGTCAATCTATCACTGCATTAGCCTGCAGCTACAAAGCTTCCTTACTGTGTGGGCTGCCTCCATGCCTCCCACAATCTCCCAGCTCCAAGAATAAAAGAAACAGGATCAAGACGTGAACTAGCCACTGGAGGGCGCTCTAGGTCACAATTCCGGGCTTGGTAAACTTCAATGTATCCAGCAGTATCATAGAAACATACCTGCATTGAGAGTGTAACAGACAACAGGGAGGAGCTATGGATGTGATGCAAAACAAGGGCAAAGCAAGAGGCTGTAAAGTTAGGCAGATGACAATGGTATTTTTGTGTTAGATTGAATAAGTTTATTCGGAAATTTCTGCTAGAAAACTTAACTGAATAGCTCTTTGTTTAATTGTGGGTACCACTGGGAAACTAAAACTGTGTTAATATAATGCTTAATAATAATTTGTTTAAAGGGCCCTTTGTTTGTCTATGTTATAATGTTTCCTCATCAAAAACATATCTGAAGTTGTGTTTATTCCATTCAAACATGTTTATATACAATCCCTGCAAATTTTGTTTAGTTTTTCTCTCAAACTGAAAACACTCTGTTCTACCTTGTGATGTCATGTGGTATACAGGAGGTGCTCCACCATACACCTTCACTAGAATCATTTAACAGTTTCAGCCCTGGAATTGCCTCTTTCTATTGAACAGAAGGTAATAGGTAGCTGTCAACTTGAAAACTACATGACTTCACAAGGTTGAACAGGATTTTGAGCTTTGAGGATGTAGACAGACTAACGATGCAGGCTTACTCAAACATGTGTGAATAAAACAACTCCAGATATATTTTTCAGGAGGTAACAACATTGTAGCATGGCTTAAAGCTCACCATTTTGTGCATTATAGGACCTTTAATACAATCTATATAATATTAAAGATGGAAATGTAAAGTCCTTTGTCCTTCCTATAACCGTAACTATACATAGAAAGATAATACTCTTCAAGTGTTCATGTATGACATTGATTGACAGCCATCTATTTAACTGTCTAAGCTACATCCCTTCTCTTTTGTCCATTTACTTACTGTATATATCCTGGCACTTAGCGGGCTAAAAATTGCTACAACGGCCATAATATTCTACAGGAAAGAACCAGGAAGTGAGCCAAAAATGAATGAGGGACTTGTCTATCTATCTGCTTACAGTATGTCTATGGATATGGTCTATCTATGTTGGCTCAGCTAACTGTCAGAAGTAACACCTGGTTTAGATTTAAAATATACAGCATGTGTGTAACTGTTGAGCTGTAATTGAAAGATCAGAGCCACAGAGATTACCAACATACAACTGCTTTCATTTTTAAAACTGATGTCGCATTGAAATTCCCATCAGTGCTGCTTTGCCACTCTTGCACACTCAAACAAAATTAGCCGTTTTCAGCTACGATCTCTGCATTGCGCAACTGCCGCAGACACATTAACACACCCTAACACACACTCATTCACACACACATATACAGTACTTAGGCCTTTTGTTGACTTACACTCTTGGGCTCGATCATCCTGGTAATCAGACGCAATTGAAGCTTCGTCGGAGGGAACAGAGCGGCCAAGACTGGATCTGCGGTTGTCATCGGAAACGTCTTCCTGCGGCGATTCTGATAAAGAGATAAAGCAAAAAGTCATGGCAATACATGAGACGATACATAAACACACATATAATTGTTATTGTTATGGCTATGCTGATACTAGGAAAGTGAAAAAAAAAATCAATAACCAGATATTAATTGAGATACATACGACTAAATACTAGATACTACTACTGATGATGAAGAAAACATAAATAGGACAAACTTGGAAATTTTAGGATGATTGTGATCTTCAGCAGAAGCACCATTAGGTAATTGTAAAAGCAGCACTTTTGTTAAAATCAGACCACTGCATACTATATTTAATTGTAAAACATTTTATTGATGAATGATAATGCAAACTCCTATGAAAATGTGAGCCACTCTATGAAGCTTTGGGGTGAGAGCTGATTGGCTGTGGAGAGGAGGTCCACGCAGCTTCACATCTCTACTAGTGATTTGCCAAAGGGTTTGTGAGAGCGAGAAATGAACTGGATAGATTTAAATATCTACTTCCCCCTCTCATGGTTTCAAAATCACGTACCTCAGCTTTCAAACAATTACCATTATTAGGTGTTGAAAATTACACTGTTTATTGTTTTTATTATCATTATATCAAAATGTCATGATAACAAATTTTGAAACATGACATACTGCTACAGAAAAATTGCAAAGAAACACACACACGCAATAAATATTTAGCCTAAAAATATATTCTTCCAGCTTTCATATACTGAATGATAAGTTGATACAGTAATTATCATGACATGCCTAGTATTAAGTCTTTTCCTTCATATTGAAATTAACGTAGCAACACTAGTGTGGTAAGAATGTAACACAACTTACCATTATTCAAAAAATCTAACTCCAGAGGATGTCTGTAAACACAGAGAAAACAATAGTATCTTTAAAGATTTTGTGCTGTTAAAAGTTTTCAAGCATTTGTTTCCTGCACTGGAAAACCACAAAACCACAGCTCACCCCAAAAGAGAATGGTTGAGTTGCCATGTAACAAACACTACAACAGTAAGAATTGGTTTCTGTTGTAAATGAAGTATTAATTATCCTATTAGAAATGTATTCTTTAATATTATTTGAAGTCCAACAAATTAAAAAGCAGTTATTTTGCCATGTTTAAGAACTAGAGTTTGGATAATGACACTAACACTAACTGATTGTAAAGGGAAATTACATCTTACCGTTTATGCACAACACCGAAGTTATTTAACAGAACTCTACGAGTCTGTTCTATTTCTGTACTCAGTGTTCCATCCTCAAGGACATCATTTATAAAGTAATGACAGTCTATGGACAAAATAAAGACAACAAACAAATATAAGAAAATAAAACAGTGCAATTTTATAGAGCTGATGTAAACTTTTACATTTTCCATCACACAACCCTAGCTAGAGCAATCGGGCTCCTGAAACATATGAGAATAGTATGCTGTAAGGGATAAAGTGGTGATTTATGGCGTGTGTTACAAAACTGTCAGTGAGGTAGACCTTGAGTTTGGTAGAAGAAAGTTCATTCGTCAAAAAGTACTTATGATTTAGACTTGGGACATTGCATTATCTATCATGTCATCTTAGCAAAGTTACATCTAAAAGTTTGCAAATGTGAAACAGGTTGGGCCACATCACAAATTTGATTCTTTGTGTTTTCAAATGTTGAGCATCATGCAAATCTTCCAGTTCCTTTTAAGCTGACACTCTATGCAAAGTTATGCTACAGCCAGTGACTATGAATAGTGTGAACTTGTATTGGCCATTTAACTCTATTTTTAATACATTTTTTTATCCAATAAGCCTATTACAAGATGAAGTGAGAACCAAAATGTATTTACTAAACATTTCTAACTGAAAAAAAAGAAGGGACGTTACCCATTAAAAGTCTTCGAATGTCATTGGAGATTGTCCCCATTCTTGGCTTTCACCTGGCCTGCTCAGTTGTCTTCTCAGATTTTTGTCCTCCCCCTCACCCTCTTTAGTAAAATTAACTCCTGTTATATTGTAAGCTACACTCTACCACATATTAACTGCTCACTGGGTGAAACTAGAGAAAGGCAAATTCACAGTTACAAAGTCAGGCAAAGCATCTCACCATCTGTCCTTTTGTTCTGAAACTCAACTTCCGTGCATGAATCATGATTTGCACAAAATGGGGAGGAGCAGGTGCAAAGATGCTCACTTCCTCTGTATGCACTTTGCTTCTCAGTGGTTTGACCTGAACAAGGTTTGTAGGATATGAGTCAGAAATGTGTTTAGTAGAATTTCTTGAGAAAGTATCAAGTATCAATGCATATGTTTTAAAATTAAATGATATCTACCATCCTCTGCTGCAATGCCAGGCTGAACATCTCCTTGAGTTTCTGTAAATAGAACAGACAAGAAATGTTATTATGAGCTTGTGGATATGAATTTTACAGGACAGGTTAAGTCAAAGCTAGATTAATTGCAAATAATTGATCAATTTATTACAATTAACTCATAAAATGCAATAACTTCTTCGTTGGATATTATGAGTATTGATCTGCCAAACATGTCATGTCTTGGGGTATGTCTTCTGTCACTGATCATGAAATACAGCCTCTGACAAACATCAGGAGCAGCCAGTTAGCTTAAAGTTAGCTTTTGGTGGCGTTAGCAGTGAATGCAGCGTTAAAAAGTAAGTTACCAGAAATAGTTACCAATTAAAGTGGTAATATTGTACGTTAGTCTTTTAAATGAAATAAATGAATAGTAATTATAAAATACGTCACCGAAAGAAAGTTTCAGAGTCACGTGTGAAGGTAACAGCTAATTTACACTTTCAGGGACACTGCACAACTTCAGACTACTATCGAGCCCACCGCACGCAGAAGATTTGATTAAACAAATGTAGTGTAACCGGTTTGTCTTAGTACGTAGACATATTTATTTTAGTACGACTTCACGGTAAATGTAAATGTTTGTGTGATTAATTGAAATTCGCTTCCGTTTCTAATCGTACCTGAACGCAGCAGCGCTTGTAGTAAGTCATTTCAGGTATCACAATTTGGCAGTTTTCTATTTTAAGATTTATTGTGTGACGTGTATTGTTTGTTTTGTTAGTTTACCAGTGACCCAAATTGCCACAAGCATTTTAATAATGAGTTGGTAGGTTTTAATAAATGGCCTTGTGGGGACTAAATGCACTAACCATATTGATTTTGTATATCAATGATACTGCAGGTGAAGCTATCAAGAAAACAAGGGTCAATCACTTCAGAGACTGGTAACATTGACAGAATAGTCTGAAAATATAAATCAACAGTGTCACAGTTTATAATGCAGAGATTGTTCGATAACTTGACTGATAGGCCTATAGTAGTACAAAAATCTGCAGTTGTAGGTTGTAGTGTAGGTCTATACACTTTCTTTAACATATCAAATTATATTATTCAGCAGAACTATAAATTTGCTTAGAACTGTTTACATTATCTATTGATCTACATAATTATTGACACAACTTTTCAGTCTAATTTTTACTCCTCAGTTTTCTTTTTTTGCTGTCTTTGCAACTGTATTTCATCTGATTCTTCCTCTGTCACCTCTCTACAGGAAGCCAGAGGTCAGAGCAAGTTGAGTCCCATGTCACGATTGTCCCCACGCTGACCTGTCCCTGACTGGCCTCCCAGCAAAAAGCCCCTGTGAAGGTAAGAGGAACTGGGGTCCCCTCCCCTGGAAAAGAGGTTCCCTCCCCTTGACAGCTCTACAGAGCTTGGGCCACCTGCCTGCTGGGCCCGCCCCATATGAAAAGGGAAGCTCTTTGTAATCCGACGGGGATTACACCACCCAACAATGCGCCGCTGAAAGAGCGACAAAAGCCCTGTATCAAACGCTGCTGAGGGGGAGCAAGGCTATGATCTCCCGCTACTACCAACACTGACTCTTGGGCCACCTCTCATCTCCCTGAGAGCCTCTCCCCCCTTTAGCATTCAGGGCCTGTGTCCTCCTTCTGCCCTCTCATCTCTAGGATCTGGCCTTTTATCAGCGCATTCCTTTTCATTTGCATTGCAGTGTGGGGAGGGCCAGCAGGTCTCTCTGATCTGATAGAGCCAAGAGAGAGTCAAGAGGATCCTGAGGGTACGAAGGGTGTGTGTGTTTGTGTGTATCTGACCCACACAACACTGCATTCTCCAGATAGGCCCCACTGTCCATACCATTGTCCACACCAGTCTTTCAGGCTGCTGGAGTGTGTGTCCTTCTCAAATAAGTGCATGAGGAAATGAGGTGCTCAACATGCTTTAAAAGATGCCAGTGCCAGATATCTTTAAATTACTTTCAAAGGTCCTATATTACGCAAATTGACTTGTGATGTTTTTATCTCTTCAAAAACATACCTTGTGTTTTGTTTCTTGCCCACATGTTTGAGTAATCCTGCATTACAAGGCTGTTTACATACTGCTCTGTTGTACCTCGTGATGTCATGAAGCAGTTGTTTTCAAGTTAACAGCTATCTTTGATCTTTTGTTCAGCAGAGACCGGAAATTCCACTGCTAACATTATGCAAAAGTTTCAAGTGAAGGTGTATGGAGTTTAAAAACTGTAGAGCTTTTCCTGTATTATCACATGACATCACAAGGGAGAACAGAGTGAACTCAGCCTAAATATCCAGGGTTTGTGCGCTAAGCATGTACGAATGAAACAAAACGCAACTCTGGTCATGTTTTTGATGAGGAAACAACATTATAACATAGATCAGAAAATAGGTAATATTCAAAATATCCAAATTAAATGTACTTATTAAACTGTGGTTCATGTGTTGTGCCACTCATGCTAGCTTTTTCAATAGCTATATACATTTACATTAACAAGCAACCTCATTTTAATTTCCACCAGCTGCTGTGTGACCTCTGTATGTTAGTGCTGCTGATAAGGAGCTGTTTGTCCTGGTTCTTTAGGATTTGTTGTTCAAGGAAATAGAAATAGGTCGTTTACGTTTAGGATTTTCCTCAGTTTCATTGTATTCACAACCCTGAGCTCAAACATGTCCATGTAGGTGGCTCAAGTATCTAAGGCGAGATGTATAATGTCTGTAAATTGTTATTGGTTGTATGGCCACTGTATTCCACTGAAAAAAATAAGCTTAGTGTAACTAAGCTTATTTAGTATATACTGTATCTTCAAAAGCAACCCCCTCTCTGTAGCATGTCTGTATTATCGTAGTATGTTTTTAGACAAGAACTTCTAACGTTAGTAATTCACAAGGGGACATAGCAAAAGCAAATACATTTTTTTTTTAAAAGCAGGTCTGCCACCTGTGTGTCTACATGGAAATTTATTGTTTTGTCTAGAATGTCCCATAGTATAGATTAAACCTATCTATCATGAGGCAGACATACAGGTTACAGGACTACGCTACATTACAATTCAGATCTGTGGAGAGTAGCCCCATTTCACAGAAGGAATAAATGTATTTTTGGACAATAGAAACACCCTTAATGAATACATGCTAGATGTATATGTTTAAAGTCATACCATGGAACATTCCAGGCAAAGCAATAACATTTCCATGGAGACAAGTAGGTAATGGACCCTCCACCAGAAAAGTTGAACAGTGCACCTTTACTGTTTTAGTAATGAAGAGTAACACAACAAAGAAGTTGGTTTTGTGGTTTCACACTTTCTCTATTTTACTTCTAAAATAATATCCGGTGATAAAATAGCCTCCAACTTACTAGATATTAAGTCTTTCAGGCCAATGCGTCAAAGCCCTTATAGTAGAATCAGCATCAGCCTTGAGAGCAGTGAATAGAAAACCATTGAAATAGTTATTATTCTGGGATATATGAGCCATTTCAAAATATTAATTCAGCTTTATTTAAGGTGTCTTGTTAAGAATTGCAGTTATGTGGACTCGACTGAGTGATGGCATACCTCTATTATACATGATATATGAGTGAAAGAGAGGGACCTATATTTCATTACAGAGACTTTGTCCCTAGAGGCAGTTGTTAAAGAAGAATCTATGAATTATCTCATATAGGAACAACTGGCCCTTGTCACGAGCAGATGAGCGCAAAGGGAGCACAGCAGTATTGAAGAAGGATACAGAAGACTGGGAGGAAGGAGAGGGAGAGGTGAGAGATATATTGTCTACAAGATAATAGCAAAATCGTTGTTGAATGTAATGTTGAAATTAGAATATCAAATGTATTGTCTTAATGAGAAAGCTGCGAAATATTGAAAAAACATCCTACTGTGTCTTTACAGTTCACTTTTTTGCATTATATGAACTTAAACCAAAACATTTACAGACACATTTGATCACAATTCTGATTTCAAATTTGGGATTTTATCATTGTTACACTTAGGCTAATTTTATTGATCAACAGAACAAAACAAAACAAAAATACTTGGAGACAGTAGCTCACACATTACAGTGTAATAACAAAAAGCACCAAATAAATTATGAATGATAACTTTTAAAATAATTAAAGAAGCAAAAATAGCTTGTGTCCAATAAGGTACAATTGTATAGATTTGTATATGTACAAGTAGAATAAAATATAGTAAATGTAAAATATAGCTAGACTATGTTGGAGAGATGAGATAAGGACATACAGTGTACAGATAAAAATGGTGGTTTTTACATAACATCAGGTTGTCTGTAATCAAAGGGTAAGTTGTTGCACAGTTGTTTGCAGTATGCTATAGTTATTGTAAGGATGAAGATATTTCCCATTTGTAAATATACACTCTAACGATCTAGTGAGGATAAAAGATCAATGAATAGAGAAACAGTGATGGTATTGATAGAGAAGAGAGATAGAGAAAAGCTTGGCGTACAGTATATGTGTCTGCCTTGTGCCTTGTATGCACACTCTCTCGCTGTCCAGTTAATTGGAATACAAAGCAGTGAAGGGGTCGATGGGCGAGCGTGGAGGAGGGTGGGGGGCTGCTGTCTGTCTCTCGCTCAACCTTCACTGCTCGCTGGGAATTGACTGGGAAACCAGCAAGCGAGACCGACACACTGTCACTGTTAAAATGAACTGTCACCTTGCATTTCTCAAGCCCCTGGCACCATCGAATTGGCCGCTTTGAACCATGTGACGTGACACTGATTGAGTTCTGGTTTTCCCCTCCTGGGCTCTGAGCAATGGGCAGCTTTAATTTCAAGTGTACAGGCTTCCCATGCAAAATGTTGAGCTGTGGTGAATTAGCAAAAGAAAGACGAAAATATTTAGCTGTTTTCCCAAAAAGCAAATTTCTCAAAGCAAGCGTGGATTATTCTCCCTCACCACCCCTCATTATTTCATCGTGCTGCTTCGTTACTCTGCCTCTCAGCTGCTCGTGTTTTTCTTACGGCATATAGTCATGGTGTTCTGACAGCGACGCGGAAGAGGAAAACTATTAGGGGTAGCCATTTGGATCCTGGAGGCAATCCCAGGGAGTATTAAGACGTTAACCCTGGCCAAGTCACTTGTCTTTCTCAGTTACTATGCTGATGGAGTGGGGAAAGGATGCGGGCGCGAGGGACCCAAGAGGCTGCTGCTGCTCTGCTTCTGGGGCTTCAGGTTGGCGGTGCTTCCAGATCCAATCGAGCCTGACCCATGGAGGGGGGATGGTTGTCAGAAATTGCCCAGCCTTGGCTAAAAAGAGCCACAACAAAGAGGGAAGATAATGGAAATTCACATTCATAACCTGGCAGCATCGCCCAACAGGCTTTAGTTAAAGTTGTTTACATTAAAGTGATGATAAAATCAAAATGATTCTACTCTAATGGGTTAAGTGTTTAACAAGTGCAGCTTTTAAAATTGTTTAAATGATAGTTGTCTGTCCACAGGGTACAGCAAGTTATACAAATGGCTGTTCACTGAAAACGAGCATCTATTGTGTCTGTATTGATTAATTTATTGCAGTTTTACAAATCAAATTCAACCCCTCACTTATAACCAGTAAGATAAAGTATGCATTATTAATTATGAACTCAATCTTCAATCCTCAATACAAATCATTTACTAATTGTCATTTACATAGATTATCTTCAAAAAATATTTCTTGTTGTTGTTCATCCATAGAATCCTATAGTAAATCTTCCTAGATAGTTTGACGTCAGCGTCACTGCTAAAACTATGTAACTGTATTATAGTAATAACTCATAAACCTACATCTGTGCTTTATTATTATACAGAAAATATAACCACATCTGTTCCATTTTTCAGACAACCAACCCCCTTTAACCCATGAATACTGTATCAAGATGGTCTTTGAAGCTGTGGGACCCTGTGGAGTGACATGCCACAGAGGAACTGGTAAAAAACCAAGGAAGTGAGCCTGGCAATAGACTTGTAAAAGAGCCTGCAACAACTGCAAGCAGCATGGGGTACAAACTGGACTGGGTTGACCTCAAACAAAGTGCAGAAGGGGGCAGGACAGCTTGAGATGTGAAGATAACAGAGGTGAAAGAGGCTGAATGTAGTGTCTTATATTACGCAGGGAGATACAGATAAGCCCAAGATTATTCCTATGGGGGAGTAATTTTAAAGGTGCACCATGTAACTTCTCTAGAGGAGATATGCTGCTCGACTGTCTCCATGGAGATGTTATGTGTATTTATTTTATTGCACAAAAATACCTTTAAAAAACAGGAAATCTTGCTGTCAGCACTGTTGCCTCTCCACAAATATGACCTCGAAGTGCCCCCTGCTTGTTTCCATGGAGATCGTCAGATAAGTTTAATGTCATATTGTGGTACATTCAAGGCAAAGCAATAACATCTTCATATAACACATTCAAAACGATATCAAAATAATGTAAAGGCTCTTTTTAGACAATAACATTTCATCTTTAACTTACATGGTAACCACATGCTCTTATACTAGTAACAAGGAGAAATAGGACATATCTGATCTAGGATTTTTTTTTTCTCTATCAATATGTGTTCAAATGAGAATCCATTTTTGATACTATTTGTATTATCAATTAGTATCTGGCTGGGTCTAGCTGGAACTCATCCATCAACTACATGAAAATATGCAGTCATGAACTAAGGCAGATAACAGTAATATATATAAAATCAAAGTATTGGATAAAAATGAACCTTAAATCTAACTTTTTATCTAGAATATTGAAATATACTAACAAAGAATTTTATTTCAATTATTAACACCAACCAAAAGGCCCTTAACTTTATTTAAGAAGTACCTGCTAACCTCTCAAGTAGGAGACCCAGTGTGGACTTCAACTATATGAAAATATACAGTACAATTCAAAATTTGCCCTGGAGTATGAGAGATTTTGCGCTCATGTTTTCACAGTCACTTACACAATGTTCTCACTGTACCAAAGATGATTGTTTTGTGCTCATTGTAACATTAAACAAACCTGTGCGTGACCTACATTTCTCCCACAGAAAGCCATGGGCGCAGTGCTAATCCAAAGGTGAAAAACTGCCTCCTCCTCTCTCCTCTGCTCTGAACATCTGTCTTGACGCTGGTGTTGGCTGCAGCCTGGGCTTTGACACTTCCAGATGGAGAGCCCACTGGGAGCACTGAGGTATTACCTACAGAGATGGCAGGGATCACACCTCCAGAATGAAGTCCCACGCTTGTTTTCTGCACCAGGCTATGCTTTTGTTGTTGAATCTGTCACCCTTCACCATATCGATTGTCACGTCTCCAGTCCTTGGCCTTGCAACTTGTGTTAGTGTTTGGCTTTTGTGGAGAATCGCAGACACCAGCAGCAAGTCCCTGCAACCTTTTTTTCAATTTACAGCAATGTGCTATGTGGTATTTCAACTGTAACTTCTGCTCATGGGGTTGTCTTAATTTTCAATATAGTTGTGAAAGAAGTGCTTATAAATGTGTTACTTACTTCCATTGTCAAGAAATATGTTTTAAGACTATTAAATCGTAACTCATTTCAAATTAGATCAATGATTATAACTGTATTCTTTAGGGTATTGCTGAGGTGTATTCATTTAAAGGGCCCATATTACACTATTTTCTGATCTATGTTATAATTTTGTTTCATCATCAAAAACATACCTGGAATTGTGTTTTGTTTCACTCACACATCTTTAACACACCCTGCATATTAAAGGTGAGTTCTTGTGATGTCATGTGGTAATACAGGAAGTGCAATCTCTACTGAACAAAAGGTAAAAGAAGCTGTTAACTTGAAAACTACCGCTTCATGACATTGTAAGGTAGAACAGAGCATTTTAAGTTTTGTAAATGTAGTTAGACTAATAATAAAGAGCTGAATGAATCATGAACATGAATGAAACAAAACACAACTCTAAATTTTTGATGAGGTAACAGCATTATAGCATGGCTTAAAGCTCACAAGAGTCTGTACATAGGACCTGTAAATATAGTGCCCCTTCACATATGGAAAATATTTGTCTGAAATAACATAAGACAGTGTTTATTTGTGCCAAAATGGGGTGCTGCAATATTAAGTACAAGAACATCCCAAGAATGGAAATATGCAGTCAAAAAATAAGGTTGCTAACTTTTTATCTAGACTATTAAATTAACAAATAATTGTATTCCAATTATGAACACTAACCAAAAGGCTTTTGTTGTATATTTAAAAAGTATCTGCTAACCTCTAAAGTAGGAGGCCCAGAGTGGACTTCTCAAACTCATTCTGGTGTCTTGACAGATTGGCCCTGCATTCATTTGCAGCTGAACTCTGGTTGAACCTCTTCTTTGGGAGAAGGGCACGGACAGGCCAGTGCTGCTGGGGCCCAAAGTGTGTGTTATAACCTAACACCCAGTGCAAATATTGAGACTCCTGTCCATGGTCCCATCACTTGAAACTCGGTGGTCAGGTTCCAGCAAATGTTTGGCTAAAGGTGAGGTCAGGAAAAGCACACTGGTGTTGAATGCTATTTTTAGTCTCTATATTTCAGTTTGTCTTTACATTTCAATACTTCATCTAATCATTTGTGAAGGTATGAGGACAACCTGTGTCACTCATGTCTGAGGTGAATTTGGGTAACAAATCACGGGTGAGACCTGGCTCCCTGGAGTTTGTTGTCATGTTTAGAGCCCCTGGAGGTATTTGAGGGTGAAAAGGTCACTAGGAACCACCCCATGTGTTGTGAAAGATTTCTCTTGTCACATTATGCAAGTGGACTCTACAGAGGACATCACTCAAGGAAATATTTCTGAGGACTGAAGTTTAGACTGAACTAGTTTGAAAAAGTCAATATTAGCTTTTTTTACTTTGAGTGAGACACAAGAATAAGGTTATTTAAATATTTTATTTAAAATCATGTCGACATTCATTAGAAAATACCCTGTAAATAAATAGTGCAAAACAATGACACTGACTATTTCAGTGCTTCAACACAAAACAACTAAAGAGAATATAAAAACATGTAACAATAATAGATATTTGCCTATGCAGTCGATTCACAGTATAACGCACAAACCACAGTCAGTCATACCCTGTTCATTTCAGTCCCACAGTTTTCACAGTTTGATTGGGAATGGTGTGGCTGGATAGGGAAGTTGTAGAAAATTGCTTTGGTCCCTATCCAAACACATTTTTAAAAGTGTCATTATTGTTAACAGTCTTTCCCTTTGACTTTTGGAGAGTTATCAGGGCTACTGTGTTTGTCCATTTTGGCTGAACTGTTGCCAAAAACGCATCCCGATTTCTCGCGTTTTTTCTGCTTCATTCTGCGGTTTTGGAACCATATTTTAACCTGTGTTTCGTTGAGGTCCAGGCTGGCGGCCACCTCCACTCTGCGCGCCCGGGTGAGGTATTTGTTGAAATGGAACTCCTTCTCCAGCTCAGTCAGTTGTTTAGTGGTAAAGTTGGTGCGGATCACGTTGTGCTGGCTAGGGACTCCAAACTCCGACAAGACAGCTGTGGTGAAATGAATGATGAGAAAATAAATCAACATGAACTGTGACGGAATAATGGAAACAAGTACAAAAGTTTTATCAGTTTTACGCACGGTATTTTAATGCTTTTATGTTAGTTTTAGCTTGTTGTATTAACAGTTATTAGAGGCTTACAAACCTGTTTTAGGTGGATTTCTCTTCACTTTCATCCAGTCGAAAGTTTTTGTCTCCTCAACTTCTTTCTCCTTGCACGGTACGGGAAGCCTCGTATACACGTTTTCTGCGTAATCTTGATGTCTTTGCTCCCCGTTGCTGTTGTAGTGCATGTACTGTGCACCTTGAGCGACAGTCCCACAGTTTTCTCCCGTATAAGGAGCCATGTTTGTCGCAATGGGCGACACTTGTGCGTGCATATAACCCCGGTCTTGCTCTGGTGCTAGGCCATACTGGTGATGCCCGTACTCCAGCGGTGGCCCGTACAGAGAGTTCCCCGGTGGCGTGTACTGCAGGTCCAGATTGACATGTGTTTGGTGGTGAAGAGGAGGTAAACTTGGGGTCTGATGGGGCCCCGTAGTCGCTGCAACTAAACGTCCGTCTTGTGCGTAAGTATCACTTGTTGCGCACGAGCTGGCCGTGTATCCGTGGTTCAGGTTGTGGTATCCGGCCTTGGCACTGAATAAGTTAGCGCCTCTGTTACAAACTGGGTAGTCTAGGTATGAGTTCATCTTGAAACTTCGCCTATTGTTTGCTCCGAAAATCGATCAAGGCTGAGCAGTCATTAATGGTGCTCCTTGCCCTAACCTTCTAGGTAGTATGTCAAAGCTGTAAAACTGCCTTCCACCCTCATATCACCTTCCTGACACACCATGTGACCTGCCAAAGGCCAATGGCGAGAGGCCGGGGACACTCTGTCATGTCTGTGGGCTCGTCCATCAAACGCCTCGCATTTACATGACAAACGCTTCAATCAAACTCGCTCATCCATCTGATAAGAACAAACATCAAGGCCCATTTTCGCCTTACAAGGACTTTAAAATCACATTAAAAGAGTGACAATGTGTATGTAACCAACCATAAAAAGATCATTACTATAATAATATTATGGCGAGAGGTGAGAGAGAAATCTGATCTTTAATGACATTTATCACCACAGTCGAGGAGGCCATACACCGTCAACAATCAATAAAACATTGTTTAAATCCTGGAGATAAATAATAATGTAAAACAACAAAGATTCTATTTGATTAGGTTAATGCATGTGGAAGAAATAAATACATAAAAGTATGACATAAATATTTTAGGATTATTTATTTTTATTTGATTATTATTAGTAGTGTTTTTTTTTTTTTTTTTTTTTTTTTTTTCTTTTTATAAATGTCAACTAATTTATTTTAAAATCAAGCAAAGACAAGCAGGTGGCGTAAAATGTGCACTGTGAACTAAATCTTGATTTTTAAAAATACTTTGCCACTCTAATGTGCGCTCAATACATTAACTAAAGTGGTAATTTAAAGATGTTACGTGCAGATGATTTGTTGATGCTTTGTTCAGCCATTACAAGTCATGCGCATGCATTAAAGTGTATTGGGCTATTCCTCAGAATTGATCAACTTTTGTTTTTACTTTACCACACCTGTCAATATTAATCACTATTCCTGTTTCACTATTATTAATTATTAATGCGAAATTTAAATATAAATGGATGCCAATAAGAAAAATGTTGGTTTCCCTAAAAATGTCAGGATTTTTCTTCAAATGTTTACAATCGAGAAGACAGGAATCAAATCCTGATGTAAAAAGCGAACGTGGGTCCAGTGATCCATCACTCGCTCTTTTACAGATTGGCAGCTTGTGTGGCCCACTTTGGTCATATAGCACAAAGGAGTGGCCTGTGCGGACTTATGACTGTTTTTGTCTCTGTTTTCTTTTCAGAAAAGCCCAGTACCACTGTAATATCATCCCAAAACCTATCATGCCCACAGTCACCCGTAAGGGTTCGGTAATTAACTACGGCTTAATGCTGCGTTATAGAGCTAAGTACTAATTAAACTGCAACAAAAAGGGAGGCTTTGGTGTTTTCCGGCTGCTTTACTGTGTTCACGTTGTGTACTTGATCAGGGAACTAGTGAAACAAGTTAAAGCCTAACGTTTGCAGTGGAGAAGCAATTATAATCAGTTGGAGAGCTAATGTTTCCGAACAAAATTTAAACAACGAATTTAACTGAAATTAAAATAGTTGTTGTATAAATACGCAAATATCTTTGTAGGCTACATAAAAAAATCCGCCAAGGAAATTAAAGCGTCAATGCGTCAGACTAACTATCACAACACAAACTAAAGTCCATCCAAACGTGCTACAGATGAGTCAGCTTTGGAGCCTGCATGATTCTGTCCTGAGCAGGGCAGCTCTGGGAGAAATATGAGCCTTGAGGATCGTTTACTCCCACCACGTGCGAGTGGCCGTGCGCGTCAAAGTCCGCGTTAAACTGTGGCCCGTGCGTAAAGCGAGGGTCACCTCCGGGAGCTGCGTATTTGGAGAAGTGTTCAGTCTCTTGGTACGTTACAGACTGCAGCTGGGCTTTAGGCGGAGGGGACACTGGGAAATCTGGACCCAAATGCACATAGCCCAGGCTGGAGAGGGTGGGGCTGTCAGGGTCGGAGGGGGAAGAGGGGGAGCAAGATAGGCCCTTCACACGCTCATCCTTCTTTTGTTTCATACGCCGGTTCTGAAACCAAACCTTGATTTGGCGCTCGTGCAGGTTCAGTAGATTGGCCATTTCCACGCGTCTTGGTCTGCACAAGTACCGACTAAAGTGAAACTCCTTCTCCAACTCCACCAGCTGCGCGCTCGTATATGCTGTGCGCGTGCGTTTGGAAGACAGGGACGCACCAGCGCACTTGTCATTGGAATCTGTGAATAAAAACAGAAAAGGGTTAGAAATTTTAGAAAGATTCCAGTGTTCCAGTGTCCTCATCTTGTTACATTGGGCCTTTTTTTGAATATTAAAAATAACAGGGCTACATGATGTTTTGCATCATCAAATGTAAAACATAAATATGGCTACAGGGACTGGAAAATTTAATTAAAGGCCGGAGGGATATTCAGGTGACATTGAACTCTTTCAGAACTATTCATGAGCACTTTGTCTTCATTCTGAAATAACATGTGTGCTATGTGTGTTAGCGTCTGTAAAAGCTCAGGTTTAATGTTTGTTTAATCAGGGACATTGGACCTGCAGTGTTAATTGCAACGTTGGCAATATACAAGAACATGTTTTTATATAGGCTACAATATTGTTTAAAGGTAAATCCTTTCATTAATGTACAAAATAACGTTTCCAAAGACCTGTTTTGTAATATTGCATTGATGCTGTGCAGCTGGTATCACAGACCCCTGTCTAATTAATAGCTAAACCTTTTAAAAGAGGAAGCAGACGGAGCAGACTTGTCCTCAGTGTGAGATTTCATTGTACCAAATGAAAAGGCCCTGTTTGATTTGATACAGACCTGCAATGCTCGTCTGACTTCTGTGTTTCTCATTGGTCTGTCTGGACTCTTTCATCCAAGGAAAGATCTTTTTACTCATGCTACACTTGGGGTTTCCTCTCCCAGGCGTCTCCCCGGACTGCCCGCTCTGCCTGTGCTGCCGTTTTTGGTTTTGGTGTGTGGTTGGTTGAGGAGCAAAACCGTTTTCCAGAGAAATCCCCAAGAAGTGATTGTGGTGGACGTTGTGTGGAGCTCGGTGCGTTTCCATTAAGTGCGCGTTGCAGGGGCCCCTTTGACCTTGTGACAGAGCGCTGGCAGCCAAATGTCACATGGCAGCTTTCCAGAGCGCGCGGGGCTTCTGGCCTGAGAGCGGAGACAAAATAGACACAGACAGAATCAGGGAGGAGACCGAATGATCCATCTTATCAACTCAATAGTGCGCTGACATCAATAGCTATACTCTCCTAAAGCAAATATGCAAAGAGAAAACCTAGACTTTTGGGTGTAAACAACATCCTTTTTCAAAACCCAAGAACATAAAATATAATAAATCAAATTATTACTTAGATACGTAAGGCACAAAACACCATCATTTTGCTTGGTCATTTTTTGTCTCAATTTTTGTTGTTCTAACCTACATTCTAAATGTATTTTCTTTTGTAAAATGCATAAACTTTGACAGTATTTTTTGTACACCTGTTTCAGAAACCCACAAGAGAACAAATTACTTTCTAAACAAATATGCCACCAATAACAAATTGTAACAAACAAGAGTCGTTTATCAACACACGAATTTTATATCATGAATATCAAAGGCACTGCCTATACATTTTTAATTCTCATTGCGCGCCAAAGCTGCGCGCTGTGACCGGGCCTATTTTTAAACGCACAAAAATAACAAGTCGTTATCAGCTATTATTGGTTATAAAATAAAATAAATAGAAGCCAGAGGCGTGTCACCGTGTTACGATGGATACATATGTCAAACACATACGTTAGCGAGCTATAAAACGTGCCATTACGCAGCAGCTGTTATAAGCTACGTTTGTAACAATAAAAAGCGCGATTAAAAACGGTATTTGGATTCAACGAAAGGGCAAAATTAGAAAGAGAAAGGCGAGGAAAAGAGAGAGAGAGAGAGAATAAGTCTGGAGGCATGCAGCTTTATGAACTCTGGGTGAACCGTGGCTCGAGTCAGGATCGTAAATCATAAAGACACATAGCCCAGTCCGCGGCACAACAGCCGGCTGCCTTACCTCCGAAACTACATTCATCGCGGGCTAAAACAATCCCAAACGCACAACAACCGCTCCTCTTCTCACCTTAAGAAAAAAATGTCGCTGATAATAATTTCAGAATAACAATCCTCGCGTGTGGTTGTGTGTTGATTATTAGTGCGTCTCGGGCGTCACGGTGTGCCTTTGGATGCCAGTGGGCTGAGGCTGAGTGGACACTAGTGTTTCTGCACAGCTCACACCGCGCTGCGTAACATTTTTCCTCACGCAATGTCACCCAATGTGCGCGCGTGGAAAAAGAAGCCTATTCTTGCTGATCACGCAACATCATGTATGGACATAGTCAGCGATAAAGATAAGAAGGATTTTACGCACTGGACTAATGTGACAATTAAAGCTCAATGTGGTCAAGAGGAAACAAAGGGAGGTCAAAAGCTTATAAGAATCTTTATTGGAAAATGGAAAAATAAAGTTATCCTAACATAATGAAAATGAGCCGCTCCGTCATTTAAAACCATTACGCATTTGAGCAGAAATCGGAGCCCCTTCATTGTAAAAAGCCACCCAGTCACATCTCTTTTAGTTTAAACAGCGCTGGGAACGTGTCCAGCGGTGTTATAATAAATCCCAACATGGCTGAAGTCCCCTTTAGGAGCGATGCCAGACAGAGATGCCATAAATTGCTCATGCACAGAATGCTATCAGTATTTAGACCGGGGCTTCACACAATGAGCCAGGGTTCATTTAGTCCTGCCATCACTTCCACATAGAAAGTGCATTACATTTAGTTTGGGTAATGAGGTTTTCCCCTTTTTTGTTAGCTGAGTAATTTAACAAAGTGAAAGCAGTTTATAAAGTTAAAGCAAGACGGTGGTCAGCGATGGTCATTAAAATAGAAGTCTCCGTGCGTAACGAGGCCTTGTACAGTATGGACCCGGGTTCAACATGCTGACAGTCGGACTGCGGCGGGGCATCGATCGTATAGTCTGACGGAGCTTTGATCGCTCATCTTCATCCCTGTTCGATAGGTTTGATTGGTTCTCAGAGGTAATATTTAACCGAGGGACACAAATTAACGCCAAATGGATGTCTTTGATCTCCGAGCCGTTTGACACAAAACAAGGGCGCACGAGTTTTAATAAACGAACTACAAGTGGCGCGCGAGCTGTGGATTATTGTGATTTAGTGACAGTCTATAGGCCTATGGTGAATCAAAGTTTGCAAACAGATATAACAAAAAAAGAAACTGTATTTTACAAGACTTAAAACAAAAAAGTAATCCCATTGTGAGATGACTAATAATTATCTGAACTAAGTATATGTCTGTCTTATAATAGAATGAATCTATATGTGTTTAAATAAAAAAGATGAAAACCTGAACATCAACACAACAGTGGAGCCAAAAGAATTGAAATGGAAAAGCAGCCTTATTTATTTATTTTTATTTTATTTTTTTTGGGGGGGGGGCTAAAGATCCTATATTATGCAAAACTGATTCTTGTGAGCTTTAAACAATATTAGAATGTTGTTACCTCATCATACCTGGAGTTGTGTTTTGTTTCATTCACACGTTTGACTAACCCTTTATTATCAGTCGGTTTACATCTCCAAAGCTCAAAATGATCTGTTTCACCTTGTGATGACGTGATCAAGATGTAATTTTTGAGTTAACAGCTACGTTTTATCTTTTGTTCAGGAGAGACTGGAAATTTCAGGGCTGAGATCATCTAAATTATTCTAATGAAGGTGTATGAAGTTTAACACAGTGGGACACTTCCTGTATTACGACATCACAAGGTGAAACAGATTGTTTTCTATCTGAAAAAAGAACTCTAGCCTAAATGTGCAGGATTTGTGTGTTAAATGTGTGAATTAATGAAACAAAACACATCTCCAGGTATGTTTTTGATGAGAAAATAACATTACAATAACATAGATGGGAAAAGCATAGTATGGACCCTTTAACATAAATAGGAGCCTCATAGTTTAGTGATAGAGCCACTATTACTAAAAAAAAAACTAAAAAAAAGGACCTTTTGGGAAATTGATTGAGATGTTGCCATTGACTGTTAACTTAAATGCTTGAGTATATATTAATGTAATTGTCATTGGGTGAATCAGGGACATAACATTCAAAACCTTGATGAGTCTAACTGATCTCTGTGTTCACGCAGTGGGGTAACATTGGGGACATTGGCCGCACAGTGAAAATGACAGAGCAGCCTGCAGTGTCTATGATCTATATCTATCATTCACATCTGACCACACTCCTGTCTGTGTCCACACTGAGCTCCACTTAAACCTCATCATCATCAAGAGCCCGCATACAGGGGGCGCTGTTGTTCACCTTTCAGATTGGTGATGACAAATCTCTCACACACATAAACATGCAGGTCAGTGTTTTTGCACTTGTGGGGACATGACACATACCGCAACCGTTAATGTAAAACAAGCGCTAAATAAAACCTTTGCAATCCATTTTGGCTTCTCCCATCCACATTCACACGCAACACTTCACTATGAACAGTGGTGTTTCCTATGTTAATGTACAGGGCCACATTCATTTAGGGGCACCTAAAATTTGAATAATCTAAAATTGTAAAAAGAGTTTGGTATTGTTGCTTGTAAAAAAAACAAACAACAACCCTGTTATAGGGTGTGTGAAAATATTGAGATTCATTACTGATATGTTGTTATGAATATTATTTGCCAACATACATTTTACATACAAAATGTCAGTATAGTTTTGCACAGTACTACTTATTCAAGGAATACTGATGGGTTGGTTTATATCCAATATATTGATTAGTACTATATCTCCTATCATGATGTGTATATTTTATGGTGGTTGCTTTCTTCAGTTATCCTGGCTTGGGACAGGCACAATCATTACATTGTCTTGTGACCTCTTGTGGTTAGAAAATATAATAACATGTATCTGAATGCTGCTTTCACTTGTTTTAAATATGGCTGACTTTTAAAGGACCCATATTACACAATTTTCTGATCTATCTTATAATTTTGTTTTCCAGTCACAAACAAACATGGAGTTGTTTTGTTTCATTTACACATTTAACACACAAATCCTGCATATTTAGGCTTTTTCTGTTCTTCTGTCAGACAGAAAACACTCAGTCCCACCTAGTGATGCCATGTGGTAATAAAGGAAGTGCTCAACTGTGTTTGTAACTCCACACACCTTCCCTAGTATCATTTGGATAATATCAGGCCTGGAATCTCTGTTGAGCTAAATGTAAAAGGAGCGGTTAACTTGAAAACTACCACTTCATGACATCTCAAGGTGGAACAAAGCATTTTAAGCTTTGGAGATGTAGACAGACTAACAATAAAATATTACTCAAACATGTGTGAATGAAACTAAACACAAATCCAGATATGTTTTTGAAGAGGCAACAACATTTTAACTTAGCTAAAAGTTCACAAGAGTCAATTTTGCGTAATATAGGACCTTTAAATAGCAAAGGTATTTTCCAGACTATTGATCGAAAATTCTGACTGGAAACATCATGGTAACCCGTGAACACTTATGACACGCTACTGCAATACCCATGTCATCACCCACACTTAAATTATGCCAAAAAACTATTTTTCCATTCTTATCTTAAACATAATTTTACCATGTTGTGCATTATTGTTAGACCACCATTAGCTGAGGCTCAAAAATTGGCCTGTCAAATTAGTGACAGATAATGATAGGACAAAACACACACACACTGTTCTCCTATTATCTTCTCAGTCAGTCAATAATATCAGTGGTGGTCATCAAATATCAGTTTTCTTTTCTTTCCTTTTTTAAATTAATGCCCATTTTAAACCAATATTTGTATTTGTTTGGTAAACTGCATAAAACAGAAAAATGTGTTCTATCATAAACCATGAGTCCACCATTTGTGAACACAGGCATGCGATTTCTTACACTTGCAACTAAACCAACAAACCAACGTGCCCGAACATATGAAATGGTCAAAGATATTAAATAAATCTTTATAATTGCAATGTGCAACAACAATGCCTCCAAAATAATCATATCTATGTTCTTGGAGTTGCAAAGCATTTACTCAAAAGCACACAGACAATTCATCATAATTGAAATAAATTCAAATTTGACTTAATAGGCATTTTGACCTACATTGCCATTTACTGTTGAAAGTAGGTTAAAATACAATACAGTTATTCCTCTCTCTGTCAAGCCTTTACTCAAACCTTCAGCCTAACATTTACAGCGGCAGAGCGTTTAGTGCCATAAAGTTGTCTAGCTTCTGTTAAACACTATAAATACAGGCAAATGTGTAGGACTTGAGGAGCATAACCAGGATTTATGGTCATTTCCAAAAGACACTTACAGCCATAATCCAGCTTTAAATTTAACATTTATAGTGTACAATAGAGGGATGTCTTTTGTCCTTATAGATCACCTAACATGAGACAGTGGCAGGTGCTCGTTTTCACAAATAACAAAGAAAAGCGCGCGCAAACAAATAACGTGCGTACTACAAGATGGCTTCTATGTCAGGTCTTCACTCCGATGGTTCATACAGTAATTGGTCCTCAGTCACAGCAGTCATCCCATGGGCCTGCTGACAAATGCTGCGCTCTGCAATTAGCCGCAGGAACCGCGTGTCCACATGAAGGGATTTATGGCGCTGATTTAATTCAAAGGCAGCCGAAGCAACAGCCAGCTCTAACTGTCCCTCTTAATTTTACCCATGGAAATACTTCCAATAAGAAATATTTTAGGATAACAAAATTCATTTTCACAATCTTATCTAAAGCAGTATTTTGCATGACAGATTTTGAAGTAAAATTTCTTCCCATGCTCATTTGCAAAGAGGCACGGGCGTTTAATTGAAGAGTGATAAGTTATATATGTATGGTACTAATAAACCATTATAGACAAACTTTTATCAAATGAATTCACTAGCAAAAGTCAAGGACCACATCCGGGCTAAACCAAGACTACTTTAGGCCTATATGTTACAGAACTAATTTGTTTGGACATTGTTATTATAGCCAGATGAGTAATGCGTAATAAGCAGGTTCGTGCGTATTCATGTTCATGCGCGGGGCAAAGGCGAGTCCCGTTAAAGATAACACCGCTCAGTGAACTGAACTCGTGAACTCTGAATGACCACGGCAAGTCTATACACGTCCGCTTTACATTTAGTTGATCCCGCCTCCCTTCAATCAAACTTAATGCCACACACTCCCAGCGCTTTCATCTGCGCTCTTTACGCACGGCACAGATCCATACAGTCCACACACAAACTCATGTAAACTTACCCCGGTATTCTTGCCATCTTCTCAGCCCAGTGCCCCGGTCCCTGGCGTCCACTCTGTAGCGAAAAAGGAAGCTGTTTGTTAAGGTCCTCACATTTCCCAGCAAACTAAACTCCTCCTTGACCAAGACGCACATGTGCTGCAGTGAAAAGAAGATAAATGATGCTTTGGACAATGGCCACATTGTAAGTTTCTGCGGATGTCAGAATTTTAAAGAATGTCGGGCCAAAAACTGTGAAGGCATCATGTTTACACTGCCTACAGGCCTGTGACTGTGCTTAGAAGTACAATTCCATGCGTAATATTATCAGTGCCATTCGTAAAGCATCAGTCATTTTATTTATGAATCACAAAATACTTATATTTGTATAACATTATATTTGTTAATCATGTGAACTTTAATTCAAATCCAAATCCTTTATTTATATAGCCATTTTAGAAACAAACCAGTATCCAAAGTGCTGCACCTATAAAGACAACATTAAAAACAACAAAAGGTACATCAGGGTATAAATGCTCAATTTAACCTTGCCAGTTCTAAAACACTAAAACCAGTAAAGTAAAATAAAAGCAAACCCATAAAATAGCAATAAATAAATAATTGGCCATTTCCTTGTAAACATTTTGGCTACCGTTGTTCATGTGTAGCTGTCGGAGAGTTGAAGTGTCATCACCTACATACTCCCCAAGATACGAACTTGTGGCTGCTGCTCAATGTACACAAATTCGGATCTACAGGGTATATATAGATGACAGGTCATCGAGCGGTCACCGAGTCTGGGAAGAGGCGAGAGCTGACGTGGTCTGCATACTTCAGGGATATTTTAAGTACAAGTGCAGAGAACAGTGTATATTGACTATGTATGAAGCATTTTAATACTTAAAACTGTTGGCCAAATGTTGATGGTTAATTCCCTTTTGGTGTTAGACTTTTATGTTTTAAAGCCCAAAATAAACAATTCAGTAATCAACTGAAATTAATTAAGTTGACAGTCAAAGATGAAATTCAATGCCATTATTGTTGTTAAGACATTTGAGGTAGCAAAAATAGAACAACACTCCTCTCTCATATAAAACACTTAGCGCAACGTTTGGTGCGCATTACGAGCCTCAACAGAGCCGTATAACCCTGACAGATATGTGCGTATTCAGTCTATACGTGTCTTATTGGTCTGTCTTTTCCAAGTGGTCTCGGATACAGTAGTAGACCTGTATAAGATTTTACCCACTCGAATTTCTCTTTATATAGGCTATATAAGAGCGTGATCAAAAATTAAGAAGACACAAGAGAGGCAACTATAGGCACATTTAATTTGATGTCCACGATAACAACACATGGCCGTCCTACTTGACCTATTTGAAGAACTGTTGCTATAGGCTTACCATATTCATGCCTACATTTTACATTAATGAATTTCAATAAGCAAAATATGCTTGTAACATATTGACAGTTTTCTTCAAGCGTTTAAGATTAGCCTACCTTTGCTGTAGGTTTTTAAAGCGCATTAATAAGCAATTGTAAAGATGTAATTATTACTTATTTAAATTGAGGAAGGCCTATCCTAACTACTGTGTCATTTATCCTTAATAACCCCAAATTATTCAGGAGGACTAAGGATTTAAGCGCAGCTCTCTAAGCAGAAAGTGAAAATGGGAGATAACTGATAAACACGCTGGCAGTGACACGACTTTTCTATGTTCAGGGTCTAACCTACACGGCCCCGGTGATAGGAGCGAAAACTCATCCATCATCGCGAGCTGTCGGTCTGGAGCTCCCTCTGCCGGAACCAAGGTGCCATTACCTCCTATTGGGATCTATTGAGAATTCATGCAAACACACAATCTGCCAGATGTTGAGGATCCGTGGCACTAGAGTGGCTTCACAATACGTACAAGGTGACATTTACTTCGTATTTAATAATCATCAAATTAATACTGGCAAATGTCAGTTTGGGGAGGCCATTGACCAAGTGTTAAGGCTATGTTGCTGCATTCTATTGATGTGGCGAGCCTCCAGTCCTTTCTCCCTCTTCAAATCCACCGTTTAATTGTGAAATAATAGTTTTCTCATTTATATTTAATAGTTCACTGACGTATCATTTATTACATGTGCGCAGAGCCGCTGCCTTTTGCTCACTGTGTAAAGAGGAAAAAGGTGCACATTCCCAACGACTGTCGCGTGTTTTTTGTTTTCTTTTTGTATGTTTACTAATAGGAATATTGCAAATCCAATTTATAATAGTTTATCATTAACGATAATATCAAAAACAGAAAATGATAGGGGTTGCACATCACATAAGAGTTCTTCTTTTCAATGACCTTATTTTACCTTTAGATATTAGTGCGTTGATATATTGGTCTAAACATTTAAAGGCGTATTTTAGAACTGCTTGCACATATGAACTATAGGTTAAAATTATGTTACAATGATAGGTTGTTTTTGTATTGAATCCAGAACTGTGTTTATATCGTTAGGCTATTTAAAATAAAATAATTGTTTTCACACACTTAATGATTTTTTTTTTTTAATTGTCAAAAATAAATTATTACAGCCATACACTAGAGTAAATTCAGATGCATCCCCCAAAACACTTCGTGGTGACTGTGCAAAGTGTGGCAGCACTGAGCCGTGCGTCCTGACGCATCTGTGGCTGCAGTCGTCTCCTGACCCAGCGATGATCCCCGTCCCTATGAATAATGCATGAGATCCGGCTGCAGATTACCCCTATCAATATGCAATGCTCATTACGCTGCTTAAATTGCCACTTAATAGTTATGAATATGTGGGAAATGTCTAAGATCCATAGCCAATACCACTGATTTTACTTTTACCTGAAATGAGTTTGAGAAGACTGGGGAAATAGTCTGCGTAGAGCACAGAAACCTGCTCTTAGTTTTAAACTGTAATATAATTATATTTTTATTAGTAGCCTATAGACAATAGGCAGTAGCCACGAGCTCATTTAGATGCATATCTTTATCTAAAAGCAGCGAGGCCTGTGTCCAGCTCCGCTCTGCTCTCGCTGCTGTGGCCGCAACTTCACCTTTGGCCGCGCGGTGACTTGACACATTTGTGGATAAATCACTCCGGGACCAGCTCAAGTTCGTCTCGTGGCAGCTCCATAAAAGCGCTTATTAGTCTTAAAGTCAAATCATGAGAAGATTCTCCATAATGCATTGTGTTTGAAGAAGAAAAGTTTTTTTGTTTTTTTTTTCTTTTTAAACTGAAACACATTTTACGCACGGCAACAAACGGCGTGTAACCTCACAAAATGAAAAAAATCCCCTAAATAATTTCAATGTGTTATTTCGTGTTTTATTTGTTCGAGATAGTGTACATTTTTACGGGCTGTATTAATAATTTTATGGAATTTGTACAAATAAAATAACAGTTGGTCTATTACAAATTTGGGCTAATTTTACGCACAGTGTTTATCCAATTCAAGTGCCATTAGATGCTACCTAAATATGACTGGACATTTCCTGAGTCCAGTCCAGCCTTTCCAGTCCCATCTACGCAGTTAAGCCGTCACTTTCATTCAAGGTTGTGAATTATATTGTACATTGTCTACTCCCCAAAACCATAAAACCAACTTTATGGACCTCACGTGACTTTTCACAGTCTGTAAGTAATATAGGCCCTATACAATCTTTGGTAAGGCTGGGATTTTTACCAACTTCAGCCATTGCATGTTATACCTGTAAGCCTTTTTGGATTTTATTTCTGTTGTAGGCAGCCCCTCGCCTTGCTGGACTGAGGTCAAGACGAGGTAAGTTTAGAAAGTTTCTCTTTTGCACAAAATGGGGCCAGGAAAATACGTCATAAGAAAATTGATGTGTGTGTGTGAGTGTGTGTGTGTTTTGGTTCAAAATTATTCCACGTTAATTATCCTTGTATTGTATTGTCTAATTGTAGGATGGATATGGAATGTATATTTTTTTCTCATTTAAAATACCCGAGACAATGTATTTGAGTCGAAACTTTTATTTCAAGCGCTATGAGTTCACTTACAAATACAAAAAGCGTATTGGCGAAAAAAGCGTACATCACTTACAGCCTATATCCACAGAATAACCCTTTGCACTAAAAATTTATCACATTGACAGGTTGAATACATTTGCATTGCTCATAATTATTAGACCTAAAACAATAGATGCACAAAATATCCTAGAGCTACACATTATTGGCTTCTTTATGAAAATGTATGGTTTGCAATGGCCACGAGAGAGAACCATCAAAATACAGCTATAAGCGCTTTGAATGAATGGCTCCAAATACATTACATTCAATGAACAGCAGCATATGGTTTGGAAAGTTTTTTTCGTATTTTCTTAAACTGTACAATGACTCCTGTTTAGACCGTCAAGAAGAATAAAGAGCTAAACATGGCGACCTCAACAGACAGAAAGAGCATCAACAATTATTAATATTTACATCTTTTTTCTTCCAAATATGACATCTAAGCTACCACAACTAAAAATGGCATTGGGACCACGGAATACTTCTTCTTCTATCACAATAGCATGCTTGGAAGGTGCTGCGCTTTTTCAATAGCTTTACAGTACTCATGGATTCATTTTTTTATTATTTTTTCATAATTATCATGATGCTTCCAAAAACTCAGTTGTGGAAGGCGCTGCCTCCTGTCACCAGACTCATGCTTTTCAGTTTATTGTCCTTCTTCCATTTCATCCGGCGGTTTTGAAACCAGATTTTGATCTGTCTTTCGGAAAGACACAAGGCGTGGGCTATCTCTATCCTCCGCCGTCTGGTTAGGTATCTATTGAAGTGAAACTCTTTCTCCAGCTCTAGAGTCTGGTAGCGGGTGTACGCAGTTCGGGCCCTTTTCCCATCTGGTCCAGTCATATCTACAATTTCATAGAGAGAATTAGCAGCGACAACAACAGCATAATCATCAACAACACATCAAGGTGGCTGGCTGTTTTGGATGGGATTTTAGATAAGATGAAGTGATGCGGAGAAGCATGCAACAAGACCACGACGTAAATACACACTTTCACAGCTTCTACCTCAATTCCTAGAGACACAAACAACTATTTTCAAAGCCAGACCACAAGCCAAACCTTCAAACCTTGTCCTCGCTGTAACCTGCCACAACCTGCTCACTCATGCACTTGACAGATTTACGACAGACCTCCACAAACAAATATTATGAATGTACATATACCATGGCTTATGTGCAGTTTCCGCATCCAAGGGAATATTTGCGGCGTTTGGCAATCTGTAGGAGCCGATGAGGTGGCACTGGGCTCCTGCTGCTGCTGCTGTGAGCGTGGAACAGAGCTGGACCCTCCGCTGCCGTGTGCGCCCTCCTCGCTCTCAGACACCACCGCGCCACCGTCGTCTATCTCCGTGAAGTGCGCTCCGCTGTTTTTGTTGTTGGAAGCTGAGGTCGCGCTCCGGTCAGACGGTGGAGAAGGGCTTTTTAGTTCCAGTTGCTCCCTGTTTGCGCAGGACGGAGGTGGCTGGGGCTGCACCGGGTCCGGGGATGAGAGCGAGCAATTGGGCGTCTGTCTGTAGCGGGCATCCGGCGCGAATCCACGGGTGTCATCTCGCACGGCACCGAAGTGGTTGCCCGCGTTGGTGCGGTTCACGGTTAGGTCCATGCCATTGTAGTTGTAGCCGAAAGACCCGGAGTGCATGGTGCCAGGGTCTCTGAAGGAGCCGCTCACAGCGCCGTTAGTCCCATAATTTAGTAACTGATAGTCGGAGCCATTTGGATAGCGCCCTGAGAACGAGTTTACAAAGTAAGAGCTCATTTGCTTGGATTTTTAAAGCCTCGATTTGTAGATCTTTGTCGCTATAATCCTGTGTGCTTGCACGATTTATGGACGCAATCATGAATTATAAGCAATGAAGCCCTACTGTACTTTGCCAGGTATGCGGCCAAATATGGGAGCGCGTTCGAGAATCACGTGCCTTTGTTGACCAGTCGTAAATCCTCTCTGATGACTTCAAGAGGTAATTCATGCTCCATGGTTACAAATGATGACGAAATAATGGTCGTTAGGCTCCAGTCAATGGTGCCTCCCCGCTGCGCCCCAAGAACCTCGCGTGCAGAGAGCGCCATCTTCCGGACAAAGGTGGTATCTACGCGAGCCGAGCGTGAGCGCGCACTGTCAAGGCCTCAGTGTCATTTATCATTTATGTAACGCGCAAATAATCTAGGCCACAAAAGGCTCAGATAACACATAATAAAGACTTGTCAACTTTCATTATTGGCACTTTTACGCACAGTGCGTAAAGTCTGATTTGTATTAATGTTGTTATTTTTGACATATACTAAACTAAAACACATGAGGGAAAGCATGTTCCAGTCTGCATCAAAAAGCCTTTATTTTTATTTACAATTTTCTAAACAAAATATTGCACACGGGATTCAGATGTGCATTAAAACACAAGTGAACAACAATAAATAACATTCAAGGAACATTTTCTCATCTGTACAAATTGAAATATGGCACAAGATAAGTGTGTAATAAAGACCACAGATTAAACACTAGACAGCCACAGCCACAGCAGGAGGTGTACAGTGAAGAGACAAAGGCTCTTCTGGTGCCACAGGACAAAATCATGAGGTAACAACATGGTCCAAAGCTACAAAATAAAAGAAATACAATATGTACATTTTGGCGGATTTGCATAGTCCTCAAATTAACGCACGAGCACAAATGGAAATGGAAAATCTACCGTGCAGACACTGAAAGTCTATCACTACAAACACGAATTATCTACAAAGAAATACACTTTATTTCAGGAATGTCTGTCCACTTTTTATTATTATTTTAACTCTTTGCCTTCGCTTTGTTCGCTCTCTTCTTCGGTCTTGGACGGGTTCAGCAGCTTGTTTTCCTTTTTCCACTTCATTCTACGGTTTTGGAACCAGATTTTGATTTGTCTCTCGGTCAGACACAGCGCGTGGGAGATCTCTATCCGGCGTCTTCTGGTCAGGTAGCGGTTGAAGTGAAACTCTTTCTCCAGCTCCAGGGTCTGGTAGCGGGTGTAGGTCTGGCGGCCCCTGCGCCCACTGTTTCCAAATGGGCCTAGAGAAAGAATAGAGATGGTCAGTGATAGTGTAACATGAAAATAAAATCAATTGAAAAGTTAGAGATCAAGTAACTTAATATAATATGATATAAATAGTTCTGTCAGACACATACAATATTCTCAGTGGTTGCTGTGGTTGCCTGTCTCCAATTGCGCAAAAAGAGAAAAAAAAAAAAAAAAGCATCCTCTTTTTTTCCTATATCCTAAATATTGTTATTATTTTCTTCTGTCTTTTTTACTCTGTTTTCTTAAATGTCTTCATATAAAAACATGATGCGCAATGGCGTCTGTACATCAGTGTAATGTGAGCTGGTCTCATATTACCACTAACAACATACACTGTTCTTGTGCAGTCATTGGCACAAACAATAGAAATCTATAAGGTCACACTATTCCCTGTTATTATTGTCATTAGGGATTCAATTTAGTGGCTTTAATCGTTGCGCAAACGTAAACCCATGTGACCGGGTGAAAGGGTCGATGCAGGCCCAGTGTGCGTGTGCGCGTGACCGTGTTTGAAATGTCTCACTGGTGCGCATTTAATGTTAGATTTTACCTTCTAATAACCTCGAACAGATCTGTATATAAACTGGGAGCTCTCTTGCACAGCCTACGCATTATTTTGGTCTTTTGACATTGCAAAAGTGAACCAAAGCCATGAATAAATAAATTAATTAATAAAAAGGCTATTGAAATAAAAAATAAAATAAACATCCCAACCACAAAGTGTAAGATAACATACTATGGTTTCCTTTTGTGCCACAGCTCAGTGGAGGCAGTCTGGTTTTATGTTGATGTGGCAGACAGCCCCGAGGCGCTCAAACATCGGTGCGCTATGATCCCTACAGTCTGTCTCACTGCGCTACTGACACTGAATGTAAAGTTACGCTCTGGATATCAAAGTATAGTCTAGCACGTCTAAAATCCTGTAACATTTAACACACTTTTTGTCAAGTATAATAACTATAAATAAAAGAGTTATCAAAGTAGGTCTTACCAGCGGAGCAAGCGTTCATTCTCTGCATCCATGGATAGATGAGAGTGGAGGTCTTGTCGTCCAGGCTGCTGCTCATGTTGACAGCGCTTTGCTCGGAACACTCCGCCACTTTCCGCTGCTGATGTTGGTCCTGCGTAACAAACAGCGCCTGTTCGTCGCGACTCGAAAAGGCGCACTGACCATCGGCGTCTTTGTAAAAAGTCCCCACCGGGTTGTAGTCGCAGCTCGCCCGGCCGTACTGTTGGTAGTAGGACGCGGGATAGACTTTCTCTTGCATGTTGGCCGCTCCATACGTGGCCGCGTTGGAGTAGTGCCTTAACGGGTCGCTGTATCCCGAGGAATAGAGCGGTATCTGACCCAGGAGAGAGTCCTGTCCTCCCGCCAGAGACACGGGGAAAGTTGAGTTAACAAAATACGAACTCATTGGGTGGACAACGGGGTGTATATACTCCGAAGGGATATGATTTGTTGTCTTTTATAGTCCAAGTGCTTTTGCCATTACTTTATCGGAGATTTGGTATTTGCTGGGAGGGGGGGTTGTGAGGTGCCACTGAATACAGAGGGGAAGTGTACCATCTGATCAACCTCTGGCCAATCAGCGCCGTCTGTTCTTGCACTACTGCACCCATGGGGGGCTCTTGTTGCGCGCAGGGGTCCCCTGTGAATCGAAACGAAGCGCTCGACCCTGTCAGTCTTTACGCACCTCAGTCACTTACAATCAGCCAGACATGTTAAAAACAGACTGCCAGATCACTGTATCCAAACTACAAACAATATAACCAAATGCATCTCGAATCAAACTTGTGCGTATGTGTAAAATAACAAGAAAACAGCTTTACGCATGGTCCTCTATTACGCACAAATAATCATTTGCATCAAACATGTGTCCCAAGCGTCTATTGTCAAATCTTTGTCAAAGAAAAGCCTCTTAACGGAAACTAACTCTAATTATGTCCCAATTTGTTCTCTTCCTAAAGGTGAGGTCCCCTGCTGCTGTACGTCCGACTCCCTCCTGCTGTGAGGGCCACGGGGACACGAGCCGCGTGCCATCATCATCCACCTCATTATAAGCATCATCATCACGGGCTTTACGCACCAAATGAACACCAATGAAACTCTGCTAAAACTGCAAACTCAAGTGGTAAGGCACGTGTGAAGCAGTATAATATACCATTAATGTAAATCTAATAAACCAAACAATGAGAAAATTAATATAAAAGTTAGTGAAGCTGCATTAGGTACTCCATACATTGTGCAGTGCAGTGATTCGTGCAGGTTTAGCGTCTCGTGTTCTTCACGCCTTAGAAGACCTTTTTCAACGTTTAATTCAACATTTAAGTATGTAAATGATCATATTGATTGGATTTGGCGTTTAATGATGATTATGATGAATTAAAAAGACATAGAAACGCGTTTTTCTATTAATATTTGGTAATCACGTGCTTTTGACGCAGCATGACGCATTATGTTACTGTATCCTATACATATAACCTATATTATATCTTATATTATATATTATAATATATATTCATATAAAATAATACAATATTATATTATATTATATTATATTATATAATATTGCATAATATAGTATGATATTATTATATTATATTATATCGTGCATATCGTCTCATCTGCACTTTTTCTACTACTTTAGTTCTTTCATTTGATCTTTTAAAACAGTATGACCATGAGAAATGCAATTTGTTTCATATTGCTGTTGGAAACATTCATCTCAAAGGCCTTAGATCACTGCAGTGTGATAAGAGCTGCGTTTTTCATGCGCCTTGATACTTGGATCCACAGGCCTGAACTGAGCTGAGAACTGCCCCATAAAAATAGACAAAGAGCAAAACACATAAAGCGTTATAGGTGAAGCAGGATCACCATTTTATACGTTTTAAATATTAATACTATGGTCTCTGTCCTCACGCAGGTGCAGTGGTCTCTTTTATGACCCTCTTCAGAAATACAGATCCAGCTGGTTTTGTTCGGGCTTTCATGGATTGCATTTTATTGCTCGCATCTGTTTGTGAGAGGCTGATTATAGGGAGGGCGCATTACCGTCATTGATTGTGTAACAGTGAATGAATGAACGTCCATTCAGTAAACGGCTTAGTCACACGTGTGGTTAAAAAGATGAAAGAACACAATCCTATATCACAACTGTGTACAAGATAATCCAAATATATTTTTTGTACAACATGTATTTTTTCCCGCACTGTTATTTTCAACGATACCGAAATTCGTGCGTAATGGCGCCATGACCGCAACCAAAAACAGCAAAACACTCTAAAATGTAAAAAAAAATGTTGATTTTGTAATACTCATCGAACAATATTAATTTCAATTCAAATTTTAGTATCAAAATCTATAGGTAAAGACTGTTATTTGGGGCTTTATTGGCCATTATTTGCCTCATCATCATTATCATCAAGCCAAGCTCATGTGTCCAGAAACCAGCTGCTGCCATAATCAGTGAGTGCCCAATAGGCCTCAACTTCAGCATAAAACCCTAACTTCTTATTTTTATCCAAAGATGTTGTTTGTTTTAGGTCGAAGTCTGGCGCCGTTGCAGCATCTCACGGGTTAAGCTCCAAGTTAAGCAACTGGTTGTGAATAGCGCGGGCAACGTAAGAAAATAATAGACTTTCCTGAAACAATGAACCAATCTAATGTGTCTAATGTAACTTAATATAGCCATGATATAAACGCTAGAAAGCAGTTGGGGCTTTTTTGGTGTCTGAGCCCCTCTGCAGCAGCGCTTTGGCCTGGCGCGTGAGAAACACCTTACCTTTTGTTGATAATCCATCATGCGGACCGTGCCTGTCACTCCACGCTCTCGTTTCCAGAGCTCGTTCCCAAATCCCCTACTTTGCAAGCTGCGTTAAGTGATCTCCAAAAACATAATCCAGTCATCACAGAGGAGTGTAGATCCCTCATTTTGGAAGAACATTGCCAGAAGTGGATGCCCATTAAAACATGGCGGGGAGACGTCAGCGCCGTGGCTCCTTCTCGGGGAATTACGCACGAACATGGTGCCGATTTTATCCACCAAAACAACAAAATCTACGTATACAACATAGAGCTAAGAAAAAGCATGTGTTTCTAGTGTTAAGTGAATGAGCAGTGCAAAACAGCAGCTGCAATATAACCTCATGGGAAATAAGTTCCCATTCCTAGTGTCCACATGACCAAGGGCAGCCAATCCCGGAGCCGAGCGAGTCGTAAACTTCGCTGGCAAAGTTGTAAATTTTCAAAAACAGCAGCCGTTTTTGTGCTTTTTAGAGGCGCTTTCTCATCGCCATCTTTATTTTACCTCATGGTCTGTGATGCGTAAATGTGGGGAGGTTTCGAAATAGACAAAGAAAAATGTGAAAATATGATAAGAACTGGATGCGCACCTGGTTTCTGCCTTGGTCCGTAGGCGTTTCCAAAGGTCTGTATGGCTTCTTATTGTTTACAACGTAATTCTAAATGAAGTTTAAGTTATGCTGAACAACATTTGAATTTTATAATACGCCAAATCCAAATGCATCGTTATATTTTTAAAAATTCAACCAAATTAGACACAATGGATTGTATTTTAGCCATACAGACTATGAAAGCGCACTCCTTTCTCTTATTCAAATGCCTAACTAATACTGTATTAAAATGATATAAAAATAGATATTTAAATTCAGTGAAATTGAACCATAATGTACCTCAGTGGTTGGCTGAAACCCTGGGGCGTTTTAAGGTCTGACAATCACAGAGGTAGAGCTAGTCTCCAAGTTCAGTTATTTAAGTCATTAGGCTACCTGTAAAAGGAGAAATATTCACCATTTTTAAATTACTTTTAGGAGGTCTATTTCTTCAATAATATTTTGGCTTTTCAGCTGCCATGGGGTGACTCGGCGCCTATTTCCTCTTTCCAAAAGGATTTCCGACATTTATAGACTGAGACGCAATAAAACCATAAATTCCACAAATGCAACGCATTCCCACTCACGATCCTTTTTGACCTTTCACAGTTTTGCGATTTCATTTTTACAGGTATCTCAAAGCATAGCGGATTTGCTTTTTACGCACAAGATAAAATGCTATGAAAAAAACATTTTCTATTCACATCTATTTACGATTACTCTTGGCATTAGCTTGTTATATGTGTAATTAACTAATAGGCACATTTCAAACACGTGCTCTTGAATTTAGGTAAAGGTTTTATTTGATTCTCTTTTTTTGCGCATTTTAGAAATGGTTAAAAAAAAAGTAAAGTGTGCAGCCGCAGCTCAAGGCCTCTGCGTTCCATGAATGATTTATAGTAAACCAAAGGCCTTTGAGTGCTGCTTTTGTCATTTTATGAAATAATATTTTTTTATTTTATAATATTTCTTACAACAAAAATCTGCAGTGTTTTATTCTCGTCCGCTTTTGTCTTTTGGGGGCGTTTACGTGGGACATCTTCACTTCCTTTTATCTCCAAAAGAACAAAGAAACCGGACGCAGGAGGCAGTAAAACTTTATGGCCTCTTTAGACAACATTTCCAGCACTGGCGGAGGAGAGACTTTCACTCAGTCAAACACCCGTTTTTGTTTAGTGAAAGTGAAGCACAAACGATAAGCAGAAATTAGCGTTATGAGCTGACTCATTTACAGTTAAATAATACCTCAATTTAAAAGGGATCAAATAATTGAAATTTAAAACAAAAAGTAAATACTGGGCTTCAGTGAATGAGAATTTTAATGTTATTTTTTTCAGAATAGACTTTGGTGAAAAACCAGCAGAGTTACTCCCATCATTTAAGCACCCTTTTATTAGTCCTGTATGAAGTGGTAGGCCTTCTTAACTCTCACCATCAAATATGAGGCTTAAACTGACAAGGTGGTGTGTTTACATTTCTTATCTATAATATTGACATATTTCACAGGGCCTGTTCACTTCCTTTTTGGCACATAGAGCTTAGTTTCATACAAATGTTCCCCTTTAGAGACTGTTATGTAAACAAAATGTCTGCCATCACACAGTGGATAGAAACATGTGAATCTCTTGCATTGTTGACATTTACTGAGACGAAACATGAGTCCAGATATAGCAGTCCTCCCTGTGTTTGTGCATTCACAGCTTTGGTCCATCTTCCACTTCCTTAATCCCCAAATATCTGTTTCTTTTCTCATGTGTCTGTCTGCGTATGTGGTTTCAGGCCTTTTCCGTGCGTCCCTGCTCGTTGGGAGGGGTTTTGTCGGACGGTTTGAGAAAAGCCAGGCCTCCGGACCAGGGGGGCCCGAGTGGAGATGACTGACAGGCTCTGCAGGGTGTCAGCGTCCTGGGTCATGTAGGGGCACCGTGTCCGGGCTTTGGGGATCTGGTTTACGAGCGGGATACTGGCTCTGGCGCGGATGTACGTGCTGCTCTTACTGTCCTGACGACCCAGAGAGAAGGTGCCCACTGCCACACAGACACAGGGAACAGGTATGAGCATTCAGTCAAATATCAGATACACAGAGGAGCCACAGGGACATAGGGAACAGGTACAAGTGTAGTGAAAGACAAAAGTACTATGGGGTTTTTGTGTTATTTAAAATGTAAAGCAAATAATGATATTTACTTGGTCGAAATATGAGAGATATACACATACCCTAACAAGATTACTGTGAAGACTATTCCAACATATTGGTATGATTTAATAATACTGACAGGATAAACCAGGACAAATTTGTAGTAAATTTATATATTGTTAAATGTTTAGATATTAGTTTAGAAAAAATATATATATTACATTTTTATAATTTATGATTATAATTAATAATTTATTAATTTTAAAGGGACTTAAAGATGTACCTGTCTCACTATTTGATATTTTTTTATGTTAATTAAATTACATATTTTTACTTTTATAGTTGTATCAGATTTAATAATATATTAACAATAATAATTAAACTTTTCAAAATAAACACTACAGGATACCAAATCCCACATAAGATAAATAGATAAATAAATAAAATTTTCAGTAGTGCATACATAAAATATTACATTGATATCATCTTGATATCATATGTGTATAAAATATGCATAATCATATTCAAATAATACAAAATGAATTCCATATTATTTCCCAACAATCCCCCAATCATGACAATAGTGAACTCACTGGGGCAGATCCTCTGGAGGCTGGGCGTCCCAGAGTCCTCTGGTCTGGGCTCAGACTCAAAGCCTGATGCATTCAGGGTCCTCTGTTCAAAAGTGGACCGCAGTAACCTCGGCTGGGTCATGTGGGACTGAATGAACTGCACAGTCGTAAAATTTAAAACATTATGGAGTTTTAATTCTCCCATCATCACATTTCATTATGTCTCTAAATTACAACTGAGGGCTTCTAATTTTGAGAGACCAAAATGAGATGAAAATCCCTACAGTAATAATACCTGAATCCTGTTTTTTTTTTTTTCATAATTTTTGTTTTTATTGTCAGGGAAGTACTCAATTTGACGTTCAGGATATTATTAATATTTAAAATGCAAGACATGGAATTGCACTATAATGGGTAGGTAGACTATTAGCTAGAATTAATTTACAAAACACTCAACTGCTATGACGTATACTCCCACTTCAGTCGTCTTTTGACTCTTGTTTCAGATAATACACAATAAGAAGTCTGTTTATACCTGATGTGAGAATGAACCTGGCTGCTGCCTTTTCTGGGAAACATGTAACAGTGAATCCACCTGAAACAGAGAGAAAAGCAATACATTTACATTTTATATTGATGTTTTTAAATAGTGCTGTAAAGTCTAATTTCACACTGTAAAGTTACAGAAAGCTGTTTAAGCCACATACAACCTATAGATGTATTGATTTAAAAAAGTGATTAAAAGAGATTAAAAATGAATATTTACATATCTACTGGTCTTGTTAAAAATGTAACAAAGGAAAGAGAAGGGCCAGCAATGAAGGCAAAATAATAACACCCAATACCAATAATACACCCACTACCAAACTAAACGGTGCTCTGGTCTCAATAACAAAGCAAATCAACAGCTCATTGGTGGTCTTCAGATCATATTCTTAGAAGGGGGAAAGAGACAGTTTTTTTTTATTGAGTGCATTGTCCATTGCCATGAAATATCTCTTAAAAAAAAAAAAAAAAGGAAAATTGCAAATGTTGGACCTGACCATTTCTACAACTGGCTAGACCCAACAACAAATCTGCATTTTTACAATATTTTGGCTGTCCCCATGTATAAAATATTATTAGCCTATAGAATGTTGTGAACCTCCCTCCCGAACCCAAACTTTGACTGTTGTGTTTTATGATTTACTGATATTCTTCTATAGTCTATTCGATAGTCTGTTGTCTCCTTCACAAAAGCACTTTTTAGTTTTTCTCAAGTTAAGTCTTGTTACTCTGTCTCTTAGTAAAAGATAAATACATAAAAAATAAAATAAACAAGTCATAATCAGTGGTCCCCACATTTGCAGTATATTCTCATGTCATTATTGTGTATTTGATCGACAAATGTGTTGCATAATTCCAATAATGTCAATGATATACTCACAGAAGATCATTTTATGTCCTGATCTTAATTCACATTTCAGTTGTAAAAGAGGCCTCACCTTCTGCTGCTGTGTTGAGTGCAGGGCCTGTGTGGGGGCGGGCCTGTTCTCTGCTGTGGCGCCCCCTGTCTGCTGTTGCTGTTGGAGCATGTGTTGGATTTGGTCGACTACCCCAAGGTCTTGCAACAGCCTCTTCCTCTCCAGCAGCCCCCGGATCCTCTCTAGCTCCTCCTCTGCCTCCCTGTCCTCCTGCCCCTCTCCTCCCTCGCCACTCACATCCACCAGGCCCATCAGCGCACAGGGGTTCTCTGCGAGCTGGGGACAAATACATGAACACAGTGCAAGAAAGTACCACCAGAAAACACACAATGTCAAGGTGTTCAGGTCCAGTGATTCCTGCATGTTTTTGTTCACTCTGGTTTGGGGGCACTAATGAAATACATTTGTTCATATATTTAACATAAGATAATATAAGAGGCATTAAGTATCCCATTTTTCGCAATTTATTGTCCAGCTTTATAACTAAAATATGACAACAGGGTATCACAAATGTCATCTTTTGCACTCATGAAAGATATATACAAAAGTTTATTTATAATTCAGTAACAAATTTTGCTCTATTTTTCTCTCGATTTTTACGACAGGAATCAAAACTGTCTCAGAAAAGGTTTAGCACCAAATGACCAATTACCAATAGTAAGCTTATTTATTAAAATGTGTTTTATTTACTTACACAAAAAAGTAATGATTTAAATAAAGTAGAAAAAGGAAGCTAAAAAAATGTGAGAAATTGTCTAGTTCATTATAAAGGAATTATAAAGCCAGTGAAACCTGAGTAATTTCCTGGTGCTAATCCATATTTTTCTCATAATATGGATGTTGTAATACCTACCAGTTGAGAAATAAGTAACAACATAAACTAACACAAAACAATAATGGCAGCAAATATGTTTAATTAAATTGGTTTAATTTCCTGTTTGTATGTATCCATGACTATCTGTTTACCATAAAGCCATTTCTGTCAGCGAACCTTTATAGCATTGTTTATTTTTTCTGGCTTGCCAATAAACCATATCTATATTTAAAACGGGATGCATGCAATAATAGTTATCTGCATAAAGACTATTGCAGCTAATTTGCATTGGACACGCGCACATTTACACTGGAGGGGTCAGTCAGACTATGAACTATTTATCATGCGGTGAGGGGCGGTTGGCTCCCTCTAGTGGACACAGATGAGACAGCAGTACTCACGGGTCCGGGCTCTTCGGCGGAGTTTTGGAGGTTGCTTTGACTCCTCCTCGGTCTCACTCTCTCTCCCGCGGTCTCTCCCTGTAAGTCCTTCCTCCGACCCACTTTCAGATCCCTCTCCTTCTGCTCCTGCTTCAGACGCAGCTCCTGCAACTGCTGCCTGTGATAACAACACAGTGTAGATGAGATATTCAAGCGTATTTTCTATTTGAGAAATGCAATAGGTGACATAAATCAGAATTGTTTTGGGCAATGTGCATGATGTATTTAATGTACATATGTTTTTTAATTTTCTATTTAAAAGCGAATACCATAAATCATCATACTGGCTGCTGAGCTGATTGAATTATAAACCAGTAGAATGTACAGTTCATAATTTCAACAGTATCACGATTATCAAGGCCAAAATAAAAATAAATTTAAAAAAATGAATAATTGTCATTTGAATATTATGAATAGGCTCCATATTTAAACAACTATTAGCACTTATACATTAAACTTAATAGTGCTTTATTATAAATGAAAACAACAATGATCCAGAAGAAATCCTTATGGACAAGTAGCTTTTTTGTGCACATCCTGGTGATACAATGTCACTAATGTCCTTTGGCAATTATCACAATGATATAAAATGTCCCACAAATGATTATTGCCTACCTTTTTAACATGATAAACTATATTATTATTATTATTATATATATATATATATATATATATATATATATATATTATTATTATTTATATTATATTGTTTATTGTCCCATCCCTTATAGAAACCAGGTTCATTCAGTGCAAGTGTCTTTTTATACTTTTCAAATGTGGCACTATTAAACATTAAAACACAGAAAGAGGGCTACATTAACTTTTTTTTTAGTTGGTCAGGGTGGATCAATAATGGTGCCTATAAAAACACAAATCAGTGCTCCTTTAATTAAAATGGTATTTGGCAGCACTGAGCCTGTTTAACGCCTTTAATGGGCTTCATTGGGATATTTCAGACAGTATATTTACAGTACTTCAGCGTTAAATACTGTACAGGATTCACTAAAAATGTGGAACGAGAGAATGGACAATTCTGCAAGTGTAAAGTTGTTGGGGAGGGTAAGTAGAGCAGTGACTGAGCCATGGAACAGTTTTGTGTCACTGCAACTGTATGCAAAACTTTTTAACGTTTCCTTGTGTTGTACTAAGCTTACATTTGTATGTTGCTTTTGTTTTGTTGCCAGCCTAGGGACTACACATATAAATTAGCTTGGTAAATATAATCCGGCATATTTACATTAGTTCAGTACCTATATTATGCTATTTTCTGATATCTGTTACAATGTTGTTTTCTCATGACAAACAGATCTAGAGTTGAATGTTTCAGTCACACTTGCTTAACACACAAATCCTGCATATTTAGGTTGAGTTCTTCTCTCAAACAGAAAACACTCAACAGAAACACTTGTGATGTCATGTTTTCCACTGTGTTTTTAAACTCTGTAAACCTTCTCTAGAATCATTTGGATAATTTCAGCACTGGAATTGCCAATTTCTACTGAACTAAATTACTGAACTACAGGTGGAAATTAACTCTAGTGTTACAACATGTTAGTGTTACAATGCATCTCTCCTGTTAAGGTTAGTGTATATTGTGCACTGTCCCTGTCTCATTAAATAAATAAACTAAACTAAAAGTAAAAGGAGCTGTTACTAACGAAAACAACTGCTTCATGACATCATAAGGTGGAATAGAGCATATGGAGATTTGGAGATGTAGACAGACTAATAATAAAGAATTACTCAAATGTGTGTGAATGAAACAAAACACAACTCCAGGTATGTTTTTGATGAGGTAACAACATTCCAACATGACTAGCTCCTCCCTATGAAATAAGAAAGTGTTTTATGTTGACTATGTTTCTGTTTTGTTCTGTTTTTGTTTGCCATAAGAATAATACATATTTGAATAATTACTAACATACAGTCCATCCTTGCTCCTCTAACACCAGGGTTTTGAGGTGTGCATGTCTATACAGTGGGCACCGTGAGTGTAATGCACGCCTTGTACCTGGCACACTCCTCTCTGGCCTTGGACGCAGCGGTTTCCTGAAAGAGCGAGCTGCTGTGTTTGAAGTACTTGTCATATTTCTCCCCTCCCTCTCGGGGGTAGATCCTCTTGAAGCCTCCCAGGTGTTTGGCCTCGTACTTCTCCATCTGCTCCACGGAGGCGGCTTGGCACTGGCGCAGCTCCTCTGACCTGGAAGTGGGGACATGGCTTTACTAATCTACAGACAATTAGCACGTCTTTGAGCACACGACCTTGTGTGAAAAACTCTTGGTTTGTGCAGGTATCTGTGAAGGCAGCACAGTTTTGGAAAAAAATGTAAGTTGAATTTTTTCAAGAAGTATTATGATTAATTTTATGATATACGTTTAAAAAAATACGATTATGTTGAGAACACACATTGCATTGCATTCAGTTTGAGAGAAGATTGAAATATGGATAGATAAACTAATCCAAGAATCACATGATGTGCTGTTCGTTTTACGAATAGCTCCCACAGTGCTGTGTTTTAAGTCTCCTCTTAAGACCCACTTTCATTCACTGGCTTTTAAAACAGTATGATTTCTGTGGTCTTTAGCCATTGAATTTTTACTTGTTTTAACTGTTTTTTTTATTACTTTTTTTGTTGTTGTTGTTGTGCAGCACTTTATAAACTGTCATGTTTATAAAGTGTGTTATTTAGAGAATAGTGGATTAGATTAAGTAAATAACTGTAGCCTTTGCAATTTGATAATTGCACCAACTCAGTTTAGATTACAATTGTGCAGTCCTAGTACCTGGCCTCTCTGGAGCGATTCTGTTGTAGCCTGTCCTTCACCCTGCGTCTCTCCTCCTTTGTGATCTTTCGGCGGTCACATGCTCCCAGGTTGATGAGGACCATGGTGTCATAGAGCAAAGCATCCTTCACTTCGCGATCCAGGTGAGAGTCAGTCGTGAAACTGGGGGAGTGATTGACCTGCACAGAAATGTTACAGTACCTTTTACGTAATTTACACTGTCTAAAAATAAATGTTTGACTATAACATTGACTTTAGGACAACAGAGAATAAAGAATTTCTTGGATAATATGACAATAATGTGCATATTGAAATATTTTACTGTAGAATTGTATCTGTTTTGAGTTTGGAGTGTCAAGCTCAAAATGCCATTTAAAATTATGACAAAGTATCAATTTAAGTAATGAAAGTCAATTAAGGTATTGATGTTATTGGAATCTGGGGGCCACTTAATTGCATAAATATGAATGTTTATCATCCTTATGTTTAGAAAAAAGCTGAAAATTTCCTAATGCTACAACTGCCCTGAAGCAAAGTTTTCTTGGATGGATTTTTTGACCCAGTGAATAACCACAGATGGACACACTTTTAATCAGGATAAAGGAGCGAGGGTGTTGCAATCAACAGTGTGACCACAAGAGGATGCAAAAACTGCACAAAACATTTGTACTGTATTTGGAAGTATATTGATGCTGGCATTATCTAAAAAGTCTAAAAATAAACAACTTAAAATTTCTACTTAATGATAATATCAAATTGCAGAAGAAAATATGTATTGATTAATAACTCAATATGTACTCAATAATACTCAATAATAGCTCAATATGGTAGCAAAAAAGCCCACACCAAATCCTGCTTAGACTATTTTCTTGATGCTATTGGTACATATAATAATAACCCCTCACCTCTAGGAGCCACGGCCTGAGCCTGTGATCGAGCAGGATGTCAAAGCCCAGAATTTCGAAGCAGGCGCTGCCGTTGATGTGGTTGGGGAAACAGGTGTGGTAGTTGTGCTTCAGGATCGGATGAGCTGAGATCAGGACTTTAATTATAACATCTTCAATGTCATTCCACATTTTTTCTGTGTTGCAGCTCATGGCCTCAAGATGCTTATTCAAGGTGGATAACTTTCTATAAAACAACAGAAAGAGAAATCTCAGACAGTGGGCAAGATTATAGCATTTTCCTAGAAATATTTATAGAATAATTCACAAATCTTTGACTTAATAATGAATCATTTGTATTTATAAGTAAAGAAAATTGTCCCACATTCACAGCCAAATACCATCTTATTTGACATTTCTATTTGACACCTCAAGATCAATCAGTAGCAATCAGTAATTCAAAACTAAATATTCTATCTTTTGAATGGTAAAAAGTACTCAAAATGGTGTCCCTAAAGAATAAGATGAATCAAATGATTAGAAATATATGTTTTCATAATTCCAGCAATGATATTGTCAGTGGTTTGTACAATTACAATGTACAATGTACCTTTTACTCCCAGTGTCCTCATCACGCACAAAGTTTTCACTGTGTTTGTTTATTGAATAGTTGGTTAGATGCATGCACACATCTTCCTGCCAGTGGAAATACAACACAATCAAAAAATAAGTGAACTGACAAATTTAAACATTTTAACCAACTAAATACACTATACATATTCAATAGATTTCTGCAGCGACTTATCCTTATTAATGTTTTTAATCAGACAGTCTGTGGCGTAAAGTCAGTGCCATTTGTTGCCTGTTGCAGCCCTTTATTTTATGTTTATGTTTTATGTTTATGTTTATGTTATACTGCTGTAAAGAATAATAATTTATGCCAATCTGTTGTTTCTTTTTGACCATGGTGGACAAAATTGAACTTTGGGTCAATATAGTCTTTTCTTAAAAATGAGACACACTGCAAATTATTACAATGCAGCAAGATATTAAATAGTAGATATTGACTTACCACGTTGTTATGAGTTGGCTCATTGTATTTTGTGGTACAGAATCGGGCCAGACCCTCTTTAAACATGAATATGCTGAAAGGGTCACATGATGTTACCAGGACATAGATACGCAGGTCAAATTTATAACCGTCAATTATCAGTGGCTGTCGAGGAAAAAATAAAATTTAGACTTAAAACATTTCAGATTAATTCAAGTTTTTTTTTTTTTAACTTACTTTAGAAATGTAAACTTGGCAGATCATATGTTCCCCAGGCTGTATTTCTTTACTTGCTTTGGTGATGAAGATGCCTTTGCCTTGGCACCCGGTGTCTGGCTTACAAATGTATGTCTTGTTCTTTTTGGCCCTGGTGAAAGCTTGGAAGTCACTAAAACTGCAGAGTGCAACATGGTCAGAAAGAAATAAAGACAAATCTTAACTTAGCATGTTAAGTTAGTACAAACTGACTCAGCAGGAAGGCACCATGTTCTCGGGAAGATATTGTAGTCTTTGGGGAAAAGTTTAAGCATTCGGTTCAAGTTTCTTGCCAAAAGGTCTTTGCGACAGATTTCACTCATTCCAGGAAAATGGTTGATTTTCTGCAAAAAAGAAAGTTATTAAGTTGTTGTAGCATTTTTAGCTGTTATGCATGCTATAAATTGCATAGTACAATTTGGGGTTCCTCAGTGTTCCTTAAACTTACTCTAAACAGACAATTTATTTATTTTTTATTTTACTTAATTTTTTTTACAATGGCAACATAACTTTCTGATTTTAACTTCCATGATATAAAAGTCATGTGATTGTTGATTGTATACTTTATGCACTGATCTTAGCAGCAATTACCTGATAGCGTTTCATATCTTTAACGCGGTCCAGAGACACCGAGAAGTCAGTCCAAAACAGGGTCCAGTCCTCGCTCTCTGCTGCCTCCCGAAGGCCATAGCGCCTAGCTGCACGTCGAACTGAAAACACACAAATTTAGCGCTATGCTTGTATTTATTCAAGTGAAAATCTTAAGTTGTAACATACCACTTTCATATTTACAGTTTGTGAGGTTGATCCACAGTCATCTGAAAGAGAAGAAGAACAGAAGGACAGACATCTGCTTTGCTGCAAAACCCTACATGTGTTATCTACAAACAAACAATACATAAAGTAATAGAATAAAGGTGTACTATGTAACTTTTCTGGTGGAGATTTTTTATTTTGTAATGTTCCACAGAATAGAATGAAACCTTCTATCTCCTTGGAAACAAACAGTTGACGCCACCGGGCCAAGTTACAAGTCAGATATTTAAGAGCATTACAACACTTATGGTTGTGTGAATGCCTGATGGATGAGTTTACTGTGGAACATTCCAGGCAAAGCAATAACATCTCCATGGACACGCCACCAGAAAGGTCACATGGTTCACCTTTAACTATACTTAAATCAGATGTAGATGGCTTATTTGAATAGAAATAAAGTAGTAAAATACCTCTTTCTGGTCTTCCTCTTCTTCTTGGGGACCAGCGGAGACGTGGCGGTGCATGTTTCTGTTTGGCTGTGGTTCCCTGAGGCCTCTCCCTGCTCTTCAGATACTTTACACGGAGCTTCTTCATCATTGTTGTTGAGATTGTCCACGGGTAGACCCATCTTTGATAGAAAAAACAACCCCTTTTAGTGGTTTATGGGGGTAAACCAAGCTGAAGAGGGGTAATGACAGCATGGGGAGATAGCAGTGGTAAATCTAATTAGTTAAAGTGCTCATATTGCTCTATTTTCTGACCTGTGTTATAATGTTGTCTACTCATCACATGTTTAACACACAAGCCATGATTATTAAGGTTCTTCTCTCAAACAGAAAACACTATGGCACTGGTAATACAAGAAGTGTTCCACTGTGCTTTTACACTCCATAGACCTTCACTAAAATCATTTCGATAATTTCAGCCCTGGAATTTCCCATCTCTACTGAAGTAAAGGTAAAAGGTAGCTGTTAACTAAACTATGACATCTCAAGGTGGAGCAGAGCATTTTGAGCTTTGGAGATGTAGACAGACTAATAACAAAGGGTTACTCATACATGTGTGAATGAAACAAAACACAACTCCATTTTTTGATGATTCTAACATTCTAACATGGCTTAAAGCTCACAAGAATATTTTTTTTGTTATGTAAGACCTTTAATCATTTATAAACCAGTCTGCTCCCTCGAGTTTAGGCTAAGTCGGAAATGGAATCGACAACACTGAAATGCAGAGAGAGTTGTCGTCAGCCAACTTAATTAAGTCTCAGTCAACATAATTATTATTTAATTATTTGGTATATATTTTACACCAGACAAACTGCCTCTAGGGGATACCGATTTACATGATCAGAATGGCACATATTCATTCTATGAGGATAGAGGGATTTAAGCCCATAACCTCTCAATCACAACAAATTAAATAACAGCACCACATCTTGGCCTGTCATCATAACCAATTTTGAAGCATGATATATTGCTACAGAGAAATACTGCAATAAACGAGAATATTCAAATTACGTCATGCCACTTACACAAAGCAGGATTATCCCAGTAAAAAGACTGAGTTGCAACAAATAAATAGCAATGTGAGCGAATAATCAGCCATAGAATTTATTTATTTAACCCTCTATAGCTCAAATCCCTCCTGTTGCAAATAAATATATTGTTCCAGCTTTCATGTATTGAACAATAAGCTAATATAGTAATTATTGTGACAGACCACATTCATTTTATTCAGTAGCCTTGTCTTCTCTTAGAGTGATTACCTTTACAAACCTGAACTGACTAAATGTTCACATGCTATTTTGTATCCATGGGTATCAGAAAGAAAATTAACACTGTTGCCAGGACAAATAACAAATTAAACAAAATATTAAATCTTTGGAATGGGAAAAAAAACATCAAAGGCAAAAACCCATGAATAGATATCAAATAGTTCACCTAGATGCAGATATAAATAAATAGCGTGCTTCTTACTCACAGCCCTCTCAGTATTGCATATCCCACTGTTTGTTTCTCATAGCCCTGTGTAGCTTTAATTAAACTCGTGTTATCTTCATTACATTAGTGAACAGTTATTACATGCTGCGTTTATCATGGTACGTGCTGCGGTTTCTCACAATGAAACTCAGTCAGACAGAACCACTAACATGCTGTAATGGCACACACGGACTCATGTTTCCCGTTTCCATTTCTCTCATCAGGCGAGTGCTCCAGCTCCTGTCAGCACCTGTCAGCACCTGTCACACTCAACGCATTCAAGGCTCATTGTGGCAGGACTGATACTAATACCAAGACAGGTGGGACAATAGAAAGTGGCATTTGATGTTGGCAGAGCAATGAAAAGCAATAGAGGCTTGATGCTATATAGGCTTCTTGATGTTTCTTAGATAATGTTAATACAATTTTATGTTTATTGATAATTACTATAAAGATAACATTTGTTTTTGATATTATGATCCATATCTTCAGATACATATTGAATTCTGAGAAAACTATATCGTTGGATCCTTAGTTTCAGTGTCAGTGGTACATTGTTTATCATTATATTTGCTGTAACCATACACTAAAATAAGCTGTTTCTACTGGCAGTAACAAAGAATTGCATGGGTTAAAAAGTTCACAAGATGTTAGAGTTATTTTTTAGTGAAGTGAAATAAAATTATTTAATTGACATTTTGTGCCAACTCTCCCAAAGACAATGGACAGCACTTGTCATGGCAGTGTCTCGGCAGCGCACCTCTGGGTCCTATCTAGTGTCTTGTGGGTTAAGGTGAGGTCAAGTTAATTTGTGATAATGACTGAGATTGAATACTTGAAGGGGGTGGCTCTAAGGAGGGACATCCCAGGCCCGCAGTGGGAGGTGGTGGTGCCAGGTAACGCATATTTGATCTGGATAATCCTGGCCCCGAACCACTGCCTTTGCACTGGGTTTGAGACGCTCCACTGACCTAAGCGAGGATACAATTACAAACAACAATTTCTCAGGCTCTCCCTCACTGCAGCAGTTACACCTCCGGACACCTTTTGTACAATGTGTCTGTCGCAAACAAAAGAGACAGTCAGGGAGACTTATGTTGTTGTAAATATAAAATGTCACACACACAAACAGCAAATCAGTCACACCAAAGCTAGGCTCTCTCTCTGTTTATCATTTAAAGATCTCTCTTTATAGTTTACAGATTTTTCAAAAGATTTTTAAACAAAAAAATTTGTTAATTGTGACAAAACTAAAACCTACTTTCTTCACCATACACTCTTTTACTCAAACTTTCTTTGCTCAGTTTGTTTAAAAAGCAAAATAGAATAGAGAATAAAAGAAAGTGAAGGAAGTATTTTCCTGGTCTGGTAAACATGTTCAGACATGGATTGCTAATAATTCTGCATAGCTACTGAACCTTTTCACTAATTACAATTTCATATTTTAACTTGCATTAAAATAATTATTCCAAAAGAACAATTATTCCAAAAGTCTAATCATTTTCATACTTCAACTATGTTTGTGGTGTCTCACCTAAAATCAAGCTCTCAAAATCAAGTGCTCTCAAAGAATAGGTTTTGATTGACTTATCAATACTCAACAAACTAGACTACCCACTTTTAGTTTAAAATACTATTTTTATGTGGGCAAATTAAGTAACCTACCATAATATGTAATCACAGCTTCACATTTTAACTAAAGACAGGCCTTTTTCTGTGTCAGATAGCAGCATTCTTTTTCCTTTACATAGTGCATTGATAACAGGGAGTTGCTCTGATAAAGAGGCCACACTCACCTGCTCTGTTCGGCCTACATTTGGATCGTCCAGTGTGTCCACGGATGCCTCAGACTCAAAACCTTTCACTTCAGAATTGCTTCAAGATGCTTCCACTGTCCTCTGTAGTTGAACCAGTAACCCACATTTCAAATGTTACAAGCTCCTGGATCCTACAAAAGAAGAGTAAATTTATATCTCACAAGGATGTCTTAATGAGATTGACACTGAAGAAACTTGTTCCAGATCTGGTGTCCAATTAAAAACTGCTGAGACAAACCTGATCTGTCGTGACATGAAGCTCAGATAATGAGCAGGAGAACTCAGCAGGGAGTTAGAGGAGAGCAATAATCCCCCATATTTGTAAACTGAAATTGGAGAGGTGCATCTCAGCACCTGGGCCTGCTACATTTAAATCTCTGCTGAAAAGACAGCGCTCTGAGCCAACAGGCAGGACATGGATCTCCTGCCAAGCTACAGAGGGCCACTGTTAATTGAATTGTGCCGCTGTAACAAAGGCATTAGTGCAATTAAAGTGGAAAGGTTGTTGTAGATAATCTTAGCTGAAATAAAATCAGATAAACACTGAATGATAATCAGGGTAAGGATATAGCCTGAGGTAACCAAGTCTGATGTGGTGTGATCTGTGCCAATTACAGCAATCAGCATTAATTAGTCATAAGTCGCCAATCTTACTATGTATCAGATTTAGCTGTGTTTTTCTCCACCTCCATTATGATTTTCCAGTTTCTAAGCATTCATTTAGCGTTCATTGTTGACACTGAAGAAAACATATGGTAAGAAATAACAATTTGGATACAATAGAGATATTAGACTTTCAATAGAAAGCAAATTTTATTGAACAAAAATTATATGTTAATTGTCCAATTTTTTAACACAATTGCTGGGTTTCAGATGATATCACCACATTCCATAGTCCAATAAGTTTTAATGCAGATGGAGGGCAGCTAAAATTAACATGGCTAGAAAGCAGATTTTTGTAATAATACACGAAGTTAATGAGTTTAGTCACTAATAATAATACCCAGGTTCAACATATGTGAATTTATGTTTTTATAAGAGTAACTGTAATCAATTGGGAAATATGGCTCTTGTCCCCCATCTGAGAGTAACACACATCATATCTAGAATCTGAAAAGCACCAATATAATCTTGCTTTATTTCTATCAGATAGTTGTGTTTCCAGGAAATGTCACAGGAAACACAAAGGCTAAACTAAATACTTTTTCACTTTAATCATCAATCATGACTGACCAGCCAACATGGAGAATGGAAAAGGAGTGTCACAGAATATAAAAAAGTAGTGTCGTGAGCTGCTCAGTTTTACAAAAACACTAACTACACTAACTAAGCTTTTAGCCTAATCTATGATCTGCTTTATCGTGGGGTATAAAACTCCTGCAATTGAGAAATGTGGTTAAAGGTAGCCACTTTTTGTATTGTTAACTTTTCTAGGGCCATTTCTTCATAGTGAAAAAGTGTTATTAACTATTGATTATAAGCTACGTTATATTCATTAGGCTACTACTAGGCAGGCTTCATGTTAATGAAGCCCTTCTAAAGCATGTTTACCTTGTTTATGTAGCTGTTAATGTAGCTATTTTTCGACATTCATTGTAGATCGACCGAGTAATTCATGAAGATGCCCACTTACCAGTAAAAGAAAGTCCATAACTCGATAAGGAGAAAAAAAACTTTGAAGAGAAGCTAACTCAACTCATTGAAAATTAGCCTTACCGAGGCTCACGCAGTGCTCACGGCGAGCAGCGTGAGTGCCCGTTGCTATGGTAACGGAATGCTGACTTCGACTATCTATATTTAAGCAAAACAATTGACCTTTTCATTCATTTTAAACAACATAAACATAAAACTTTACCAAATGAAAAGTGTCCTGGATGTTCTGCAGTCAACATACGAGCAGGAGTCCCTTTCTATCGACGCTGGCTCAATTCACGACGCACTTCGGCGCTCTGCGGCGCGCATGTAAACAGTGAACTCCATTCACACGACTTCACCTTTGGCACTTCAGCCTTTGACCTATCAGAATGCTCAGTTTTAGATTTTAGATATTTATTTGATTAATTGCCTAGGCTTTTCTCTCCCAAAAGTGAATAGTTTTTATTTTATTTAATCAATAGGAAATAATATGGTTATGGTGCAGTGTTCAGAGCTGGGGTTAGGCCTACATGGATTTCAGGTTTAGAAAAAAACTAAATACTATTTGAATATAATATGTCCTTTGCAGTTGTTATGGACAAAATGCTATATCTCTTGAAGATAAATAATGAATCAATTTGGGTATGTATGTCCCTACCACATCTTGCTCCATTTCCCCTGAATGTTAGCACCAAGTTTACACAGCCTGAGATGACCAGAGGACACATACTTTTCAAAGTGAGAAGGTGTGTTCAGATGTGCTTGATCTGATTGGCATTCATATTCACCTGCGTTTGTCACTTCCTGACAAGATTAGCAAGCAAAAGGGAACAGAAGTATAAGTTATCATAGCTGTCATATAAGTTTTTCTTCTTCCCACTCCTTTTCGAGAAATGTGCTTTTCTGTTGTTTACACTGTATATGTAGTATACATGATTATTGTTTCTCTCTTGGCACAAACTCGAAATAAAAACGAATCAATCAAAAAAGTATTTACACTGAAGTGTCTTTCTAACAAACCAAATGAGATTTAGTTACAAGACCAAATGTGCTTCTAAAAGATAAACTAATCACTATTTTAATTTAATTAATCATAATCAGTATTTTCCTGTAGGGGTCTGGTCTCAGGTAGAAATCACATTCATTTACACAAATACAGAGTGAGAGAAATCTTTCCACGATCTAAATTTCTATCACATAGTTAATTGTGCTTTTTCAATTAATGGAGGATTTAGATACCCGTATCATAAAAAAAAATGCTAAGTAGGCTTATAATTATCAATATAGCCTACTATCAAACAGATTCATTTGTTCCACTTTCCTCCTAATCCCTAATTCTGGCATGAAGAAAAAAAACCTGGACTGTCAGGTGCTGGAAACAAACTTGAAAACCACGGCAGTAAAGAATAATGGCTCCCCCTTGCGGCAATGAGAACAGTTGCGTGCCAAATTCCATGCCGTTAATGCAAAAATCCTAATTTAATAAGAGGAAATGTTATTAGATTTACCTGCAAGCAGCTGTATTTCACCATATGTAATATAATGGGTTATTTAGACTTGCCACTACATGACGGCCCCGTAAACTGACAGCTGGTTGCCGCAGATAAGTAGAAAACATTTAAACAACATTTAAGTTTTATCCTTGTTTGGGTGAAATTAAACGAATTAATATTGTTCCATAAAATCATTAATAAAACACAAACAAGGATAGGGCGTTACTTAGTATCTTACAATGTTAGTGGACCTATACCACGCAGGCGTTTGAGCCAGAATAATTATACTTAAGAGAGAAGTCTTGTAAGTACGAGGTCTACTTGAACGCACCATTCAGTTCTGCCAAAGCGTGGGGAACAAATTTTGCGCCTGTGGGGATCCGACAAGAGACTGCGCACATGTAAGTTCATGACTATATACAATTCGAACTATTTTAAAATATAACAAACATGTATTTAGTGAAACGTTAAGGTTGAAATATGATTTTGCTACGTGTCTATCTACTTTCAGTTTCTTTATTAGCCTACTATTTTATTGCTTGTAGCCTTATACTTACACACAAAAATGTGCACATTTTTAGCTGTAAAAGTGAGTGTAAATACCTCATGTCACTAAACCATGCTTTTATGAGAATGAAAACTTTAATATATTCTTTTCACATACCTGACGAACATACTGTGGATAAACAGGAAGCATGATTCAGGAAGAACTGGTTGTTGTTGTTGTGTTTTTTTAGGCTGTGTGAGAATAAACTTACATCAAATTTGAGAAAACACTACAGCAAAGCAATATAGTCTATAGTGAAGTTACGTGAGTTGAGAGGTTTCAAATAAGGGCATAAAGAACACGTATTATGCATTTCTGTTACATTGTAATCTCACTTATGCCAATCAAGAAATGTAAAAATACTTATAAACTAAAGGGACAAACTTTGCCAAAGATCCATGGCTCTGTTGTGGGTGATATGAAATTCACCCAATTCTAATTTGAAGCCCACTCTCTGGGCAAATTTGATCAAATGTTAACACACTTAGGAACACTAACTACAAGTTTCTACTTGTTTAACTTAAGTTTTGTTTTTATACATTTCTAATACTTTAGTTTTTCAGGCCATGGACAGCTCAATAGAGCCTGCCTCTGTGGACCCCACAGCAGCCACCTTTTCACAGGTGGTCTTCACTGATGTCCCACGCTCTTACCCTACTTCCACTGACGTCACCTGTAACTACACAGTCACCCCCATGTTTCAGCCCCATAGTCGGGACTGGGTTGGGATTTTCAAGGTTAGCAAGACAACAACAGATTCACTACATTATTACTTTTATTGTTTTGTATCTAATGTGTTGTATAATTTGCAATCTTTTTTTCAGGTTGGGTGGAGTTCTGCAAAAGAGTATCATACTTTTGTGTGGGTGGAGCCATGTCAAGACACAGCAGGGCAGAAGGCTCTGACGAAACAAGCTGTTTTCAAGGGTGAGAGAAGGTTTAAGTCTGTTTTTTATTTAAACACACTCTCACTTTTCTATGTGTACAGTAAACATATATAGTACGGTATTAACTTTAATGTGCTTTATATGTCTCTGTTCGAGCTATGATTTGTATTATTGCAAGAACTCTATTAGGGACCAAACAAGGCGAACATACAAGGGAATGTGATATTTTACTCAAAGATTCATTATAATATGTGGTTTGTAATATCAACATACTTAGGGATTAAGTCTAAAACACTTAATATAATCTTCTGAGCAATTCAGTACAAAGATTAACTTTATTTTCTTTTAATAAACAAAAGTCTGTTTCTAATAAAAAGGGTCAAAGTGAGTACACTAAATATGTAATGGGCCAGCTATAAATATGTTTCTTCTAGATTACTATCTGCCCAAAGATGATGAGTTCTACCAGTTCTGCTACATCGACAGTACAGGACAAGTGCGAGGAGCCAGCACACCTTTCTGTTTCCTAAACCCTGGAGATCAAAATCTGGACAACAGCCCTGAGGATGACCTCCTAGTGATTACAACACAGGTACTATATGATACTGTAAGTCTATTTGTAGGGTTCAAATGATATCTAAACATTCTATTCATGGGTTTCAGTTTCCAGTTACAGGTACCGTTTTGAGGACTTTGGACCTTTTGAAAGATAAAATGTTTAGTTTTGAATTGTTAAGTGCTATGGAATTTTTTCATCACTCTGAAATCCGTAGCCAGGCAGTTGAATAATTAAGATGTGTGAGAGGTGACAAGACAATATAAATGAATTATTATTTACTTTATTTTAATACTACGACTGCTCCATAACATCACAGAGTGTCCCATTATCACATTGTAGAGTCAAATACATACTAGTGCAATGTGATTGCCAAAAAGAATTTGCACAACTTTGCCCTGATAAAGACTCGTGTGTGATTTGAAACAAATTGGCGTATATAAACCAAACTTCAAAAACAGGGTGCATTGGACCTCTTACTTTTTTGTCTATTCAGATGCAAAAATTGCATTTTTATGAGACCAATGTCCATGTTCTTGTATCTACTCCAAGGTAAATAAAGATTTATATTGACTTAATCTGTTTTGTTGAATCAGGAACAAGTTGAACAAAGTGTCCGTGAAAAGGCTGAACTGATGAAAGAGCTGGAGCAGATAAGAGCGGAAAATGAAACTTTGAAAAGTGATTTACTAAAAGAGAGACAAGAGGTTGAGAACTGCAAGGTAGGAATGTTGTGCATCATAGAAGTCTTTGTTTAATAAATACAGTACAGTTTACATACACATTTTAGTTTTACTTTCATTATGAGGTTTGTGGTCTATTTTGAAGGGGCTGAACATACGGAAAGAGCAAGACTGGAACACCCTAATGGCGGAAATGGATCTTATCAGGGAAGAAAGAGATCAACTCAAAAGAGATGTACAAAAGCAAACAATGGAAATGGAAAGCTTAAAGGTCTGTTCACAGTGGTAGCATTGTTTGAGTCAATGCATGTTCAAAATGACATTTAATTGTGATTTAGGGTGAGATGACAAAAGCCCAACCACAAAGAAAATATAGCTTGGATTCTGCTGACCCTGTAAAACAAAATGTAAGCTTTGTTTTTCACAATTAAAACTACATGTGTTAGACTTTTCAAATATAATTTCTTTAACACACAGGACAGATATGAAAAAGCACTGAAAAAAATTAAAATGCTGAAGGAGGAAGTAGGCAAACTGAAGGACATTAATGAAGCTCAAAAACCAGTGATATCTGAGTAAGTCAACATTGTGTTTTTTATTTTTATTTTATCTTACTGCCATACGTAAATTTTGCTTTTCCAATCACCTTTGAATACTAGTAAAAGAATAACAATATTTTTTGTTCAGGCTCAAAACAAAAGAAAAGGAGTTTTTAAGAGCGCAAGACGACCTCCAGCTCTTAAAGGTGAAAATAAGCTCCCAAAAGATTCATATTTGTGTTTTAAAAACTTTTAATAACTTGAAAATACTGTCTTTAGGTTGACCTACAGCGCACAGAAACTGAGAAGCAGAGAATAAACACTGAGCTACAAAACTTGCAAAGCAGAATTCAGCAATTAGAAGAGGAAAACCTGGAAATGCAAAGGAAATCATATAAGCAGGAGTCAGTTCAAAATGGTCCTGTAGACGATTTGAAGGTGAAGGAATGTTACTATTATAGTCATTTTTAAGTCAATTTACAACTTAAATTGTACAAGATCAATAGAGCTCAATGCTTTTTGTGTGTAAAAAATGAAAATAAATCACACAGAACCAAAAAAACAAGGTACATAGTATATCTGAGATGAATTAAGAGTTATTTCTCACATAGACACAGACTGTAAAAAGTCAATAAGGGGTTACCACTCCTTCTGAAATGGCATTAGTTTATCCTTTAACAAATATCGTATTCTCTCTAGATGTAAAGTATTAGCAAGGTCCCCTAGCCACATTTTAGAGCTTGGTACTGACAGTCCCTTCTATGACATTAAAAGTAGTTTCTTTGCAATAATAATATCTATAGGAAATAAACAGTTTTGAGTGGAATGTAACTTATATTATGTGATTATACAATACAAGTGTTTTAACTTCAACTTGTGTGATTTAGGTAAAGTGTCAGGAGCTTACAGGTGAGCTGCAACAGGCTCAGAGAGTATTGGCAGCAGAGAAGGAAGAGTCCAAAAATCTTAGAAGACGAACAGAAGCTGTAGAGGTGGAAATTTCAAAAATAAAAGAAAATCTGCACAATATGACGGCGTACAGTGCAGATCTGGAAAAGAAGAATGACAAATTTCAGGTACAACACAGAAGATAATTAACTACGCTAGAGAGCACTGTGCTAATTAATAATGCACATTACTTTTCTAAAACAGTAACCTCATCAAGAAACATACCTGGAGTTGTGTTTTTTTTTCATTCACACATGTTCGAGTAATCCTGGTTTATTATTAGTCTGTGTATATCTCCAAAGCTCAAAATGCTCTCTTCCATCTTGTGATGTCATGAAGCAGTTTTCAATTTAACAACTACCTTTTACTGTTAGTTCAGTAGAGATTGTAATGTAAACATGTGTGAATGAAACAAAACACAACTCCAGGTATGCTTTTGATGAGAAAACAATGTTATAATATAGATCAGAAAACAGCGTGTTACGGACCCTTTAATATTGCAAGATAGGGCCTTTAGAAATAGTGGTATTTGTCTAAAAAGCCTGTAAGATGAACCATTATATTTTCAGATTCAACTAAGGGAGGCCCATGAAATCATTGCTGAAAAAGATGCCTTGAGAGAAGACCAAGAACATGTGATTAAACTTGACAGACGTGAGAAGGAAGAGCTTGCTAAAGAAAACCAGGTTCGTTAACAGGAAATGACTAACCACCATTGCCTCCTTGACAACTTATTGAGCATTAGGGTTTCTGTGCTTCAGGCCCTGAAAAGAGATATTGAGGAACTGCGCAGAGCTTTTGTAGAACATCCTCGAAATGTGGTGGAAAGTATGTATGACGAGATCAGACCAGAAGCAGAAGAAAACACGCCACAACTGAACCTGGACTATGAACAACCCAATTCAACAGAGCGGTCAATCCCATCTGAGGGCCATTATGAAAATATAGATCAGCTTCAGTCAGGTAGTTATCCCTGTTTACTGTCTACTACAAATATTGTCTATAATATCTGTACATGTTATTTAAAGGTGCCCTATGTTACATTTCTGGTAGATTTTCTGCTATCTACTTGTTACCGTGGAGATGTTTCACAGTATGGAATGTTAATAATAATCCCTTGAAATATTTAATATTTAATGCCATACTATGGAAAATTCAAGACAAATAAATCTCCATGGAGATAATAGTGACTGCTCCTTAACCAGAAAGTGACATAGAGCACAATAGATGAACTTTAGATTTCAAAGCAGTAATTTGTGTGTCCAATTTTTGCAGCAGACACAGAAAACATACAGGAAGAGGTAAGATTTTGTATCTTTTTGTGTGTAAAATCAAGTTAAAATAATATGGGTGTCATCATTATAATAAGAGAAGTCTATTTTGTACTGATAAGTTACTGTGAACATGATGCAGACTATCTGGAAATTAAGTCGGGTTTACTCCTATATCATTGTTAATTCTTTCAATTAATGGAAAAACTATTATTCCCTAAAACTTCAAATTAGGAAGTATACATTTGACTCTTTAGATTTTGAAAAGGGTTTAAAGGAGTAAACTGACACAACTCACATAACGGGCAGTGTCCAATTTATTTCTAATGTGGATTTAAAACATAATCCGTCCCATATTTTGTTACCATGTGGGCCTCTCTATTTTTACCTCAGGAGTGCATGGTGTGCTGCTACTGCCAGGAGCTTTTCCCAGGAATCACCCAGAATGAACTAGAGCAGCATGAACAGAGCCACCGCGTTTGCCCCTTCTGCACCTTCATTTGTGACGACATGGAGCAGAGAGAGTTCGAAGACCACGTATACGGCCATGAGTTGTAACAGCAGCAAAGCTTTTACTGCCATATTTGTAAATATTTTAACCTAAATTATAATAAGGTTGTCTTTTCATTCCATAGAAGTAAACTGTATGTATTTTTCCCAATAAGGACAATCTATGAACCACACTGTGGAGTTAGGGTATTATGAGATATAACTTTCTCATGTAAAGTCAAGCATGTAGCACCTACATAAAAGGTGGAAGTTCAAAGCTATGCATTAATTTCGATTTTAAACCAAACCACCTGTTTGTACCTGTACCGCGGAGTTATTTTTATCAATCACACAAATTAAAAGTTGTTTTCTGTCAGCAAATTAACCTGCTATCAAAATGAGTTAAAGTTTACATGTTGTAATTATTATATTGTTTATGGTGAAGATGCAGGAAACATCTGTATGGCCTTTTTATTAGAAAGAATTTTGATGAAGCAATAATGATTGTGTAGCAGCATGAGACAAAATGTATTCAAACAGCCATGTATTATAATAATGTATCTGTATAATAACACAGCTGTAAAATTATAAAGTTAAAATAAAACATCTGAATGAACTGACTCTCAATAATACAATCTATTAATCACGATCATCCAGATTTACAGTTTCAGGGACATAGGGATGGGCAATGTTGACAGAACTCAGTGTTTATTTATATAATAATTACGCAAGTCGCTAGAAATCCACCTGTTAGTTTCGAGTTTGCTGTGAATACAAAAATTCAGAAATATAACCTTATACCCTTAAACTATTCTGCAAGTTTATGCTCTTCTTACTTGTTTAATCATTTCTTTTCACTGCTTTTTAACACCTTTCCTGCTGTAATAAACTATATAATCAATATTCTAATTTTGCATACATTTAAAAAGAGCAATTTAGAGATTATTATATTGCCCACCACAACATAAAACACCTCTCTTGCCTTCAGTAGTTGTACAAGTTCAAGTGCTCTTTTTGCATAGATGCACTGAGAGGCTGTCAGAGGAATGTTTTGCTTTGCATGCAGAACATGATCTTAGTGACTTCACCCCTTCTGCCAACTCAGTCATGTGACCCTTCCCTTGGGCACATTTTGTTTATCAACAAAGTCCCGAGACACTCCGTTAACAGTCCGGCCCTCCAGCTCTTCTTCAAGGGGTCATCTGATTCGCTTCCTCCGGTGTAATTTCCCGTGACGTCAGCTCAGAGAACAGAGCTGGTAGCCAATATTGAGGTTCCCCAGCTGCTTGAGAGTCCAACCAGGCCAGTCCCTCTTTCAGAAGATGATCCTGTGAACATAACAATAAAGTGTCAAACAAGCTGCCCCATAGAGAATGCCTGTAATGCTGTTCAACGGTACAACAGCACAAGAGCAGTCCTCAATGCTATTTTCAGTTGAATATCTGTCCTTTTAAGAAAATATGTTCAATACATTACACATACACCTAAATGGGAATGTAAACCTTGATTTACAGTGAAATTAGATAAAGTATCCTTGAATTTTATTATGCTAGCAGGTTTCCTCATGCAGTATGAAATAGTAATGTATGAGACATGTAACCGGATGAACAGGTTATGTAATGTGCCATGGTTACTTTAAATAAGTTGGTATGCACTTACCAAGACATGTGAAGCTCGCTCTTTCTCCCATTTAAGACTTTCTTTTATCTCACTAACTGTCACGTATCCTTTTTTCTGCAAAGGTACAGAGATAACCAAACATTGTGAAGACCAAATCACAATTTAAAGGCAAATTTTAAAAAATCATTGATGTAACTACAATGCCAGAAACATTGACTTTTTTTACTCAAAAGGAAAAATGACATCATGACACCTGAATTATACTGGACTTGTTGTGACATACGGCTATCCTACATGCCCATCTTGCTTTCAGCCTATAGGAAGTATTTGTATGGTGGTCAGAAGAGGTGAAACGGGTATAGTAGGCTGCCATGGTTCTATCACCACCATCCATAGTGACTTGAATACAGTATGATATTTTAAAGTGACTTTTGAGTGGCAAAAAAGCATTATTATTTTTTGTTTTGCATTTTATTTGTGAAAAGGCATTTTTTCCTAAGGACGTTCAGAGAGCAGGGGAATAATACAAGAGGTCAGTTGTTTATGTTCTCTCAGACCTTACCTCTGCCAGTTGCAGTACAACAGTGTGGTCCATGTTGAGCTCAGCTGGCACTGACTGCACCAAATATGAACCACCAACAGGGATCATCCCAAACCCACTCCCCATCACCTTCAGTTTCTTTATGGCTCTCACCAAGTCATCTCTAAAAAACACAGAAACAGTTTGATACATTTAGATTTTGGATTCAGTAGTTTTAATACCATTACCGAATATTAATATTTAGAATACTTACTGGCTAACATCCTGTGCATATTTACCCCTTCCTTTCAGTACTCTCTGATGAAGCTCATCAAGAGTAATAAGCCCTGTTTAAAAATACATAGATTAATGGATTATGTTAAGTGATAGACAGTGATTTTTGTTGTATTACATAAATGGAAATCCAATTATAAAAAAAATATAACAAAAAAACCCTCAAACCTCCATTTCTGTGTTTTAGGGCAAGGCAAACTTCAATAATCTGCACTCCAAGTTCATAATAGAAGTCTCCAACTCCAAGCATCTCTGACCAAAAACCTTTACCAGCTGTGAATGACATAATATTGAATATTGAAAACAAATGTATTCCTTTAGTAGGCATCTAATGAAGAGCAATATCTTGTAGCTAAATATGGCATGGAGCATCTTTTCTTTATGACACTAATATTTTCTACAACTGTCCTTGTTTAAAATAAATAAATAAAATTAAAAAAATTAAATAAATAAACAAAATTTACATGCAAGAGGGTCCACTCCTATGGTGGCACACATTTCTTGAAATTGAACTCTGAACTGAGGGTTCTTGCGGATTTCTTGTTTATGTTTACTGGCAAATTCTTCCAAGTGGGACTTAAATGTTTCCAGTTGTTTGGACATCTGTCAAGGAAAGAGAAACAAAAATACATTTTAATGTTGATTATTTACAATATATTTTTTAAAGAAACTGTCCTTACTTGAATAATTTGGTCTTCAGCCAAAACAGTTCCCCTCTCTTTATATTTGGCCTGCAAAAGTAAGGAAAGAATGATCACTCACAGAAGTACACCACACATATACATATTAGAAATTTGACAACAATGTTTTATACCTCGGCCAGCTTCTTTTTGGCAACAGCCCCAGCTCCAACTCCTCTTCGCATCTTGTTGCTTATGTATAGTCACTAGCCCTTTCAAATTTAACAGTGCAAGTTATTATCCACACAGTGTAACCTCATTTACTTTTCTGTCACCATTATATTTTGGACCAGAAGTCTACTCATCTTCATAACACCCTGAAAACTACATAAAATATCTAAAAATAAGAGATTTTCTTCAAGCTTTACGTGTCAAGGGAGCGATGTTGCCATTTTGATGAACAGGAAGTGCCCACTACAAGTATTCATTTGGATATTGGCTAAGCAGCGCCCTCTAGCGTGTTGGTGAATGTAGTGAGTGATAAGTGAATTGCAATATCATGATTTGGCAAAAAATGCAGTAAAGCAGTAATGCAGTAAGATGATGTAATCCGCTATACAAAGAGAACTCGTGCAAATATCTTAACCATATCTTAATTTTAATTTACCAGAATCTTTTTAAACCTGTATTACTAGAAAATTATCACGAACTATTCTTGAAACTAGGTAGTGTACTTATGTATTTGGATGAGACTAGATTTAGAATGAATGTAAAGTATCTTGACCGAATCATGTAAACATATTGACACAAAAGACTCGCATGGGAAAGGCAAAAGATGCTTATTGCACTTCTTCAGTGGCAAAATCACAAACTATTAGAGAATATATTATATCCATAGATTGTGTATTATCATGTAGTCGAGCCTTTGTCTTGGATAGTCCCTGAGTTTATTTAATTAAGGCAGTGATGGACGCTGGAGCTGTCCCTGAGTGCACTGTACACTGATTGTACCCGCACTTCAAAACACAAGAAATGGCCATATGAAAGGTTGCGCATGCGCAGTATTCATCGCTTTAAAACAGTCTTGAGGAGGGAACATGAAGGCAGCTGCAGGTGGACTTCAGTAACATCAATGGTATGTTATGCATTCATTATTCTCCCCAAATAAAAATGACAGGGACCCTACAACTGTAACAACGCAGTAGTTACAAATGTTTCTCATAAGACATCGGTTACTTGCTCAAACTCAGTGGCTAGCTTTAGCTTGCTAGCAGGCTGTTATTGTTTTTCATGAGAAACCAAAATGGAGGAGATGGTTGGTGCCAGTGTCCTGCGCAGCCACTCCCGAGCACTGACTTGGATCTGTGATGGTAAATTGTCTGCTTTGAAACGGATTTCATACTGAATGTTACTGTTGAATGTATAGAAAAGAAGTGCAGTGCTAATGTAGCTCAGCGTTAGCTTAAATTCTTAACCGGCTGACGGTTAAGAGGGAAAAGGATGCCCGGAGATCTGAGACCTGTAGTTAGTATTAACCTTATGCGTGTGCTAGGCTTTGTCCAACTACATTTACTGCCTCGTCGTGCACTCGAGTAATGCAAAGATATCAACAGTGTGTCATTGTGCCTGCTTTGTTCTGCAGGGGTGCAGCTCCAGGGCACATAAGGAGTCGCTGTGGTTGAATCGCACCGCTGAGGCGTTGCAGAAACGAGGGAGCCAAATGTGTTCGCCATGACTCTGAGGTCCACGTTGTTTCCAAAAGCAGGATTCAAGCACAACGCGGACAGCATAGACTTTGAAGCTCCCCACATCGGGACCGCTACCGTCAGCCCCGTGAGCCTGAAGAGGGAGTGTTGTGACTTTGTTATAGATGTCCATAACACACAGGACGGCGCGATCCCGAACAAGGACGTAGATCAGAATTATATGACTAGTAAAATCGCTATTGCTGCAACAATAGCAGAAGCAGTTCAAGGAAGCACCACAACTGTAGGGGTATTGTCCCCTGTCAGACAAATGGGGGGTGAGGGAACCCCAGTGAAAGGTAAACCCCTCTCTGTTGACAATATGGATAACCCTCAGATGGTTTTAAACAATAACCCAAAAGACGCTGGAGCAGATGATAGCGCCAAGGGGGTTGTACAAGGAGTTCTTGGTTCTGCCTCTATAGAAGTCTCATCTGAGGGAAAATGGAGGAACATCAGGAAGACCCCTGCCAATCCTCACACACAGGCCAATTGTCTTCGTCAGATCTTGCTTCTTCAACTGGACCTCATTGAACAGCAGCAACAACAACTACAGTCAAAGGACAAGGAGATAGATGAGCTCAAAGCGGACAAAGAAACCGTAAGTAAAGCATATTTGTCTCTGAAAATATCCCAGTGACATGTCACCAATTTGATTACAATGCACTACATTCTTTTACCAGTTGCTGGCTCGCATTGAGCGCATGGAGCGTCGCTTGCAGCTCACCAGAAAAGATGTGCCTCGTGACAAACGTCTTTTCCAGCCTCTGGAGCCCTGGACCCCAGATAAAGAAGACATTTGGGATCTAGAAGTGGAAGAGAGTTCTCAGCCAAATCCACCCACTCCACTAAATTTTCGTAGTAGTAAAGGCCAAAAAAGGTGCTTCAACTACAGCAGTACTTTTAATATTATGCTGCTTCTGACATTTAGGTGCTGTTTCCTTCTAAATAAAAAATGTCTTTTGCTTTATTTATAGGAAATCATGCTTTGGGGAGATAAAGGTCCAGAAATCAAGGTCAAAGGGTGCAAAGCTCAGTCCTAAGTTAGAGATGGAGCCTGGGTCGCCTCTACAGCGAGAGCTGCGCAGTAAAGAAACTCCAGAGAAGATTCTCAGGTGTGGTTCAGAGAAGGACATGCTCCAGTGTAAAGAGGACCCAGAGCTCAGCTGTCAGATGGAAGATCTACCCTTCATGTCAACAACAGAGATGTACCTCTGTTGTTGGAACCAACCACCCTTGTCCCCTCTGCGAGAGACTTCTCCCAAAAAGGAGGAAGAGGTGGCCAGTGAGTCGACTCCTCATGTAGTACATGATATGCTGATTATTTGTAAGCCAAATCTATAATGTTACAATTACTGTCACCGTCTAGTCTCAAACACCTTGGTCACAAGTTAAGTTTTTTTTTATTTGTAACTTTTTAGTTCCATCCTGGAGGGAAAATCACATTGAGCCCTTGGAGGAGGAGCCCTCTTTTATCCCTCCTGAGGTAAGAATAGTTGTTTGTAAATGGTCAGTCTATCTCTGCTCTTATCACTAAAATTTAATATGTGCCACTTCACCCACATGAAGGCCCTGGATGACAGCATATTTTTGAAGCGACATTCAAAGTTGGAATTAGATGAGAAGAGAAGGAAGAGGTAACCATTGTATTATTTGAAAGGGGAGGAAAGATCTGCAAATGTGTTAATTTTTATATTGTTTTCCCTCTCTTAAGATGGGATATACAGCGCATCAGAGAGCAGCGCATGTTCCAGCGTTTGCAGCAGCGCATGAACAAGAAGAAAGTGCAGGAGTCTGAGCCAGAGCTTTCTTCTTTCTACCCTGAAACCGAAGATGGTACACTCCAGTTAATAAAAATTATATTACTCAAGAAAAGTTGCCATTGATAGAATTTATATAACTGGAATTGTGTTTCCTTTCAGTTGAAGCTATAGTGATTACTCCTTTCCTACCTGTCGTTGCATTTGGAAGACCATTGCCCAAACTAACTCAACAGTAAGCAGGGTTAAGGTTATATTCATGCAAGTGGTAATTATACCAACCAAGTGTTTGCATTAAGAGACACTGCCTTTTGTTCCAGGAACTTTGAGCTGCCTTGGCTGGATGACAAGAGCAGATGCCGTATAGAGGTGCCGAAGAAGCAAACTCCACATCGGACCTGTAGGAAGTGAAGCTTGAATGTTAGATTGCACTGATCAGTCTTGTCCAGAGCAAAGACACTGCTCAGTGGCTATGTATAACTGCTGTCAGTTTCACAAGGACATGTTGTTTTTAGTTGCGTCAACCACAACAGATCAGTGTTTATGCTAAAAATAATAACAGGTGATTTCTGCACCAGTGGGCCTCTCAAACATATAACAGTGGGACTAAAGGCTTGGTGCCATTGTCTTCCCATTAGCAGCTGTTATTATGAAAAAGTTTCATTCTGATCTAAATTATTTGCATGTGGTAGAATCCAAATACATTTTATAACAGGCATACTCACTGAAATAGATTTTTAAGGTCCTTTAAGATAACATTCATAAGGTGAAAAATACAATTAGAAACTTAAATCTTCAAACATCAACTCATTAACTATTTTGACTGAAAATGTAAATGTATGGCATTACCATACTATAATTAGTTACTACGCTCTTCAAAGGTTGAAAAAAAGTCACAATTTGACCGTATTGTGCTGTGTATTGCTTATATTGTTAACACGCAGAAAAGACATATCAATGTTAGATGTTATTCCTGGGCTTGAACCGCATTCAGCATGATACCATTAAATGCAGTTCTTAATCTAATACTCACAACTATATCAAAGTTGTGTCTTGAAACAGAAAATATATTTTTGACAAAGCAATTTAGTGTGACAACAAGTGATTGATTTTGTTATTTTATGTGAGTTGCATGAACTGTTTCAAAACAGTAGCATGGTGAATTCAAGATTTGAGTGTTTTCTTCCAAAACTTTTTTTTACTTGAAAGCATGAAAACAGGCGAGCGCAACCGCTGTATTCATACAAGTTCCAAGTAAAAGCAGCACAACTTGGATTCAGATTTTTGTGTTACAAATAGTTCAATATGCTTATGAGCCTGTAATTATTAGGCATATCTTGTATGCATTGGTGTATGAGAATGCAGATAGCTGACATTCAAAATAGCCTTGTCAAAAGTTAAACAAGCTGTTCTAGCTGTAGTAATAGCAGTGCAACATGCTGCTGGTTAATCTTTGTCGTCACAGTGATTGGTTCTTCTAACGTTCTTCACTGCTTTACTCACCTGTTTCACGATGCAATTGTTCCTACAGCTTCAGTGCAACTGCCTAGCATACTGTATGTGTCAGCTGATTTTGGAAATACAACATTGATCTATTTGTACATAGGTATCAGACAAATGTACATAAACATGGCTGTTATTTTTTTATTATTTAATGTTGAAGTGTTCAGTACATTCAATTGTTCTATGATTGTATGTTGACAAATGGACAGATTTGAAAGTTACAAATTACAATTTTCAGAATAAAACGGATCTAGTCTAAATAGTATGTGTTTATTTTAAAGTGTGTGAATTTTTGAAAAATTATTACTTTATACTGAGATAGTAAACTGAGAATTTATTTACAACACAGTCTGGTTGGAAAATTTTATTGAATAAAGAAAACAAAATCAAACAGTTTAAAAAAGACCCCACCCGTAGCCATTTGGTTAGGAAACATCAAAACATTTCAGACTTAACTTCGTGTTCCTTTGCCATGCCAAACATTTGAATATATATATATTTATAGAAGCCCTCTTCATGTGATGGCTTTGACAACAGCTACAAATGATCTAATGAAATAAATGGGAGTGTGAATAATGAATTGAAATTTCTCAGTTCTAAGACCCAAGCAATTAAATATCTTCATGGTTTGTAGTGTATATATATACATGCCTATGACTGTTAGTATTAACACAAACATTTTTTGGCTGTCAATGATATATATCTATGACTTTGCTAGATTGTTTTCATAAACAATCACACCAACAAAAAACAAAAAGAAAGCCATTTACCTCCAATACTGAGGTACATATACAAGCCATCCCTTCAAAACAACTTGCAATTGTTTACACTGCATCTGTTTTACCACCTTCACAAAAGTGCTCTTTACAGTTTTTAATCTTTTCTTAGGTTGTTCAAGCGCTCTTCCAAATCAGCATCTGCATCAGCCAGGGCAGCTTGGGGCTCTGCTTTCTTTCCAGCCACTGACAGGCTTCCACCAGTAGATGGCAGGTCTAGAAAAACATTGATATATTAATTAAAGTCCAAATGAAAGACTCTCTTATATAACTATATATATATATATATATATATATATATAATAAGACAAATATAAAATGTGAATGTGTGATAAATCCTTTAACTAGCATGTGTATGTCATGTTAACAATTTTGCACACAAGACGAATATTATGTTGAAAATGATCTTACTTGACAACTCATCAGTCAGATTAAGGCCCAGTTCATCCAACACTTGTGATACAATAGCGTCACTGAAATAAAGCAAAAAATATCAATTATAGAAAAATACCTTTAAAACACAAATTAGTAACATTCTGTGTTACTTTATTACCTCTCCTCCTCATCATCCTCATCTCCCATGGCATCATCAATGGCATCGTTCATCATCTCCTCTTTCATATCCATAATTTCACTCTGTTTTTCAAACTCCATCATTATCTTCTGGATTTGAGGAAGTTTCAGCTACACTCATAGAATAAACAAACATTAGTTATATTTAATTTGAAAGTTAAACAATATATTCACTACTTTAACATTCTTCATACAGACCTGTCGGTTCATTGTTGCCATAGCTTTGGTGACTCCTTTCATAGCCTGAGCCATGCTGTTGTTGGACTTAAGTGTCTGAATCTTTAGGCTGACTGCTTGAATGTTGGCCTTCATCATAATAAACTTCTTAATGTAACGTCTTGTCCGAACCAAGTCTTTTGCCATTATTTTCACTGCATCCTATAGAAGGTAATTTATATTAACATCAAGAAGTCTGACCACCATTTAGTAACAATAACTATAAGAATAAACATTTAGAGGATTTAGTCTCACCATTTGTCCTTGTTTTGCCATTTTCTTTATGTCAGCAATGATCTTCTTTTCCTGTTGTTCCAGTTTGGCTTTTTCTCTGTCCAACTCTCTCATTGCTTTATTGAGAGCCCTCTGGTTTTGCCTCAACATCTCTTCAGGGGTCTTTCTCTTTCCAAACAGAAACTCCATCTACAATCAAATGTACAAATTAGATGATAAAATGGTTCATAAATTCACGTTTTTTCATGGTTACTTTTAAGTACCATGAATATCTACTCGATATAAAGTTTTAAATGTATTAAATGGTCTAAATATAGATCAATTGAACTCGTGACAATTGAGGGATCTATTACGTAGGTGTGGAACTATGTGAGGGTTCATACGACACCAAAACCGGTTAAATTTAAGATATAAGAGAAGTTTAATTGTAAATACTTAAACAGTCATCTGTATAAACGCCGCTTCTCGGGACGATTTCTTCTGAAGAGCTATAAAGTTAGGCAGAAGGCCCAAGAATAGTATTTTCCACTCATGTTTCAACCACAGATTCGACCCAGTCTATGTACCCAATAGACAAATTATTCCAACGAACCCTTAAAAAACAATTGCCACTGTTTCTGAGACCTACCTTGTATGACAGGTGTCGTGGACAGGGGGTAATTCAGAAGATATTCGTCGGCAAATGTGTTTTTACCGACTTCTGACTGGAATTTTAAACGGTTATTTGTTTTTCTTTCCTTCTCTTCCGTGTTGGGGCAATTTCACTTCCGGGAAATGACGTAAAATGTTGTGGCCTCTCAAACTCATTACCAAAATAATAGAAATAAGGAAACACAGGTATCTTACTAATAACTAATATTTAATTTACTTTAGTTATTTTTTGGCATTTTTAGTAACAGTATTATATTTTCGTCTTAAATATTCATTTCTGCATATTTGGTGAAAAACTGCGTCAAAGTTTCACACTTTAACATTTTATTTTGTGGAACGTCTTGGCTGACAGTTTCCTGTATCAACTTGACACAACTTGACACATCCATGCTTGACGCCCATGTGATTGAAATAACTTCAGAAGGAAAAAGTCATAGACCCAACGACTATTTGTGAGCTCACTTTGTAGTAAGTGAATCCTAATACAATATGTGGGTCTCTTTATGGAGGAAATGTGTTCGTCGGTCATTCTCAGCTCCTAGCAGTGGAAATACTTATTATCATACCAACAATGCTCTTTTTTCGGAGAAGAATCCTGCAATGAAAAGGCTAAGAACAGTGGCAATCAAATCTAAACTAAAACCTGCATTTTTAAGAGAAAAGGCAACTAAAGACATCGTGTGGAGCAGCGAGGCACCCAGGCATCTCGATAGAAGAGTCACTGTATCACCTGAACTCAAAAAACTGTCTCTGGATGATGAACACACTGCAAAGAGAGATAGGACTGTCAAGCAAAAAGCAAAATTAGACCACCTTGAATTTGTATTTGGGATATCTCCTTGCTTACTGGCTATTACACATGGAAGAAGAAGGATTTTGGGACTGTTTGTGAAGGAAGGGGACACTTCTCTGAGAGCTTCTGTTTTGAAGGTTTGTGAAGAGGCTCAAAGACATGGAGTGCCAATTCACCATGCCAGTAAAAAGGACATTGATAAAATGGCTCCAGGGCGTGTACATCAAGGAGTATGTCTACAAGCAAGTCCCCTTACTTATGTCACAGAGGAAAAGTCAAGTCAAAGTTGGCTCCTCCCCAGAAAAAATAAAAACATGCCACTTTGGCTGGTTTTAGAAAGTGTACAAGACCCAATGAACTTAGGTGCCATTTTGCGGTCAGCCTATTTTCTTGGTGTAGACAGAGTAGTAAGCAGCATTTCTCAAAGCTGTCCCTTGTCCCCAGTTGTGAGCAAAGCCAGCTCAGGTGTCATGGAGGTGATGGAGGTGTATGGATGTAAAAATCTTGGTGAATTGCTGAAATCGAAGCAAGCAGAGGGCTGGGATGTGGTCGGGACAGTTGGGGCGGAATCAAGAGAATTTTGTGTTACCAAATGTTCCGATTTTACTATGTCTAAACCCACCTTATTGTTGATCGGTGGTGAGGGTGGAGGCCTTTCGCAGGAGCTACAAACTCACTGTCATACCCTTCTAACCATTCCTGCAGGAAGACCACTGTTCTCAGGGATAGAGTCACTCAATGTGTCAGTAGCAACTGGTATTCTGCTTCACTCTTTATTGTATTCAAGATGTTCAAACAAACCATTGTGATGAATACAAGTGTGCTGTCATTACTTACATTACATTACATTACTCACACAGGCCCAGGTCTAAAGGGGTGCACCCTCACTTCAGGAGCCTAAAATAATTCCACTTAATTGCAGCGTATTATGTTTGCACCTCTTTAAATCTTGGATGCACCCTCAGTCGGTTTGGTCTGCATCCGGGCATGGTGACATTTTAATTGAAATTACTGTGTTGTATGTGATTAAAAAAAAAAAATATATATATATATATATATATATATATATATATATATATATATATATATATACTACCGGTTGAGCCAGTCAAGCAAAAGTCGAATGTAACAATGTATAAGGAAAAATGTCCACTGGAATTGGCATATTCATTTAGACTATGTTCTAATAAAATGTTGATGGTTTGTTAACAACCCAAGGATGCCAGTTGTAGCCATTATTATCAAGATAATTTATATCAAATTTGACTTTGACATTTGAACTGACTGACTGAAGTTGGCTCAAAAATACTTTTAAAAAGCTTATTTGTAAATATGACAAAATAAAGTCAATGACAAATATAGTGTAGGTATCCAACTGCTAAAACGTCTATATGTGATTATTTAATTTTGTCTTAATTAGGCCAATTTATCATAATTTTAACAAATCTGGACTAATGACGAAAAAACATTTCTTTCTCCCTTTTTTCTTTTTGCTCAAAAGGTGTATTTACCATTCTTTCCCACATGGGGGCAGAAAGCGCAAAGAGTATCATGATGAAGCCTCGCCATGAACGGGAGGAAGAGTGGTGCACACAATGCATTGCACTGACAAGGGTTGTGTCTCCTTATTTTCACGAGAAATTTACTATTCAGTGCAAACTTGTGAATAGCCAGCATCGGACTGGTTGCGTTTCCCCGCTTCTTCATTTACATTCTGGATTGAGTGGAGTTAATCCGTTGCACTGGGACGCCGGCGTGTGCTTCAACTTGTCCTAAACATTGGATTACAGTCTCGGCAGCACAAGGAGCTGCCCAGCCCAAAGGGGGCTTGGCCCACACCCCGATAATGGAAATCCACACCGAGGCTCTACCGACTGGGCCTTGATTATATTTCCTTATAATGGGGCTAAAATGGAAGAAGAGTTGGGCGCAAAAAGCAAAATTGGATTACTCAGATGGTGTTAAGTTGTTGTGAGGGACTTTACATTTTCTGCACTTCCGTTTAAACGGAGAGGTTTGTGGCTAACAGCTGGAACGGCTAAGGCTAGCAAGCCACTGTGCTAATGTTACGTCTTTCTTTTGATGTAATTTAACCATTATCATCGGCCTTTAATATTAGATGAGTGGAAGGTGTTACCTTCCGAATGTTGAATTTAGGTTTAACGGTTTAATGAACTGCAGGAATTATCCAAGAACCCAGATGTGTTTTAAGAATATTGTTTTATTCTTAGTCGCTAGCAATATTGTTTGTGTTTAGTTAGCTGCGTACTTGTTATCCAAAAGAGCTATTTTGTTGAAAATCTGGGCCAAAGTGTACTATCGGAACCCAGTAAAGTGCAATGTATTTCTCTAAAATTACTTGAGATGTTCATGAAGACTTTGTAGCCTATGACCAAATCCTGTCACCACCACCGGGTTGCTGCTATCGCGTATCTGGGTTATTGGCCTTGCTAAACTGCTAACATCTTGCTCACGGAAATAAATTTGACAGTGAGTGTTATAATCAGGGCATTATAACATCCTGGTTAAGCAAGGACTCAGTTCTCACGGTATAGTATACAATTTAAGTGGCAGGGACCAGGATTCGCTTTGTTTTGACATTAGTGTGGTCTTGTCTTTTTGTTTACATGCGTATAACTCATTTGTTTTGCAAGCTAATGTTAGCCCCCTCTAGCAAACAGCCAGTGGCGTTCTGACACTTCGGCATGCCGTGGATTTTCAGCATTTCTTTATGGATCTATCTTTCTAGTCAGACTGATTGAAATGACTTTAAAATTCCGCCGAAAGAAAGGCACGGATGCCAACAGACTGTGTTCGACATACGGAGAATAAAAGCCACTGGTTTCATTAACGCCATTTTGCAGGGCTCTTGTTAAAGGCCCGTGTTGTGTTTAATCTTCGCCGGACCGGATCTAGGTTAAAGTGCCTTTGGTGTCATAGCTCGGAGCTTGGTTATGGAGGGTCCCAGCCGCAGCACCGGGTTTAGACAGAGCCGACGGTCGCGGTCTCAGCGGGACAGAGAGCGGCGGCGGCGGAGAGTGGACTTGAATGAGCAGCGGGCCACATCTCTGTCCTCGGGGTCCGATCAAGAGGCCTGTGGCACCAATGGAGTCCGGGGCCCTGGAGGGAGAGAAGGCAGACCGGGCTTTGGCAGACACAGGCCGCCGCGCCGGAGGAAGCGGGAGTCTGTGTCCTGTGAGGAGGACATCATCGATGGTTTCGCGATTGCCAGCTTCGTTAGCCTGGAGGCATTAGAGGTACAACAGTTCTGCGTGTATCAACTCAAAACTGTGTCGTCTTCCCTTTTGTAAATTGCACAACTTGCACAGTCAGAATTTGACAAATGGAGCAAATCAGTTTTACACTATAATGCACTGAACACATAGCTCTGTGTTTACAGTGTAAAACAAGTCAGCAGGCTACAGATTGAAATGAAACGTAAAAATAAAGTGCAGGAATGAAATACAGTGAAGGCAGATCTTCTGAAAAGGCTACCACTAATGGGTTCTGAACAGGCCTAAATAATTCATGATCTGATTCTGTCAAGATGGAGATGAGCTGCCAAAAAGTTTTGAATTCTGACAACCCAGTGTGTATCTCCTGTACATGATACAGAGCATTTGTATTCTTACTGGCATACCAACACTAATTGTTGAGTGTTTTAATTGTAATTTTTAAGATGGACTGTTCTCTGAAGCCCAATCAACGCTCTGACATGTCGGGAAGGAGGAACAAGGGGAAACGAGGTCCGGAGCAAAATGGAGGAGGCCCACTGTCAGATCCAGAGGCAGGTGGACCTCATAGTGTTCATCGAACCAAAAAAAGAAAGATGGATGAGCAGGTGAATAATAAAAGAATGTCATACAACACTTGTATCTTGTACTGATCTCTTAATATGTATGTTTTTGTCATTGATTTAAATCTACTATGTTTTAGGGAATGCCTTTGGAAACTGGCTACATTGTAAGCAATTTCATTTTTTTAATTCAGTACACAATGTTTTTGCATTGCCAACATGTTTAATTTTGGTGGTATACAGCTTTATGAAAATAATGTCTATTTTCCCTTCCTCAGTGTGACACTGAGAGTGATTCTGGTGGCAAGGTGTGTATTTTTGTTGATATACATTTTAACTCTTGACTACAAATTTATCTAATTTTACAATTCCTCCTAGGCTTCTGACAATGAAATTGACCCAGTCTTCACCGTTAGTACTAGGAAAGGTACATACATACTTTTTTTGTTGTGTTTATTGCTTTCAACATTGGCAAATACAGACCAGGATGCTGACTGAGTTTCTTTTTCAGTTGTTGAGCCACCAGTGACGAGCATGGGCTCATCCATTGGTAAAACTGGCCCTCCACTGCAGGTGCGCTGTGGGAGTGTCTCACGGTTGATGGTGACCCCACGTGTGTCTGGTCTGGAGCGAAGTCAGGAGAAAAGCCAGGAACAAAATTTCACAGAACCAGTTGCTACTTCTACCTCTACTGCTTGCCTGCCTTCCCACTCCTCTGTTCCTCGACCTAATGCCATCAACCCTGGCAGTAGCCCCCACAATGCCAACTCTCCACTCTCAAAACCCAAGCCCTTTCTCACGTTACCTGGTCGATCACAACCTATGTATAGCAGTAACAGGTAGGTTAATAACTTGAATGACTGTAAAATTATTAGAAGCACATTTTCCAATGACCCTCATCTATTCTGTCTTTCTAGGAGTAGTACTCCTGTCAAACCAACCTCATCTGCGTCATCAATGGCCACTTCTTCCATGCGTCCGCCCACACCATCCACAAGTGTGTCTCTGTTGTACAATAGAGGCTCCAGCTCCTCTCTGCCTCTCAGACCTCCTTCACGAGCCAGTGCTGGAGCACTTTTCACCTCATCTCCTGGTCTCCCACCTCCACCTCCTCTGCTACAAGGACCATCACATACGTCTGCAGCAGGTACATTTTCTTTATGTAAAATAAAGTGTGAAAGTAGTAATACTTTGTTACTGTTTTTCATAGACAAATTCATGACAATAAAACTTATTCTGATTCTAATCTTCATTAACAGTCTATTTAGATTTGATATTTAGATATATTATAACACATTTTTAACATCACATTTTTTGGACTGCAACAGCAAAATATTATTTTATTATCTTTAAAGAGCGTGAAGGCCGGCGTAGTGTCCCTGGGTCAGAGAATGCCACAGCGGGCCGCACCACTCCTGCCTCCAGTTCCACACCAGGGTCTTCAAGTAGGACATCGCAGAACCAGCCCAGCATACCAGTCCAGTTCCATCAGCACAACCACCAGCACCAACACACGCACACACACCAACACTTCACACCTTTCCAGTACCCACCAGCTGCTGCACCACCACTGGTGAGTTCCACTTTAAACTCATGCATGCTTTACTCGGGCACAATGCAACAGCAATTAACCAATGCAACTGTCTTTTAGTTTGAGAAGTATGGCAAAATGAATGAGCTGTACCGACACCCTGTAAGTATTACAAGTCAACGCATTTCTTGATTTAAGATTTATTTCTAAATACGACTGACAAGTTCTTTCTTACCTTATTTATTTTCACAATTTTCTAGTTTTTCCCACAATTCCCACTCTCAGTGCCGAGTATTCAGCCTGTGATTCCTCCGACTGGGCCTTTTAGCTCCTTACAAGGAGCATTTCAGCCAAAGGTATTAGTTCTGAAAATAAGATCTATAGCTTTTTTGCCTGTGATCTTCATGTTAAGGACAAAACTTTATTGATGTGAATATTTTCTTGTTTCTCTAGTAGCTATTCCTTATGAAAATAGTGGTTGTTATTTGTTGATGCATTTCTTTGCTCTTTTTGATAGCCTCTTGTCCCTCAGGGAACTGCTCCTGACCTAACTGCTCGACTTGGGGTTGTGCCTCACCATCTTCAGCCCAAAGACCCCAGGGTAAGATTTTAGTCAATGATCTCGAATAAGGAGACATAGGTCAGGATAAAATGTGCTGGCATGTGGGCCTAGTGCTTTAGTGAGTGTAAATCTATTATTGAAAACCAATGAGACAATGAGGTGATTAATAAGGTGGTTTTATATATATTTTTTTTCTGTTGTAGCTTACTGATCCATTTGGGACATCGTTGAAAATCAGTAATGTAAGCATACGCTGATTTTGTTGCTGTTTTCTTAAGCACCTGAAACATTTCAGCAGTTTTTTAATTCACTCACAGCTTCACTCCCCTCATGCACTAATCTTACTAATATTGTCTCACCGCTGCTGGTTTGACTTTTGACCTTGCGCAATCTTGCAGATTTGCCAGCTAGGGAGTAATTAATTTATTACCAAAATTTTCTGTGGTCACATTATCTCATATTCAGGAAGCCCTAGTCATACGTAGACCAGCGCACATTTTATTTAACAGTCAAACAGATCCTTTGAATGTGCAAAGGCAATCTTCCAAGATTGTATCAATTTAAAACTAAAGGGGTTTTCTATCTGTGATTTGTAGAAACCAGGGAAATGGTGTGCTATGCATGTCTATGTGGCCTGGATGATTTTAAGCCATCAGAAGAAAGTAAAGGTATGTATTGACATAACAGTGGCTGTGTTAAGTATATTGCTAAGTGTGATTTTATGTTTTGCAGTTAATGCAAGCTGATCCTCACAAATTGGACTTCCGGAGTGACCTGCTGGCCCGTCTTCCAGGGGCTGGCGGACTTGGTCCACTCGGACCAATGGGGGGATCACTGCCCCCTACTCACGACCTGACAAGGCCTCCCACTCTGTTTTCTGCTACAGGTGCATAATCTTGCATTTACTTGCAACTGTGAAACAATATTTTAAACTATATGCTTGTGTGTTTTAATTATGGATGTCAAACATTTTTTCAGGTGGTGTCAATCCTTCCACTGCGCCTTTCATCACTCCATCTACACCCCATTCTTCATTCCTGACACCGTCACACTTGGGTATGTTTATGAAAGATATGGATGTTAAAACATATTTGAATCTACATTTTATTCAAGCACCCAACTGTTCAGTTATATATAAAAATAAAATCAATGCTTAGAGGATATAGGTGATAGTTCTTGAAATCACTTACACTTTACACACAGTTTGCCTGAATGGCTGAACAGTATTTTTGATATGAATTCCTGTATGTTTTAGATCCTTATGGTCGCTCACCACCCTTTACCCCGCTGGGAGCCTTGGGCTCTGGTGCCTTTGGGGGACTGGGCAGCCCATCTCTGGGTCAGTGTTATATCTGTTCTTGTACTGTATTTAAAATTACTAAGTAATATACTCGATATGTAAAATATAGATATTGTAAAAGACTTAAAAAAAAAAAAAAAAAAGAGAGAGAGAAAGTAAAAAAAAGAAAAAGAGAGAGAGAGAATAAACATACAGGAGACTGAAATTTTTTTTAAATATATTATTATTATTATTATTTATTTTTTATCTTTAATATTTGTCTGCTCTGGTCTTTTCTGTGCTGGATAAAGCACATTACAAGATCATTAGCTCTTCTTACCAATGTAAAAACCTGTGACATGTTCTTCAGGTGGTTCTGTATTTGGTCCTAAAGACTCCCCAGCAAGTGTGGTGGGGGGCTTATCCTCTAATCATCATGACCCTTGGAGTCGTCTACATGGTGGTCCTCCTGGTTTCCCTGGGCCCAGCTGGGCTAAAGGCCCTGATAAAAGGGATGATCGAGGGAAAGATGCAGAAAGAAGAGATGTCCCTCATATTAAAGATGAAAAAGACAGGTAAGATTGATATATCTGTGGGAGTTTGTTCCTCTGCCACGGCACTAAACTAAACTAAATTTATGTTGTTTTTTGTAGAGACAATATGCTGTATGGCCGACCTCCTGTGAGAATGTCTCCAGTTGGCCCTGCCTTCAAACCCCGCAGTAGCACCCCAGTTTCCCACATAAATGGCCACAGCAGTGCCCTGGGGCCAAGCAGTGGACCCATTGAAGACCTGACCCGCAGTTTAAATCGGGACAGAGACCGTGAGAGGGAGGCAGATAAGAGACCATTGCCAACAGTGTCCTCAAGGGGGCCTCCTGTTGGTTCTTCCACTTTATTAGGAGATAGGGAAAGGCCACGGTCTTCCTCCTCCTCTGTGCTTACCACACCTCCACCTTCCAACCTCTCTGCACCTTCACCCCTGGACCTTTACCCACGCTCTCTTGGCTCATCAGCACATGGCCACCATAATGAATCCACACACTCCCAAAGAGACGGCAACCCTCCTGCTTCCTCTGTAGCTTCTGCCTCTGTCACCACTTTGACTCAGGCCAAGAAGTCTGATCGGACAACACCTGTCTCCAAATCTTCCCTACTTGTTCCCCCAGTCAAAGTGAAAGAGGAGAGAAAAGAGGAACCAGAGCACATCCCCATCACACTGCCACCTCCCCCAGCACCAAATCATACCTTTGACCGCCCAAACAGCCATCCACTCCATCCTCGCTCTGGCACCCCCTCCTCCTCATCTTTAACACCCACTCCAGGTGTTCCCCTTCCCCCACCCACCCCAAACCCACATCTCTCTCTGCTAGACCGCACTCGAGCTATCGATGCTTACCTGGGTGGTGCAGGTCCCGGTGGACTGGTGGTTGGTCCAGGAGCTGACCGTTTCCATCCTGGCCCAACACATGGACCTTCTCAGGGGCCACACAGCTTCACATGGGACCCGTGGAGGGAGCTGGCGGTTCAGCATCAGCAGCAGCGCAGAGAGGCCTTGGCACTTCGGTCGGACCCTCACCTTGCACTGCGCTCAGATCCACATCTGGCTCGTCTGCTCCAGCACCAGCGCCTCCTGGAGGCAGAGAGGGTTGCAGCAGTAGCAGCTGCTGCAGCTGCACCTCACCATCCACCTACGTCTACCTCTACTCCCTCCAGCTCTGCTGTTCGCCAGGAATTCAGCCTTATGGCCCACCCTTTTGACCGCCACCATCAGCTCGGACCTCCTGGAGGTGGGCTGATTGATGAGGAGCAGCGTGCTCAGATTCTGAGAGAAGACTTTGAAAGGGCACGTTACTTTAGCATGCATCCTCATCTCCCTGGGTCTCACCTCTCCAGTCCCTCTCATGCTGCTACTGCTGCCCACTTGGAACAGCTCCACCCGGGCCTCCTATCCCATCCCCTTCCTCCAGGAGCCTCTGCAGCCCACCACGCAGGCCTTTACTCACGGCTCGCCCCCCTAAACCCTCATATGGCCAATGGCATCCTGGCAAAGACCCCTGCTGGGCTGGTAGGAGCCCTGTCAATGGGGCACCCACCACCCCTCATTCCGTCCGTGACCAGTCGGTCCGCTACTCCCCCTCGCAGACTTGGAGCACCAGGTGAGCTGGCCCTGTTCAGTGCTCATAAAGACGGAGAGTCCAGATAGTACTGGGACAATGCTGGAGGATATTAAGGGAAATGTCAGGATCACTGTGCTGCTCTCAAACAACCCCTTCCTCTCGCAGAGTAAACCACAAAGAAGCATCAGTGATTGCCTGGAAATGATGTTGGTGGTAAATGCAAGACTCATCATTGTGGCTTTGAAATATACCCACTAGTTATCAGTGCAATCTAAAGGTACATGGTTTCGTGCATCCTTGGTGTATTTTTCTTTTTATATTGGCTGTTCAATACAGTAGTCAATGAACTCTGTTTGAAGAGGCAGAGGACAGGTTTTTGTGGTGGTTGAATGAATATGTAACTGTGCTCTTGAGCAGGCTTTTTCAGGTTTGTGAAAAACAACTTGCATCAAATGTACAATTGAAAATATGTAAGGGTTCTTGTTCTGTTTAGTTAAGGTTACTGAAAGTCCTCTTTGACAAATCTGACCACGTGCTTATGTCAAAGAGGGCTGAAGAACAGAGGAAAAGTAGTGTGTCCTGATTTAGTTTGTCTTTGGTCATCATAAAGACACATTACAGTTAGGACCATATCATTAAGTTGGCATTTTACCTCAGCTTTCTGCTTCCCAAAAATCTAACCCAGATTCTCAGCTTCATTACTACATCTCATTTGCTTTTTTGTTTTCAAATTTATGAACTGTGCTGCACTGTGAGTAAACACAGTTTTAGAGCTTCCTGTTACTGTTTCCCATTCTCCCCTGACTACATGAGCAGGACCAGAATATAGTAGTGTAGAAAAAATGCATTTGTAATATTAATCTTAACATTAATTATCTTCTATAATAATAAATATATTCACTGTTATGTTATTGTCATTGTTTCAGGTATCAAGCAGAACCCCTCTCCTGAAATGTTTTAGGTCACACAAAAACACATCATTAGGCTGCTTCACATAAATGTTAAAATGCTTGTGAACCTATCAAGGCCTATCAATTGTATCTCTGGTCTCTATGGATTTCATCTGACCTAAATATGTAGAGAGGCAGGTTTTCCTGTGTGGTTTATATGTATACATTTGGGAGTGGGACTGTGGGAGCGCTGAACATTTAATTGTCCTGTTATTGATAAAATAAGTTATATACATGGAAAGTGGGACAAATGCTAAGAAAAAATATAAGACTCAAGGGCAAGTAGACAGTGGGTCAACTGAGAGGGAAAAGACTGGGTCAATTATTTTAATATGACCATTTTATACCTTTCAAACCCCCTCCCAAGAGACGGCAAAGATTAATTATTAAATGAATTGTTGTTTACGTTGTTGTCTTGGTCTTTTTTTCTTATATAAACTTTTAAAATTACTAAAAGTCATGTATCTAAAGATCTGCAAACTACATGGGTAACAGAGAACCCCTAAATTAATGAAACTTTTGGAATGAGCTTACAGAGTGTAAAAATAAACCGTGCTTTCATAAAATCTTATAAACGGACATGCGAATATTAAATAAGTTGCGATGTAATCTATGATTTCATCTCGCAAAAGTGTAAACCATAGGACAAGTCTCACAAATACAAAAATTTAAGTGGCGCGCTCTTGGATTTTCTCGCGAGATTTCCGTGCTCTGTACTTTGTCAGCAGCGGCGTCCCTCCACCATTTCGCTGCGTAAAGTCTCCTCCCCGCGACCGCTACATTCTGCGCCGAAACCCAGTCTCTCCCGGTCCGTATTTTAACTTCTTCCCACAGACCTACTGGTACCTCGTTGGGTACCGGGAGATAGTTTGGATCGCCAACATCACGGATTGAGTGTGATTTTGTACGGATGACGACTCCTTCAACAAGAATTTAGTAAAAGAAAATTGGTCGGAAATTTCAGGTAGGTGGGAACTTAAGATGGCGGCCGTAAAAGGGAGGGGGGCAAGGAGGAAGTAATGGGGGCCCTAAAGGGGTGTATACGACACACGAAGCGACACAATACGGCAGCATGTCCCAGCTGTAAATATGCGTTCCTTGTGCTCTTTTGTATTAAAGACGTACTTTTGATGGATCGGAAATTGAGCGAATGATCAGTAACATGTAGCAAGCTCTGTTAGTATGTAATGCCTCAAAGAGACAATTATTTACACAGTAACTTTAAGTTTGTCCATGCTGAAGTACCTGCCTTGTTGCTGTGCGCGCCCTACCTAATTACCCCCCATTCAATCGTTGCAAAATGTACTGGCAACTAAATAACATATTTGTAGTTTTTGTTTTTTAATAAAAAATTGCAGCTTGTTTGTGCCAGAAACATAAAACATATGCCATTTAATTTTCTAGTATTCTTGGTGATTTGACCCCACGCAGTGACGTCACATTGATCCCCCCCCCCCCCCCCCCGTAGTGTATGTAGAAGCGGCATTAATGTGACTTTTCACATGGTTTGGCTTACTTTTAAAAGATCTTTTAATGCAATCTGTGGACACTGACGAGCTCGTTTTGATAAGACTATTATATAATTGTGGGAGCGTCATAGTGCCAGCTCATCCAATAAATGTACCCTATCACTTCTAACTCTTGTAGCCTGCTAGTTAGCAGGCTTTTCTTCAGTGCCACCCTAGCAGTGTTATTGTAAATGCTAATGCTAGATGCTAACTGCCCCCCAAAAGCGCCTGTGTTAATTATTTGCAACAGATATATGATATCATGCCATGAATATATGCGACTATCGGTAAACTGGTCAGACCCTTTCGAAATGTATCATGTGAGCAGCCACCGGTGCATCAGTGCTCGTATCTTGCATTTGGAAAACCTCTATTCTGGGGGAATCTTTATCGGTAACCATAGTAACTCTCCGTGTCTTAACGAACATACGTTAACGCTACATTTGTTCAGGTATAAATGAATGGCCCGGGCCCGCGCGCCTGTCTGCCGGCGAAGCCCGGGAGCGCGTGCTGCAGAATTCCTAACGTCTTGAGTTGAATGCTCCGTAACAGCTAACACATCCATGGTTCACTGCAGTAAATGCTATCCTGGACCCACAGCTATAGCCACCACTGTTTACTCTACTGCCATGGCTGCTATCCTTATTTTCTTGCAAAGTAATACACCACCTGTTTATACAAGCTTATAAGAATTACCATTACATTACATATGTGGATGCTTCCTCCATGTGACTCTATAGCCTACCCATCATCACATAAGCTACACTGTTGTCAGTCCACTCTTCAAGTTTTATGGGAAGCAAGAGTAGCAAGCGGTAATACTACTTCCCCAAGAGCCTACACCTATTTAACAACTAAGAAACCAAGAAACAGAAAAAGTGTGAGTTCTTTGAAGTTTTACATTTTATGTTCCATATGTATGTTCTACAGATGATGTGGTGGGGATCCTAACTTCAGCATCCTGGAAGTAGAAAGCACAGAAGACCTGTGTCTACAACAACAGACAGGTACAGCACTTGTAGTACTTGAGCAGACTAGTCAGAGTTGTTGCATCTTGCTTTTAATTTTAATTGTGTTAGTAATAATGGTTTGTCCTCTAGGAGCAGTGGTCAGCCAGAGCGGAGCAGAGGAGCAGAGCTCTGGGGAGGAGGCGGTGCGGCAGCGTGCCTCTCCGGCTGTGGAAGTGCTGGGTGCTGACCCCCAGGCTGCACACAATGTGGCTGGGGAGTCACTTCAGCATGCCCCGCAGCCGGTCACAGCTGCCCCCCGCCCAGTACCTCCTTCCTCTAAAACGCTCGCAGTGCCATTGCTGGATGGTGAAAGTCTTGCATTTGTCAACACAGAGAAGTTCGCTTCACCCGCCTTGTATGAGGACTTACCAGCCGAGGGAGACAGGCCCTCAGAATCAGAACTTATGGAGGAAAGATTTGCCAACATTGCAGGAGTCTTTTCAACATCCTCTACTGAGGACTGCAATCCCTCTGAAATGCAAAGGCACCCATCCTCCTGTTGTCCTCCTCTCTCCTCAGACATACAGCTCAGCAACACAGTGCTGCAATACGGGTCCCAAACTATTGAAGAGAAAAGCCCCTCAAATCAGACTAAGCAGAGTCAACCAGCAAAAGAGGCTGGAATTGTGGATATTCAAGGGACACAAGAGAAAACATCTTTCACTTTGGAAATTAAACCAGAAACGGCTGTTAAAGAGTACACAGGTGAAAATGTTATCTCACAACCATTTTCTTTCCAAACTTCAACTACTGCCTCACAAGCCAGTGTTGAAGTCCAAGACACAGCAAACAATAGGGCTATCGAAGAGGAGCTGCTCACCAAAATTGTTACTGAACAGAACTTTCAATCACAAACTCTCAGCGCGCCCTTATTTCACAACAATGAGAGTGAACAAATTGACATGCCACAAACTGAGATCTCACACTCTGAGCCCACATCGGAACCTGAAACTGTCAATGTTCCAAACTTCCACCAAGCGCAGGACGGGGACCATGAGAGCATGAGTCCTGACCATGTTCTGGACACTGCTGCTACAGTCCAGTCAGAAAGCATCTGTATTCAGGACACTTTCACTAAACCTTCCTCTGCTCCCCTTTTAGTCGGGACAGACCTCGTAGTGTCATTACAGACGGAGCAGGGAACCTCCACGGAACAAGTCGGCTCCACTGAAATGCCACTAATAGCTCAGATTGTGCACTCATCGGACGCTCATGAAATCGTGGTTGTCCGAGAGGACGGGGATTGGTCTGGTGTACATCTCAACCAGAGTTACCTGCTCCAACGGGAAGATGGCACTGTTTGCCAAGCTGCTATTATCAATGACCTGGGCTCAGAGCTGTCCGCTGGGGAGACTGTACACCTGGACTCTCAGTCTGTGGAGGTGTATCAGTTTTGTGACCTGGTGGAGGAGGTGGCAGAGGAGACAGTGTGTGGCAGCAGTGGTATTCAGATCCCCCATTCTCCAGGTTATGAAGTGAACTTGTTTAATGCATTACTGGACAACTCGGATGACTTTTCTGTCAAAGAAGACCTAGAATCACAAATGGATACAACTTTTCACACTATTGATGAAAGTGATGGTGTTATAATATCTCAACAGGCTGTGCTTTCATCACATGATGGAAATCAAATAGTCACATGTACTAGCAGTGACTGTCATACTATGTCCATACAAAACACTGGTGTTGCTGCTGTCCAGCAACACTTGATATTGGATGCTTGCCAGTCAGGAGCAAACTCAAATGAGGTTTGTTTAGTTGAAGTAGCCGCTGTTACATCTGATTCCTTTGCTGTTGAACAGGCAAGCACTAGCACAGAGGCCCTGGGCTCTTGCACACAGTTGGTAATGGCTGCAGACCAGTCAGAGGCTCTTCAGAAACAGGAACCAGATGTAACGGCGTCTTCTCTAACATCTCCATTACAAGTGGTCAGTGCTGCAGTGCATGTGGACGGGCAACCATCTTTAAGCCACTCCTCAGGAGTTACTGTTGTAAGTGCTGCAAAGCTTGAACCCTGTGTTTCTTCACATGAAGAGGGCAAAGAAACTGCTACAACAGCTTTGCAAACAATACACACTGTTGTTGTGACCACATCAACAGAGACAGCCTGCCCTTCTCCCTTTCTGGGTCAGATAAACCCAAAGTTGCTCATTCTCAAACCCGGGACAAGTCCAGTCCTCAAAGCCCCTGCCTCCATCGTGGCTCAGGTGACCAGGGCACAGAACGCCCTCAGCACGGGCAGCGTGTCTGAAGAGTGCCTTTCTCACACAGGCTCCTCTGTGGCTCCTTGCAGCCACAATGAGCAGACAAACTGCTCTGTCAAAGCTCCGGTCCCTGCTCTTCTCACTGCATCTGGTTCCTCCAAAAGTGACACCCTAACAGAAAACTTAAATGGAAACAATTCTGGTTCACAAAACTCTACAGATGCCCCTGTGGTAGTTTTTGAACCATCTCAAATGGACAGTACTGCTGTGACTGAAACTAGCTTTAACAACACTATTATCAGCCAGCCTGACTCGTTAGCTGGGGAGGGTGAGGATGAGGGGGAAGAGGGGGAGGAGGAGGAGGAGGAGGGGGTGGATGGGGATGAGGAGATGGAACAGGATGAAGATGCTGGAGATGGCTCTGTGGACGAGGGCAGTAGTGAAGAAGAAGGCAGTGTCGAAGAACCAGAGGGTGACAGACCTGAGGGTGATGTGACCTCACCAGCTTCTCCACATAAGGTATTTAATTGTATAGTATGTCTTTATATAGTAATCTGTGACCATGATTACATTCTGTTTGCTAGCATGTTATAATGCAGTTGTCTTTTGTTTACATTATTTTAGGGCTGAAACTAATGCATTGATTAGTTACAACAACAATTGGTTTATTGAAATAATTGTCTACTATTAAAGTAATAAAAAATATTCTTATCTGGACTACACAGCAACTCTAAAACATGCCATTTGCTGAGTTAAGAGGGTTTATGACCAGAGCACAAATTGCATTAGTTCTACAGGTTTCTGTGTTATTTAAGTAAATGTATTTTTAAAAAATCTGTGAGATTCATTTGGTAAAGTGAGTTAGTTGCAGCCCTACATTATTTTATGCATGCAGTTTATAACATAATTTAATTTAGCCAGTTTTAAGTTATGGACGCATGCTAAGCCATGTGTGTTTTCCAGCATGGCCAGAGCAGGACAGACAGAAAGGCACTGTTCCTGAAGGTAAGTGGCGGTTGCGAGATCAGGCTCTGTGTCAGGATATTTGTGTGCATGACTCTTTCACGCAATCACTTTTACTACTGGTTATTGTTTTGATATGTGGCTTTTATTTACATCACAGCACAAGATATACTATTTCTGATCACTTAAATAACTTTGCAGCATGCTCCAATGTGCTCTTTACTAATGTGCTTAAGTATGAATATGGCTTTGTTTCAGCTGCACCAGTTTATAATTATATTGTTTTAATTTATCTCTGTTGGGCTTCAGGTGCGCCAGTGGATTGCCGATAGAGTGTCAATGAATTCTTCTCCGGGGTCCCCCTCTCCTGGCCCATCTTCCAGCAGTGATTGGTCCACGCCGAGGCTGGACAGGTCCTCTCCTCTGCGGGGGTCTCATGGAAAGTTTGTTTCACCACAGGATCAAAGCACACCCCATCGATCCCGGGGTGAACGACACTCCGATATGGCAGAGCAGGCTAAACATGTAAGGGTTAGATGTAGTGTTTCTGTGATAAGTTTGGAAATGTCCAACTGGAAAATCCATATTGAACCTGATAATTTGTATTAGTGACAATGTTCTTTATCCTGCTACCTTTATCCAACCACTTAATCAAATTAAACAAATAAGGAAATTTTTTCCTGCCCCAAATCTCTTTTTGAACATTACAGACCTTTTGAATGTTGCGAAGGCAGCAGGATTATGAAAATGGAGAAAACCTCACAAGAATCCATTTTGGGTAATATACTGTAGGACCTTTTTAAGAGAACATATATTATTCAAAATGTACTTTTTAACAATGTTGTAATTGTTTTCCTTCTTTACAAGATTACCTAGATTTGTACACTGAGTGATTCATGAATGTTTGAGTGATCCAATGTGATCAATGCGGGCCACAGAATCACTAAATACCCCAAAAACATAATTGATTATTGTACTACCGAAATAATTAAGAATATACTGTGTAAACGCTATGCAACAGTTTTTCTGGCTCAATGCATGGCAGAACATTACTGAGAGCATATGCATATTGTCTCAAACAGGAAGCAGACATCGAGCATCGGACGCAGGCACTGAAGCGAGAGGGCTTTTGGTCAATGAAGCGCCTCACTCGTCTGACAGAGCCTCCGCGACCCAAAGTGCACTGGGAGTATCTGTGTGAGGAAATGCAGTGGCTGTCCGCTGACTTCGCCCAAGAGAGGCGCTGGAAAAGAGGCGTTGCCAGAAAGGTAATAATAACAAAATCCATCCATAGTATTTCACAAAATTTTATATGATACTGACATGATATAAATTGTAAAGCATTTTTAATAATTTAACCCAAGAGTCTCCAACCTTTTTTGATTGAGTAAATAACTGAGTAAATATAAGAGCCACGGCCTTAGATAGGTACAGTTAGAGGCCTATAAAGCATAAACCATTACCCATTTATTAGTGCAGAAAGTAAAGTTAGGTATGATAATTATACATTTACAATTTTAAAAGTCATTCTGTTCATCAAATTTTAGTTATTCAGCACAAAATGTGTAATTCTGAAAATTTTCACGAGCTACTTGGAAAGAGGTGGAGAGGTACTGGTATCTCTTGAGCCATAGGTTGTAGACCCCTGATTTAACTATTAGGACTTTCTTTTATTCTTAGGTTGTGCGGATGGTAATGAGACACCATGAAGAGCTGAGACAGAAAGAGGAAAAAGCAAAGAGGGATGAACAGTCAAAAATAAGGAAAGTTGCTGCATCAATTGCGAAGGAAGTGCGGGCGTTTTGGAGTAGCGTTGAAAAGGTAAAATTAACATTTTTTACAACTCTACTCTACAACAAAATAGCAGATGAGTCATGTGTAGTTTTATTCTTCCTAGGTTGTCCAGTACAAGCAGCAATCTAGACTTGACGAGAAAAGGAAGAAGGCTTTGGATCTGCAGCTGGACTTTATTGTGGGACAGACAGAAAAATACTCAGATCTTCTAAGCCAGTCTCTCGCACCCATCTCCAAACCTTCAGAGTCTGATGCTGCTTCACCCCAAAAATCTCAACCTATTCCTGTGGATGAAGATGGTGAGAATTAGAGCCCGACCGATATTATCGGCTGATATGGGCAACTTTAGGCATATCGGCTATCGGCCGATATGCTTGCTGATAGGGGCCGATATTTCACGTGGGCATGTTATACCTCGTTATAAAGCTTAGACTCTCTACATTCTGTTCATTTAATCCAATTTACAGACAGATAAATGTCCTAATATGTGGCTCCACATCAGTATTTATCTACGGAGTCATTTGTCTGTGTGTGTCTGTACTGTCCCTGAACACACCACAGAGTCGCGTCACTCACGTGTGTTTGTTTACACCTGCAGACACAGATCCAAACACTGAGATTATTTTCTTTTTACGGACAATCGGTTTGAGTCTGGATTAAAAGGACATTTATTAGTGCAGATTTGTGATGTGAGGAGGAGCCTGTATGAGCGGTGAGTGTTGGAAATATGTTGACTTTGAAGCTAGTTTTTGTCATTTGTTATGTTTTAGCTGCTGTAGCTCCCGCACATAAACAGACTGTTTTCTATTGGTCTGTTCTAAAGTGACTATATTGGCCGTATATTTGCTACTGGACCTGCACTGATATGTAAATGAGCTGTGAATAGAGGTGTGAATTATGACATTTGCGCATATAATTAATGACCGCAGCGCGCACGTATTTACGGCTAAAGGCTAATAGCGCTACTTTCTTTACTAGTTATGGGTCCGTCGCGAACGAAATGGTTCTTAGAACCGGCTCTTTGAAGGGAACGACGGGAGCCTGATCCATATTGGGAGCCGTGTTTTCTCTTTCTCTCACTTTTTTTCTCTTAACGCCGCGTGCAGATTCGTGGTTTGACAGCGGCAGCGGCTAAAAAGGAAACTTTGAGAAATTTGCGTGTACGTAGGATTAAAAAAAAAAAAAAAAAAACGAGCATATTTGACTGTAGTTTAGCATAAAATAAATAAGTCCCAGTTTAGTCCTTTTTCAGTCCTGGTTTAGACCTGGTTCAGTCCTGATTCAGTCCTGCTTTAGACGTGCTTTAGTCCTGCTTGCAACAAAACAATCTGAAGAGCCACTTGGGAGCCAAAAGAACCAGCAGCTTTTAGTGAGCCGAGCCAAAAGAGCCGGTTCTCTAAAAAGAACTGGAATACCCATCACTAGTGTCTAGAATGTGATGCAAAATGCCATTAAGCCAACCTACTGTCTGTAAATATGATGTAAAGAGGCAGAATAACAATAAATGTTGCCTAAATAAACCCAATTTAAAATCCACCAGAGCCAAACCTAACTTTTTTAAACAGTTCAACATTTACAGTGAATTTTTACATCACTAAATATATTGGCGATTATATCGGCTAGCGGCAGCTCCAACTTCCATTATATCGGTTTCATATCGGCCACAGCAAAATCCATATCGGTCGGGCTCTAGTGAGAATCTTATAAAATAAAACTAAATGAGTTTTACAGCTTGATGGCTGCAGTCTCCGTGTAATCAGACATTTCAAAGTTGAATTACTGGTTCAAATAGGGATGTTGTCATAGCTACACCTCTAAGGTTTTCACAGAAGGAAAACTTGCTTTTTTCATTGTCAAGGTCACATTTCCAATAGAAGAGAATTCTTGTCATATCTTTTCGACACGAGTAATATGTTTACTACAGTAAATATGCATATATAAAAAGACACAAGCCAGATGTGTTGCAATGAAATCCCTGTTGATGTGTTTTATAACCTGGTCTGTTTAAGTTTTGTTCAGTAATGTTAAACTCTAAAATACTTATGGTCTTAAAAGTCATTTATATTCAGAAGTACATTTGTCTCTGATCTTTTTTTGCTACTGGCTGAACCTGTCTGACAAGTCTTCTGCTGCCTCTGATGCAGAACGGATGTTTATTTATTTGTATCTATGAATGATACTCAATTAATCCATCCAAGTTATTGTTGCATAGGATTCTTCTCTGTTTGTTCAGATAAATAAAAAGTATCACCATGTTTTCACAGATGGAGACTTTGAGCCTCAATGTGAAGAAGAGGATGATGAGGAGACTATTGAGGTTGAAGAGCAGCAGGAAGGCAATGACGCTGAGAGCCACCGCAAAGAAATCGAGCTTCTGAAAGAGGAGGGCAATCTTCCTCTGGACCAACTGCTCAGCACGCTGAACCTGCCCCAGGTACAGCACAAAGCAAGAGGCACTGTAATACACTGATAATGAAAGGGTCAATGCCAATTGACAACAACGTGAAAATACGCACTCACTCAGCTCTAGGTTAATCTGTCTTCCATATTAACATGTAATATCACCACATAAACACCTATTTACAGTTTATGGCTCATTCTAATATATATTTTTAATACTTCAACTTTGCTTTACATTGATTGTGTCCTGTGATTCCCAGGATGGAGGCTCGGAGGCGGAAGGCTCTGACCAGTCATCTTCGTCTGCCGAGGAGGAAGATGAAGACCGGGAATTTACAGCAAATGAAGAAGATGGTAACGTTGCTCTCTTCATTATTTTACTTATGCTGTATGTTTGAAAAGGTCATAGAATATGTCAAAAACACATTTCTGTTTTGTAAAGCATTTTGGTTCAGTTGTTGCTGTTGTAAAGTACTTGTAATAATAAAGTTTGACTGATTTGAACTATTCTCTCCCATGTTTGTTAGCTGAGGATGAGGAGGACACCATAGCGGCCCAGGAGAAAGTCGAAGGAAATGTGGATCACTCTGCAGAGTTGGATGACTTGGCCAAAGAAGGTGAGCCTTTCTATTCAGGAGTGACACTTTTATTTGTAAATCTTTTTTTGTTTTGTTTTATTTGATAAAATTGAAAACATTGCACCTTTCATTTATGTTTATATATTGTTTCTTTTAAAATGGATAACTCTGTGCTGTGTTCTAATTTGCACTCATACAGCAGTTTTGTCTCATATATTATTTTCTAAAATAAGTCCCTTTTTGACCTTTTTAAACACCTGTCATTGTATTGAGCTAAAGATATGAAGCTATTCCTGTAATGCAAATCTAACCAGAGTGCTTTTCTGCTCCAGGGGATATGAGCCTTGAAGAGCTGCTTGAGAAGTACAAAGGGGCTTATGCATCTGACTTCGAAGAACCATCTGCGTCTGCTTCCAAAGCGAGCTCTGATACTGAAGTGTCTGGGGACGAGGAGGAGGAGACCGAGGAAGATGAGAGTGATGTTGAGAGCCACACGTCCTCCTCAGGTTAGAATAAACTATTTGTTCAAACTGCAGAGTAATTATGTGTTCTGTTTTAGCTTAATTTATTGTCTTTTGTGATTAGTGAGACTTTCTATAATGTTTTAATGACTTCGGAACAATGCTCTCCGTTCTGTTTTTTTTAATATAAACTAATAATAATAATTTTTTGAAACAATGTTAGAGTAACAAAGCATGAAATATTATCAAATCTACAGTAAGGAGTATAAAGTAAAACCTTAAAATTAAGTTATAAAAATGACAAACAGTTGTACTAAACCTATCCCATTGCTCAGTCCCAGCCTCAGTTCCAACATAATTCAGTTTAACACACTAAAAACAAACAGCATTCTTTCACGCGTTGAAGTATGGTAGACCTCTTTGTCGTAATGCTAACGCAGTCAAATTGAACCCGTCTAACTTAGAACATATACAGTACATGCATTAATAGTCTGCTTTATCTGTTCGTCTTTAGAGTCACCTGGGGACAGTGAGGAAGAGGATAGTGCAAAAGAAGACAGCGCTGAAGATGATAACTCTGGTGATGAAGGAATGGAGATCTTATTAAAAGAAGGAGACCATAGCCCCACGTCCTCTGGCTCTCGACCCAAGAAAGACATGAGCCACATCGCTGCTACTGCTGAGAGCCTCCAGCCCAAAGGCTACACTTTAGCTACAACTAAGGTCAGTTTGGACAAAACATAGACTGTTGGCAAATCTAAGCTTAAATTCTGTAAAAACTAATTTGTAAGAATGGGACAATGTCTCTTTTACATAAAATTACCACAAGATTGTGACTGAACATATGTGTGAAATAATTTATTCTGATTATTTGTTTACATTAGCTTGGACAAAAAAAAAAGTGAAAAAAGTGTTCCTTAGTGTTAGTGTTGCTTGGTTTTGCAAAACGATGACAATGAAAAATAAAAAATAAATAAATGGAAAATTGTGAACTGAACCACACAATTTATTATAAAATCTAAATCTCATTTCGCTTTTGTTGACCCATACTCATGTCTCATCTTATCCCTACTAATGTGTATATTTTTATTGTTAAAGGTGAAAACGCCGATTCCTTTCCTCCTTCATGGCACATTACGAGAATACCAGCACATTGGTCTCGACTGGTTGGTAACAATGTTTGAAAAGAAACTCAATGGAATTCTGGCTGATGAAATGGGTTTGGGCAAGACAATTCAAACTATTGCCTTGTTAGCTCACCTTGCTTGTGAAAAGGGTAAGAGGCAGACAATTACACAATATTGTCACTTGTCTGATGTGAAATGCTAATAATTTATATTTATAGGTAACTGGGGTCCACATCTTATCATCGTTCCCACCAGTGTCATGTTGAACTGGGAAATGGAGCTGAAACGCTGGTGTCCTGGCTTTAAAATACTCACATATTTTGGGAGTCAAAAAGAAAGAAAGCTTAAAAGACAGGTAATGGTTGCTTTTAATTATGTGCATTTATTTTGACAATGTCCATTTATCATGGTGGGGTTTGGATGCCTTTTTAAGGTCCTATATTACACAAAATTAAATCTTGTGAGCTTTTAGTTAACAACAGTCTAACACTGATAATCAAAAACATACCTGGAGTTGTGTTTTGTATCATGTTTGAGTAAGCCTTTATTATTTATCAGTCATCAAGCAGTAGTTTTCAAGTTATCAGCTCCTTTTGTTCAGTAGAGACTGAAGATTCCAGGGTTAAAATCATCCAAATGATTCTAGTGAATGTTTAAGGAGTGGAGCACTTCGTGTATCACCATGTGACATCACAAGGTGGAACAGAGTGTTTTCTCTGTGACAGAAGAACTCAGCCTAAATATGCAGGGTTTGTGTCAGTGAAATAAAACACAACTCCAGGTTTGTTTGTGATAACCCAAAATTTACACCAGGAGCATCAGCAACATGAAACGTAGGCAAAGCTGCATAAGCAAAAGCCTAAAATTACACTTTCTTCTTCTTGTGATGCCAGCCCCTGTGTGTTCTCACTTTTAAACCTTAAACTTTTTACATCGCTTATGTTTTCATTGCTGATTGGATGAATTATGTTTTAAATCACAAAACAAAAGTTGACAACAAGAGAGACTATACTTTGCAGCGATAAACCATATCTGCAATGCTCGCATTAATTAACCACGTGCCTTTTCCTTCAGAAGTTGTTCTTGTAAAATTGCTGTCTGATGTTGTAAAGTGTTTTATATTTAGCCTCCACAGATGTAAACAATCTGTAGTTCATCACAAGTCATTCCCTGAGCTCCTGGCTGTGATGTGTGGTTGTTTTAGAGAGCGTATTTTGAAAGGGCATCAGAAGTATATTTTGACACCCTATGCTTTTTTTCTGTCTTGCCCCTGCTAAAAATCCTGGAGTCGCTCTGCTGACGCTGAAAAAATTAAAACTCAACCTAATTTGAGCAGTGCATACAGTAATGATAGCCATGTGATGTGCGTATGACACTGCTGGTGTAAATTGTCCGACTGGTTGCTGCACTTACGAGCTGTTACTGCTTTGGTGTAAATTGGGTGGAAGGAAACATTATAACTGAGAAAATGGCATAATATAATATACTTTTAAAAGTTATTAACTGTGTGAAATTAACTTCTTTTCTCTTGTCTAGGGCTGGACCAAGCCTAATGCATTCCATGTGTGTATCACTTCATACAAACTGGTGCTGCAGGATCACCAGGCATTCAGGCGAAAGTCCTGGCGCTACCTGATCCTGGACGAGGCACAAAACATCAAGAATTTCAAGTCCCAGCGTTGGCAGAGTCTTCTCAATTTCAACAGGTTTGTATAGACAACCAGTGATCATGTATTTCCAGTTTAGGTGCTAAAGAAAGCAATTTTATGCATCATACATGGGCTTCACTGCAAAAAAGGAGTGCCTACATTACTTTGTCTCCATGAAGATATTATTGCTCTGCCTGGAATATTCCAAAGTATGACTTTAAACATGTTCATGGGGATAAGCAAGTGATGCCACCAGGCCAGATCTATGGAGGCTCACAGTAAGAATGCAAGATAGATATGTTTAATGTCATCCTGAGGAACATTTCAGTCAATGCAATAACATCCACACAGAGACAAATAATCATGTATTTTTTATAAATTTGAGAAGTTTAGACATTGGTTATTTGTCTTTCAGAATATTTGTTATAGGCCGTGTTTAGTGCTTCATTACCTCACAACAATATCCTTGAACAACCCTGCTTCAGGGAAATGTAAAGTCTAGCTTGAGAGTGAATGGTTGTCTGTCAGTGGACTACCTGGCTTTTGTCCAGAGTGCACGCTGCCTAAGATGCAATGTCATGCTCCAGCCACCCACATGCTCTTTAGGCAATACTTCATAAGTTCAAGACAAAAAACTCATCTAAACTGACGTTAACTTTGCTTTACTAAATATTGCCTTCCTGACTTCCTAATTATAGACTTACAGTGTAAAAGTTCAAAGTTAACAAATGTTTTATTTCTCTTTAAAATTTAATCCAATCCACTTTATTTCTAAAGTACATTTTTATAGACAAAGAGGGCTTTCAAAGTGCTGCACATAGAGAAATAAAATATCTACAATTTAACAATGTTCAAGCTGATCATACTCTTTTTGTTTCATTCTTTGCCCCCCAGTCACAGACGGCTGCTGCTGACTGGGACCCCCCTGCAGAACAGCCTGATGGAGCTGTGGTCCCTCATGCACTTCCTGATGCCTCACGTCTTCCAGTCGCACCGTGAGTTCAAAGAGTGGTTCTCCAATCCGCTCACCGGGATGATCGAAGGCAGTCAGGAGTACAACGAGGGCCTGATCAAGAGGCTCCACAAAGTGCTGCGACCTTTTCTGCTACGGAGGATTAAGGCCGATGTGGAGAAGCAGATGCCCAAGAAATACGAGCATGTGGTGCGCTGTCGGCTGTCCAAGAGGCAAAGGTTTCTCTATGATGACTTCATGTCACAGGCCTCGTAAGTAACAAAACATGCTTGATTGCTATATCCTAAACCTAAACTGAAACACTAAATGAAATGTTGTACTTGGACTAGACCAGAATTAATTCAGAGCTAGAGCAGGAACCAAGTAATGTTTAGATCAAGACAAACCTAGTGTGTAACCAGGATCAAGCCAGGACAAGTGTGAATGTCCCTTTACTCTTTCCCCCATGAAGACGACATTTGACGACCCCCCCTGAAACCCTTAATGACGACTTTTGACACCTCCGCCGTATCACTAAAGACGAGATTTGACGACCTTTAGAAATGGCTTGGTTTTTCACATTTAAACAGAGACTGTGATAGATGGGGGCCACTACAACCGACACTAGACTGACCAATAGGATTCAAGGATATGTTTTCGCCCATTTTTTCCAAAGTTAATCGAAATAGTGACGATTGTAGCTTCCGGAAAAAACACAACACGAAACACGTGCAATGGAAAGATCGCGGCGCTGCGGCGCACAGTTTTAGAAATAATGAGGAGCGGACGTATTTTATGGATAAGTTTAGAGAAAGTGACTTTTATAGATTTCAAAGTGATGATGTTGAAGTTGATTATAAAGTGGAAAACAGCGATAGCGACGGACTTTCGGGGAGAAGATGAGAATGCCGCTGATGCGTCTGTGTGGAGTCCTGCGATATCCCAACAAACTATCTGAGCTTTATACTCGATTATGAACCAAAATTGCCCTGAAATCTGGATGTTGCCCAGGCTAGTCCTTTAAAATATTTCAGTCTTTTTTTCCAAGATGCGATGTATAACAGAATCGCTACAGAAAAAACGCTTATGCGGAGCTCTGCGCACGAGAAAACAGCCAAGATGACAAATACTGGACACACACTGACGGGGAAGAGTTTTATTATTATATTATTATATATAATAAGCTATAATATAGATAAATTAGTTGAATAAGCTAAATGAGTTGAATAAATAAAATAAGTTGAATAAGCTAAATGAGTTGAATAAGTTAAATGGAAAAAAATGTATTGGGTGCACATAGGTGTACAACAGGTAAAAACAGGTGTACACTTGGCTATACTGTATCTGGTGATATGAAATCTGTTTAAATACTTTGACAAAGTATATTTTTTATTTTTTTATGAATATAGTACTCAGAACATGCAGATATCAGATGCTGAATGTAGTTTTTTGTTTTCGAGCTTGCACCTGACCAGGTAAACTCTCATTTTCAGTGAGATGTTATACACCTATAAATGAGTTGAATCACATTTAAACATCATAAATGAATAGTTCAGAGTCTAAGGTTTCCAGAGATACCAAATATGTCTGTGTTACAATTAAGTTCATGAGTGTAAAAATCATTTATAATCACTCGTGGAAGTCTGTTTTCTTTTATGCAATTATGCTCTATGGGTAGCCCTAGTAACATATGTATGGGTTGTTCCTAGTAGGCGTCCAGGGGGGAAAGAGTTAAAATCACTTCATATACTAATGTAGGTGGTTTGTGGGAATCAATTAGTATTATATACCCAGTCCACACAGTTAAGTGGTTACAATTGAAGATGACAGCATTGATTTTAAACATAAAATAAAAATAATAAAATACTATTATAACAATATGTATCTTTCTCTTCTACAGGACTCGGGAGACTTTGGCCAGTGGCCACTTCATGTCTGTGATCAACATTTTGATGCAACTCCGTAAAGTGTGCAACCACCCCAATTTGTTTGACCCTCGTCCAATCCAGTCACCTTTTATCACAAAGCCCATTGTTTTCCACACGGCCTCACTTGTGCACGAAGCCCTAGAAGTGTCACCTTTCCAGGTAGAAGAACTGAAAGTTAAATGCTTGCTATATTACATTTAAATGAGTAGTTAATTCATTCTTATGTTTTTATCTCTCAGCGCTGTGATTTGTCCATATTTGACCTCATTGGTCTGGAGGCCCATGTATCTCGTTATCAGGCTGATGTATTTATGCCAAAGCACAAAGTTAACCGCCAACTGATCCAGGAGATCGCAGACTCTCCTGAACCTTTTCCTAGACCCAAACCAATCAAAATGAAAGTCGACAGGTGAGCAAAACATAATGGCAGTTCAACTTTGTAGTAAATAATCAGTAACTGGAGTATGTTCAAATTGTTGTATATTGTGTTTTGGTCTATATTAGGATGGTCCATCCTCCTTCTAAAAGTGAAAGCAGGTCAGTTGTGAACAAACCCACCAGCCCAGTGCCTCCTGCCGTACCACCCCCCAAACCGTTTCCTGTCGCTGAAGCCCCTCCTACAACTACTGCCCCTGCACCTGCACCTGTCCCAGCAGTTCAACAAGGCAAGTGCATACTATATAATTTTTAACACTATTGGATTTCATATCACAACATTCTGTAGGCCTATACAGTGTAAATCAGATCTGAAATATGTGTGTGTGACTGGATAAATATACTGGGGCATGAAAAAAAAGTATTGAAAATCAGATACTAATCAATACTGAATTTAGTAGAATTACTCGAGAGCTTATTTTAAAATGCTCACTAAGGTATTGAAACCAGTATTGAGCCTATTATTACTTTGTATCAAAAATCGAGTTTGCAATGTTTGTATTGTTACAACACTAGCATGGATCACATCTGTCTTAAAATGTGGCATGCCATTTAAACCCTGAAACAAAATCAATCATTTGATTTAAAAATGTATTGTTTGTGCCTCTACAGTGGTCTGTTCTGTGGCACCCACCCCAACTGTTCGCCCAGCTGTTCACCCCCAAACAGCTGTGAGGTCCAGCACCCCTAAACCTGTGCTGACAGTGAGACCTCCAGTGACCCCCGGGACACAGGGTATCCCTGCGCATCCCAGTCCGAGCAGCGTGATGCCCCAGAGAGTGCTGCTCAGTCCGGACATGCAAGCACGACTGCCATGTGAGTGCCTTTTATCTATTAAGTGTTACTAAATCAAATATTAAGTATGCTTATTTGCGCCTTAATAAAGCATGGACAAAGACTTAATTCATAATGAAGTTTATTTCTGACACCTGACATGATTTTTTTTTTTTTCTGTTGTTACTAAGTCCGTGTTGCACCATATCATCAAAGCATATTCCTTTGTGAATTTTGTTCATTGACAATGGCAGTAAAGATTTTCTGATTCTGAATATTCTATCGTTTTATTACAAACTATTTGAATCATTAATTAACACAACTTTATTCTTCCCTTGTTTTTCTTTCATTAGCTGGTGAAGTAGTCAGCATAGCCCAACTCGCCTCTCTTGCTGGGAGACCTGTGTCGTCATGCCAGGGTAGCAAACCGGTCACCTTTCAGCTTCAGGGCAACAAGCTGACTCTGTCTGGAGCACAGATTGCAACTCCAAGGCCAGTCCAGGGTGAGTTGAAAAATGTGCCTGCATTTGTGATAATTGTTCAGAAATGTTATCTGTGATTATAGCAACTTACTTGCAGTCACTAAAGTAAAACAAAGTAATTGTTCTAATCTAAGCATGTTGATACTTTCAGTTTAACATATGTAAGATATTAACTATTTATATACATTTATACACTATTATACCTGTTTCTGGTACAGACTCCCAGCATTTTTAAATCTTAATCAAAATATTAACTTTCATCTACTAATTAACAGGTGAATATTAATTGTCTTTATAGGTAATGTGATGCACCTTGCTGTGACCAGTGGGGGGCAGCACCATCTTATAAGCCAGCCTGCACAAGTCACTGTTCAAACCACATCCAACACACATCCTGTAAATACCGCTTCTTCTGCTCCCATTGTGAATCGTTTGCCTCCAAATGCCTCTTCACAAGGTAGGTTAACCCTCTCAACAACACCCCAAAATCCCATATTAAAGGGCCATATTACTATGTTTTCCAAGTTATAATGTTGTTTCCTCATCACAAACAAACCCTGCATATTTAGACTGAGTTCTTCTCTCAAACAGAAAACACTCTGTTTCACCTTGTGATGTTATGTGGTAATACAGGAAGTGCTCCACTGTGTTTTTAAACTCCATCCTTATGTATGCCAATCTCTATTGAACAAAAGGTAAAAGGTAGCTGTTGTCATGAAACATTAGTTTTCAAGTTACCACAAGGTGGAACAGAGCATTTTGAGCTTTGGATGTAATAAAGGGTTACTTAAACATGAGTGAATAAAACAAAACACAACTGCAGGTATGTTTTTGAGAAGGACACTACATTAGAATATGGCTTAAACCTCAGAAGAATCAGTTCTGTGTAATACAGGACTTTCTCCTAATTTCTTACTGTTTTGTCTTATAGTGCCCTCTTCAGTTGTGAGCAGTTCAGGAGTTGTCAAGATTGTTGTACGTCAATCTGCAGGCAAGGATGGCGGGCCCGTGCCAACTTTGGCCGTGGCCCCTTCCCCCCGTGTTGCCCCCCAGCCTGCCCCTGTACAGTTTCCCAGTAGCACTCCCGTAAGAAGCACTCCCATCGCCAGACACACTGCCCCCATACAAATTGCTCACCGCACCCCGGGTCCCGCCACGGCCCACTACACCATAGCTCCTCCTCCCAGAATCCCCAGCGCCATCCCCAGTCAGTCCCAACCCCCACCTCCTCGTCCCATCCTGAAAGTAGTGCAACCTACCCAAACTACCGCACCAACCACACAGCAGCCAGGTGAGAGAAAGTGAAAGCTTTACTCTGGTGCTTGTGCGTATGTGCATGCTTGACAAAACTAGCATTGCTTTGTGTTATGCTGTTTATCTAATTTTGTATTGATGGAATACCTTGAAGTGTAATTACATTTTACACTAATTGTAATGTATTAAAATGTTGCATGTTGCTGCATGTGTTCTATAATATGAAGTTACTTGTGCACAAATTGCAAAACAATAAACCATACTGTCAGCACATGGAAGGCTTACTAAATGGCCTTTATTGAAATAACTAGACCTAGAACTCAACAATCATTGTGCTGTGATGAAAAACAAATTGCAAAATCCTAACCCCTTGCTGCTGGAATAGCATTGAATAATTTGACATTTTAGACTGCTTTTATATGTTGCCAGATTAAGTACCCTTTTTCAGTTTCTTTTTTTTAATGTATGCAAAAAGGTCAATTTAATAGATATATTTATAACAGTTTTGTCTTCTCATTTTGAATCAGCTCCAGTCCAGGCAGCACCCACTCCTGCACCCAAAACTCCAGCACCACAAGCAACTGATAAAAGCAGTAGCACCAATCAGACTTCAAGTCCACCCAAATCAAAACCTGTTGCAACGACAAAGGCCCTACTGCAACCTCGGAAAGTGCCTCACCCACCCCCTCGTTCTCCCTTCTACTTGGTATGCAGTATCTTTCCTTTGACATTTCATCTAATTTTATTGCATTTTAACTTGATTTAATTTCACTTCATTAATTTTCTTCCACAGCCATCTCTAGCAGAAAGCCTGAAGCAGCAGCGTGAAAGCAAACTAGACCTAATCATGCAAGTGAATGAACGGCGCTGTGGGGCAAAGCCTGTGTATGGACGAGAGGTGTTGGACTTCTTGACGTTTCTCTCTGGTCCTGCTGTTTCTCCAGTCCCCCTCGGCTCTCGTCCTCACTGGGGTCGCTCAGGACACAGCAGCTGTCTCTACGCACAAAGTAAAGACAACTTCTGGTACCAAAGTCGTGCTGTACAAGACGGAATCTTCAGCATAGAGGATCGGCTCCAGCAGCTCAAAGACATTATTGACAGGTATTTATAACTTATATCAGTGGCCTTATATATTCTCCCCATTAAAAAAAGCAATACACTGTACATGTGTTGAAATTTAAACAACACACTTGATATATTTTACCTACCTCCTAAGACTCAATGAACCTGTCCAGGGTGCTAGTGGCTAGACACTTCACCCACATTGCCTAGTATGAAAGTGGTGGTGGTCGGAGGGACCGTTGTCGCCGATTGGCATGGCAGCCGCACCTCTGTCTGTCTGCCCCAGGGCAGCTGTGGCTACAACAGTATCTTACCATCACCAGGTATAGAATGAATAATATATGCTGAATGTAATGCTCTGTAAAGCGTCTTTGTGACAAAAATGTCCAATATAAATGGGGACTGACTTACTTAAGTGGTATTCAATAAGGTTCACTTCGCCAACATTAGACAGAATTTCAGTAGAATTCCTTGGTACATTTTATTTATTATTTATTTATCGTTTTTATTTATTGAATTTTTCTAGAACTGCTTTTATACATTGATTTTATTACTTTTGTTCATTGATTTTATTATTATTTTATTTATTGATTTCTATTAGTTTCCTTTAGTTTTTTATATATTATTAAAATGGTTTACATTGCTATGTAAAGCACTTTGGGAACTGTCTTGTTTATAAAATGTGCTATACATATAAAGTTGGATTGGGATTGGAGTTTGCATCAAATAATTTGTCATGGATTGTATTGAGAATACTTAAACCCAATCTCTCATATTTGTCCTTTTTATAGGTTCACGTTCGTCATTCCTTCAGTGGAGTGTCCTCCCATCTCGATGCACTGCTGCCATCCTCCTCCGTCTCAGACTCACAAACAGACAGTCTTCAGCTCCATGCTCTCGGCCGAAGTTGCTCCACGCATCCGCAGCCTGCACCGAATACAAGCCAACATGAGGACGCAGTTCCCAGATCTGAGACTCATACAATACGACTGTGGTAAATAGTATTTCACTCATTTTCAAATAAAGTTGGAGAACAGTGGATGATCTTGAAACTTAAAATATCAAGTATATTGTTTATAATTAAATGTAACAGCCAAAAAGATAAAAAAAAATAAAATAAAATAAAGCAAACATATGTCATAATCATGATATTTCTTCCATTTTTGTGGTTCTTTTTATGGTTGATTCACATTTTGTGTAATAATCAAACCTCAACCAAAACATGTCCAGGCATATATGAGCACATTCCTGATGCATTGTTAAAACAGTGTTAATGGAAAGATGTTGATGAAAATTTTACTTTATGTCAATATGCCTACCAACCATTCATTTTGTAACATGAAACTTATCCCCACAGGTAAACTGCAAACTCTCCACACGTTGCTGAGGGAGCTGAAGACAGGGGGTCATAGAGTTCTGATTTTCACCCAGATGACACGAATGTTGGATGTTCTTGAGCAGTTTCTGAATTACCACGGCCACATTTACCTTCGCTTGGATGGCAGTACCCGAGTAGAGCAGAGACAAGTGAGAACTACTATCACCCTTTCATCCATTTTTATTTCCTTTATTCATTTTCCTTCTGTCTGTGGAAAAATATTGCCATTGTTTCATTATTGCTTTGTCTGTTTGACCAGGCCCTTATGGAGAGATTCAACGCAGATCGGCGCATTTTCTGTTTCATCCTGTCGACTCGTAGTGGAGGAGTGGGAGTGAATCTGACTGGAGCCGATACTGTTATTTTCTATGACAGCGACTGGAACCCCACAATGGACGCTCAGGCGCAGGACAGGTGTCACCGTATTGGACAAACCCGGGATGTACACATTTACAGGTATGTGCTGATCATAGTGTGTGTCTATGGAGTAAGAAAGCTGTCAAAAATATTTGTGCGCATAAAATGGAAATCCGTGCGTATTTGGGAAATCCGTGCATATTTGGCTGTAGTTGCGCATAAAATTAATATTTGTAAACTCTCAAATGAGTCCAGTCGTACATAAAATATATTGTGTGTATTTTATCCATCAGAATACGAATTGAAAAATTACGACATCATGAATTACAATCACGAAATGAAAATTTACGATTACGCTTTCATCATTACGAATACGAATTCACAGATGGAACTTTACTGTCAAAAATACGTCATCACTTCACAGACATTATTCATTGAGCAGAAGAAACATCGATCAAGATCAAGACTGCGCATGCTCAAGTTTGTAGCAGAGGGTAAAAAGAGTAATAGCACAAGAAGCTACAACAGCGACCAACAAGTGGGTTAATTAAAATCTATTGTAAAAATTTCTTGAATTCGGGAACCGAACGCTGCTGTATAATATTGTGTAGAAATACCTCCTTTGAACGGGAAATTGCACCTATATGTTAGATAACATAGTGGTAGCCAGTTGGCTAACATCAGCCGTAACGTTATCCCAGGGCTTATTAGCAAATATCAGGGTTCTCTGTATGTTTAGAATGTTTAAAACATTCACGGCTACAGCCACAGCGAGCATCAGTCAGTCTTCACTTCAGCTGCATTTCTCGCATGAAATGCCACCAAAAGTTCCTCGGGACGCTGAAATGTCCCGGTTTACACCAAACACTACCAAACTGTCCTGGTTACAGACGTCACAGCTAATGAAATGTTACACATTACAGTTTAATGCAGCTTCCAGCAACAATTAATGTTCGTGTTTACAGGCAACACCTTGGTATATATACAGTATTTACCGGTAAGTATAACGTCACCGTGACGTGGATGGATTTGCTAATTATAACCCATTACTACTTATGTATAACCCATTGTCTGAAATGCAGCTGAAGTGAAGACTGACTGATGCTCGCTGTGGCTATAGCTGTGAATGTTTTAATCTAAACATACAGAGAACCTGATATTTGCTAATTAGCCCTGGGATAACGTTACGTCTGATGTTCGCCAACTGGCTACCACTATGTTATCTAACATATAGGTGCAATTTCCCGTTCAAAGGAGGTATTTCTACACAATATTATACAGCAGCGTTCGGTTCCCGAATTCAAGACATTTTTACAATAGATTTTAATTAACCCACTTGTTGGTCGCTGTTGTAGCTTCTTGTGCTATTACTCTTTTTACCCTCTGCTACAAACTTGAGCATGCGCAGTCTTGATCTTGATCGATGTTTCTTCTGCTCGATGAATGTCTGTGAAGTGATGACGTATTTTTGACAGTAAAGTTCTGTTTATGAATTCGTATTCGTACTGATGAAAGCGTAATCGTAAATTTTCATTTCGTGATTGTAATTCATGACGTCGTAATTTTTCAATTCGTATTCTGATGGATAAAATACACATAATATATTTTATGTACGACTGGAGTCATTTGAGAGTTTACAAATATTTATTTTATGCGCAACTACAGCCAAATATGCACGGATTTCCCAAATACGCACGGATTTCTATTTTATGCGCACAAATATTTTTGACAGCTTTCTTACTCCATATGTGTCTAATTATCATTCCATGTATTTATAATTGCAGGAAAAAATAAGTGTGCTTTATTAAAAAGACAATTCTGAAAATGAATCTCTACAAAATAATGCTTATCGTAAAGTAAAAGCACACACATTTTATACATACAAAACCTTTTTTTTTTCCTCAGTGGTCTGGCTGGTAAATTGCAGGTCAAATAAAAACTAAATATTTAAGATAAATCACCCCTTAATGATCAAAAGATTTATAAACATTTTTAGTCACCCATTTCTCTTTTTAAATGATCTACATTGAAAAAGAAAATTAACTCCTTTAAACTATTATATTACTTTCCACAATTTTCATTTACTCAAGATAAATTGGTCACCAACCCTTGAATAATTATCATTACCTCTTTTTAGGCTGATCAGTGAGCGCACAGTGGAGGAGAACATCTTGAAGAAAGCCAACCAAAAAAGGATGTTAGGAGACATGGCAATTGAAGGGGGAAACTTCACCACGGCCTTTTTCAAAGAGGTACAATTTGGAAATCATAAGACCGATCATCTCTATAAAATATGACCATATATTGTGAACTTATATAGCTGGATGCATCTAAACAACTATCATGTTTTCTTTAGCAAACTATTCGTGAGCTGTTTGATGTCAATGATGGAGAAAAGAGAGAGGCAGCAGTAGAGCTGACTCTGCCACCCGCTGAAGAGGAGGAAACTGTCAACAAACAAAGCACCACTATACTTGAGCAGGTCAGGGAAATTGAAAACTTGAACACATTGTAAAAAGAAATTGTTTTGTTGTGAGTTAAGTACGTTTTTTTTTTTCTTTCAATATATAAATCTACAGGCTCTTTGTCGTGCGGAGGATGAGGAGGATATTGTAGCTGCGTCCCAGGCCAAAGCTGAGCAGGTTGCGGAACTGGCAGAGTTTAATGAGAATATTCCTCTGGACGACGGCGGCGAAAACGAGGAAGTGGAGGAGATGTCAAAGGCAGAGCAGGAAATAGCAGCACTGGTGGAGCAGGTAACTAACCACAAATTCAACAACTGTGGCAAATTGGCTGTATTAACCATTCAACTATAATAAATAACTTCTTTTTTTTTCCACAGCTCACTCCGATTGAGCGTTATGCTATGAATTTCCTGGAAGCTTCATTGGAAGATGTTTGCAAAGAGGAACTGAAACAAGCAGAAGTAAGGCAATTCTATCCATCTCATCTGTATCTAATAATACTTAACTAGTTTAACATTGTATTAGCCAGTGTATTATAGTAGTAATGTCTGATTTTAATACATGACTTGTGTATATGTTTAGGAGCAAGTAGAAGCTGCCAGAAAGGGACTTGACCAGGCTAAAGAAGGGGGCCTGAAGTTGCATCCTTCATCTGATGATGACGAGGATGACTTCCTGTCAACTTCAGCATCAGCTGAACCTGCCCCAACACCAGCTCGTCGCGGCCGAAAACCCAAAGACAAAGAAAAGGTTGTTGCGTCCACCAGAACCAGTGGGCGGCTGCGAGGGGCCTCCCCCGAAATGGAGTCTGAGCCGACCACGCCCAGAGAAGTGCCTCGCTCCGGGAGAGGTCGACCACCGAAAGACCCTGGCACTGCCACTCCTGCACGCACTGACCATCACAAGACCAGGTCCCAGGACTCGAAAACGCCTAAAGCTGCATCACCTGCCAGGGAACAATCGACTGTTAAAACCAGAAGTCAACCAAACCGCACTCAGCCCAGTCAAGTGCCTTCTCCACCTACAGCGTCTCCTCCAAAAAGACAGCAGCCCTCCGCCACAGAAGCTGAAGGCAAAGTCTCCAAATCAGTTAAAGGAGAAAACGAAGGCAGCAATGAAAAGGAGCGGAGGTTCTCAGAGTCATCACTAGACTCCAGTGGTGCAGCTGATAATCCAACAATAGATGAAGATAAGAAAGACCAAAATGCAATGTCTCCTCCTTCCAGCTGCTCGCGCTCCCCTCGTAAACGGGTGACAGCTGATGATGAAATCCTGAAGGGTCGAGATGAAGACTCACCCTCCGCCAAAGTGCTGCGCAAACTGCCGGGACGACTGGTCACTGTGGTGGAGGAGAAAGAACCACGGAAACGAAAGAGAAGAACAAGTGGAACATGTGGCTCATCAGAGGAGATGAATACAGAGGAGCACACTGACAACCCCCCAAATACAGATAAAGACAAACCAGCTTCTAGTCCTGAGAGTAAAACAAAAGAATCTACAGAGAAGCCAAAGGAGCCAGAAAGTCCTATCTTACCCCCTGTTAGAAGTTACCCACCGTACTCCCCTCCGCATTTATCCCCTGACATGCCCGTGCTGAGGAACCTACCTGTGCGGCGCAGAGTAGAGACTGAAAATCGCTTGGCGGCCCAAATGGGAGAGCTCTTTGGGAGGGGCCGAGGAGCCAATCAACACCGTAAATCTGACACAACGCAAAGCAAAGACTCATCTCAGGAGGCAAATTCAAACTCTACACCTGCAAAACGAAGAAGGGGTCGACCGCCAAAAAGCTCTCCTGATAATGCAGAGTCCCCCTCACCGCAGCCCACCTCCCCGACTGAGACTAGTAATCTCACCCTATCTCCAAAACGCAAGAGAGGACGTAACAGTAAAGATTCTTCAGCAGATATAGAGAGCACAGAGCAGAGTAAGACTGATGAAACAAATCCAAAAACAGATGGTGCGCAAACACTCCCTGACAAATCTGAAAATACTGTTGAAGCTTCAGTTGGCAAAGCTGGTAAAGATGGGACACCTAAAGATGATAAATCTGACACAAATACAGAAAAGGTGTCTTCAAATTTATCACAAGACATTACTCCAAAAACTAATGAAGAAGAAAAGACATCTGCTCCTGAACCTACCCCACCCACAGATCAAGAAATTTCACCTTCAACAGCAGTGCCCAATGTAGTCACACCAAAAGACAGTTCAGAGCAAGATAAAGGGAACAATCTTGAAATAATTTCTTCTCCCCCCTCCATCACAGCATTGACCTCTACAATCAGTCCAGACACAACCACAGTAAACTCTTTGCATACACCACCTGCTAAAGGATCCAATGTAGATTTGGCAAAGGCTGAAACATCGGAACCAACTCCAACTGTTGCTCCTCCATCACCTGTGTTATCTCTGGATCCGAACGACAAAATTGTGTCTGCTACAAGAGACAAAGAAATGGATACAACCACAAAAAGAGATTCACCACAGGCAACTACTTCTCAATCTAGTTGCAATGCTTCAACAACACTGTCCTCTACAACTACAGCAATTACAAATACTACAACAAGTTCTTCAAAAGCACCAGCAGTTGAAACATCATCACCTACACCCTCGCCTTCGACAGAAACTGCTGTTCAACTAGATACTGTTGTCAATGCCCCAGTTACCATAGCAACAACTGCTTCAGTACCAGAGACCAACAAATCTGTTCAAAGTTTGCCAAATTCAGCACAAATTCTATTTGCTGTAACCACTCCTCCTCGAGAAAAGGTCATAGCATCTGGAGACAAAACAGAATTGTTCTCTAAAGAACAACCGGCAAAACCCCCGGTTACAACTTCTCCTGCTCCAGTTGCAACTACAGTTCTACCTACTACTACTGCTACTGCTCAAAGTTCTACTACATTGACAACAACTACCAATACTACTTCTTTACCGGTCAATGCAATAAGTTCAACTACTACAATTCCATCCTCTCTAAAGACAGATCCTCCAATAACCAAAATTCAAAGCCCTCCACCTATCCCCTCACTGGAAATCAAAGAAAAAGATACTTTACCCAAGGAACAAGAGGCAATAATTTCATCTGCAGAAAAAGGCCCTGAGAAGACGCAACAAGATTCTGTCAAAATGGTGTCCACGTCTGAGGTGACAGACATGGAAGTTGAGCAGGAGAAAAAGCAAGAAACTTGTGAAATTAAGAGGAAAAAAGCTGAGACTTCATCAGAGGCTGAAGAAACAGATAAAGAAGGTGATATTAAAATTTCAAATCAGAAAGACAGCAAGCAGCGTGTAATGGATGAGCTGTTAGCCAATCCAAAGAGAGTTCTCAGTCGCCAAAGCAGTCAAGATTCAACCAGATCCTCCTCTCCATCTTCTGGTTGTTCAACTCACACTCTCACACGCCACGCCCATCACAAGAAAACCTACGAAAACAGGAACCCGGCAAAGAGGAGGCGCGTAGATGTCCCTGCATCTGAACCTAAAACGGAGGAGAAGAAAGTGCAAGAGGGGGACAAGGAGACAAAAGATGAAAAACAGCAAGATGAAAAACAAGAGGAGAGCAAGAATGAGGACACAAAGACACCAGTACAGAGACGCCGTTCCAGGTCTTCATCATCTTCATCGGATTCAGACACAGACAGTAAAAAGGAACATCGCTTAACCCGATCAGCAAAGAGGAGGATGCAGGACCATGACAGTGACAGCAACAGGCAGGTGAAGAAAGCCACTCGGGACAGGAACAGTGTGAATGCATCAACTGGAGGTGAATCTGGTAGTGATGGCTCTTCAGTGAGGAGCTCAAGGAAAAAAGACACAGACACAAAAACCTCAACGGCACCTCCTGCCCCTCCCCCGGAGCCGGAGGTCTTGGGAAAGAGGTGCTCTGCTCTGAATGCTGCCGCAAAACTTCTAGCCATGAAAGGCAGCGTGGATACACCAGGCCACACCCCCAGGAGAGATTCAGCAGCCAGAGCCAATGCAGCTAAAGACAAGAGCGAAAAGGCTAAAAGCAAAGCGGCAGCCTCATCGCCTTCGAGTAACTCTTTTGCAAAAAATACTACCAGTAAAAACAGTGAAAAGGAAACTGCCAGCAAGCCCTCAACTCCAAATCAGTCCAGTCGCACAGCCACTCGGTCCACCCGCCAATGTCCCGGTTCACTCGTCCCACCTCTTGAAGCAGAGTACAGAAAGCCCAAAGGAGAGGAGAAGGAGAGCAGGAAGTCCTCAGGGGGCAAAGAGGGTGAGAGAGAGGCACGTCGTTCGTCCCGGGGTAACAGTGCTTGTAGCAGTATCAGCAGTGATGAAGGAGAGGGCAGCCGGAGCAGCAGCAACAGCAGCCAAAGGACTCGCAGCATCAGCTCCCAGAATGCCGACCGGCGTGGGTCCCGTTCTCGGGCCACGTCCTCTGGCAGCGAAAGAGATCGCAGCTCAGAGCGGTCGAAAAACACAGACAAAAAAGACAAACGGGACGGGAGGGAGAGCAGGAGAGAAAGTCGGAGGTCGAACAAACTGCAGAATGAAGTGACCAGTAGTTCAGGGGCTGAGGGGACGCCTGATAGAGTACTGCGGAGCGTGGCGGCCCTCGCGGCGGCACAAGCACGATCCCCAGCTGCTAGCACGCGCTCCTCTGCTAGCCAAAATCGAAATAAGACCTGAATCTATCCAAAAAACAGGGAAAACACAAGTGTTATCGGTCAGCATGTCGTTGGGGTTTGTTTGCACTCGTGACAACGTCAGGGAAGTTAATTCTGCACATGACCTCCCTGCCTCCCTCTGCAATCGGAGCTGATCTCATCCTCATAGACTGGAAGAGGAACTGCTCTGCTGGAAGTGAATAAAATATCAGCATTGTGGTGTGTCCTTAAACCAGTGAGGGAAGAACAGTGAAAAGACAGACTCTGGTCCAAGTGGAAAAGACATATCACATGTACTGTAATCAAAAGGTCCGGACGCTCAGATCTTGTGATGTAGTTGCGGCATAGGGTAACACTGCACCCCACAGTTCGGGTCCTAAATGTGATCATATTAACAGTACTTTCGAGTGACCCGTTGTATTGTCAAGTTGGAGGCCTTGGAGTATTTTAATTGAAAAATCTTGTCGGCAGTCCTGGCTATCTTTTCTTTATAGTCAGTTGATAAGTTATGCATATTTTATTATTTCTTCCTGGGTAGAAGGAAGATATCAGATCCAGTCGTGTGATCTTTGCTGCACTATGTTGGAGCGTGGCCCTTTTTCACTTCACAAACCCTTCATTGGACTCAAAAATCCAGCCAACAATTTCTGATTTGCACATCTGTTTTGGGGCCTCTACCTTTAGAAAGATTGTGGTGATTAACTTTAGTCATTTGGTCCTGGATACCACAACAGTGCATAACTTGATGTATCAATTGAACATGTAAATTATCCTCGGAAAGTTACATTTGAAAGCTGCAGGATATAATTTCTATATTGTCCCAAAGGCAAATGTTGTTATGGTCAAGTTTGTCATGTATTTTATTGTATATTAAAAGGCAAGTACTTGTAGTAAAAATAATGAGTGCCTCTTTGGCCAATGGGTTTGAACCTTCAATTGCCTTGTGATGCACCAGAAGCAGGGTTGTTAAGCTTCTTGCATTGTTGTAAATGAAAAACCAAATTTGAAAAAAAAAAAAAAAAGAGAAAAATCTGTGTAACCCTGGAAACATTGAGGAGAGCACTCGGTCAAGTCAGTGCTGCTTTACTTTACAACATATTTGTCTCCATTAAACCATAGCTCTCATTCATGTAAAAAAAAAACATGGAAATATGTGAATAAAAACGACTGGTACAGTTCCAGACGACTGTATATTGATTTTCTTTGTCAAAGATGTTTCAAACAGGTGACATTTCGAGGGATGGGTAGTTTATGGTGATGGTCTTATTTTGAGTTGTCTGATTCATTTGTTGCATTCCTTTGATCCCTTGTATTTCCACATTGTTTTACTTGAAAAATTAAGACAATTACAGTTGAATAAAAGACCAAAAAATAGCCGTGTTAAGTTTTATTTTTAAACTAAAGTGTACAATAAACACACGAGTTAGGTGTAACAGGGTGGAATTTATTTTAAAAACAGATGTTAAATGAGAATTTCCAAAAAGGTATTGCAACTACTTAAAAGCTATAGTGTCATGGTTTTGTTCGATTCCCATCATTTCATAAAGCATTTGGCTACTGCTGATAAACAAGTGCCTATGCCATCAATCTATGAGGAAAAAAAAAGGTTATAGAGTGTGGTCCAAAAGTAGCATGATTTACTAACAAAGTGGTGAAAAATAAATATAGAAAAGCTAAAGAACAATATGAGAACTGTATAATAAAATCTCTCAGAATAATAGGCCAAGTGTTAGAAATATTGCTGTGAATTGCATAAAAACACACTATCCCTTTCAAATTCAGTGCAGAGCGTCAGATCAGGGAGAAGGCACAATTTTACTGGGTTGTCTTGTTGCCAACATCTCTGCAGCAGCTACAACATTTCCAATGGCAAATACAATTAAAATGGACACAAAAGGGAAGCGGCAGTGGAAGACATTAGGATACCTTTATACACGTAAAAAGCAGATGAATTGTTAATTAGCAAAACATATTTACACTTGTTACATACAGGCATTTTAAAACATCTTTCAAGTTTTGTATATTGATAAAAGTATGTCTCAACAGAGAGGTTATGTACAATTATATTAGTCTCACTATAGCTAAAATTCATACTGTATAAAAATGTTTAAATTTCCAATTTATTTAATAAAAAAAAAATATATAAACATATATTTCCAGAGTACAGTATGATCAACACCAGTGTTGAATACTGCAGTCTGCCTATAATAAGGCCACTAAAATCCCCTTAATAAAAAAGGAGAGGGTACACCACTGTAACAGTTTTTTATCCAGGGGTCTTAAATCCTATTGTACAAGCCAGCAGCTTTATATTTAAAAATGTTTAAACAAATTAGATTTTTAAACTATGTAATGTCTGAAAAAGGGTCCACTTCATGACACCACATCTCCAAACAAATAAAAAGACACACAATGTGACATAGGGGTTAGACAAGGGGAAATATTTGAACTAAACCAAAGGATGAAGCTCAAAATTCACCTGTACGTCCTTACGTTGGCTCAAATATAAAGGTTTTAAGAGTCTATAGTCGCTTGTGCAAACCCACAACTGTTACCAAATCTTAGCCAAAAGCAGTGAGCAACGAGATGACTAGGATGAGAATCAAGACGGCTAAGCACACTGCAATCCATATTTTCTTCTGTAAAATCAACAAAAGTATGATTAGATTTAATACATTATAAGTAAAAAACAAAGCAATATATTATAAGAGGATTGTAAACTGTACCTTGCGTGCCCTGGATTGACCTTTAACTGCCTTTGCTGTATTTTCTTTAGCTTTTTCCACATAGTTAGATGATTGTTTGATGTTTGTTTCAATCCTGTCAACCATTTCTCCCTTAAAAATAAATACAATTAATTAAAAATGAACTACTAACCCAATACAAAAACAAAAGATAAAGAAATCTTGTTACCTGTGCCTCCACCTCCATGGCAAGGTACTGAAACATATCGTGCAGGTCCCGTATGCTCCTCTCCAATTTAAGGATTTCATCGTGTCTGGATTCAATCTCATTCAGAGCCTGTTTTGTAGCTTGGGCATCGCTCAAGATCTGTGACAATCAACAGAGAAAACAAATGGAAAATGCATATTAAAAGTGTACATTTGAATATGCTGTAGTACTTTTCAATTTCTACAATAAACTACTAGCTTTCACTGTACTACCACTGCCACTATTTCTTCTTACCCAAAGAGTTATCCAATTTAAGCAATAAGAAAAGCTACAACAAAGCACATTCTCAATCATTAAAATCATATTTATAGTAGGGCTTTGTGTGATAGTGAAAGTGAAAGGATGTAAGGTCGTTGAAAGGTCATGGTTACTTACATTCTGAGTGAAGACGTCAGTTTGCCCACTTTCTAGCATGGCGTCAAGCTCTTCGTCTGTGACATTGTTCCCAGCTAAAGATATAAAACAATATATTAGAAGTTACTTGGAAATACTTAATTGATCTCATTTAGAAGTAAACTATGTAAAGAAATTCCCTGTTACAACAGCAGCACAATAGCACCTTACTTTCACTTCTGATTTTGCCAATATCGAAATAAGCTATAAGAGAGTATAGAGTAAACTAATTAATACAGCAATAATTCTCCATGTACTTACTGATTTTAAGTTGCCTTTGTATCCGTTCCACATTACGATCCCTGTATTGAGCCTGAATGGTGTTACAGTGGCCCATCAACTCAACAAACTTTTTGGATAAAATACCGTGCTATGGAAAAAAATACAACTATTAGATAAACTTTACACAGATGACCAAGGGGATTAAAGATATGCACTAAGAAAGAAAATACATCCACCTGTGTCCGCTGCATTCTAATGTTTATGGATATATATTTACCATCATCACTTTCTCCCTTTTTGGGTTCAATGCCTTTGAAAAGTACAATAGGTATGCATCAAATTGTGCTATATTTTGGATTTTAATAAAGGAGTCTGAAAAAATTACTCACTTTTTAGTTTTTTCTGTATTTGGCCCGCCATTGTTTTGATCTCATCTCTTAGAGTCTGAAGCTCTTTCTTCATACCTAATCCAAAAAACATGTAGGGTTAGCATTTTGATATTTAAAGGATCATTATTATACACTATAGTAAATATTATAGTGTTAAACTGTGATCAAAGTATTACTTACTGTCCTCTGGTAAAGCCACACCCAGGACAGTCTTCTGCTTGTTCTCAAGGTCAGAAACCATTCTCTTCAGACTCTGCAGGCCCTCATGGATCTCTTGAGCCTTAAAAACAATAAAAACACATGTTAATTTAAAAATAATGTCACCCATTTCAACACATAAACATATGACATTCTCCAGCAACATGCCATTCAATATAAGCGAAAACATGTATTGGTGAAGAAACATATTGACTCTAAAAACATTCAGTTTTCTTATGCTAGGAATCCTACAAAGACTCTGCACGTCTAAACGCAGCATAAGGGATTACTCAGGCATCTGCAACATTACCAAAACCTGAGTGGTGTTTGCAAAATAGAGATTTCATCCATTTAAGTTTTCAGTTTACACATACCTTTTTTAACATAGCCATGGTGTCAGAGTCTTAGTTGGCAATATCACAACCTCCCTGTGAGTGCTTCTGCCTAGTTAAAATATGGACCTATGCTCTTAAGCGTAACTCAATACATCCGCTTCTCCTTCCAGTTTCACTTCATAATGTGTCATTCCAGAAATCCCCAAACAGAATTTTACAGTAAACAGAAAAGGGCAATCAGGCACTCTAAGTTTTCTGAGTGTAGAATGTGATGATGCAAACCCTTCACAAACCCTTCATTGGACTCAAAAATCCAGCCAACAATTTCTGATTTGCACATCTGTTTTGGGGCCTCTACCTTTAGAAAGATTGTAGTGATTAACTTTAGTCATTTGGTCCTGGATACCACAACAGTGTATAACTTGATGTATCAATTGAACATGTAAATTATCCTTGGAAAATTACATTTGAAAGCTGCAGGATATAATTTCTATATTGTCCCAAAGGTAAATGTTGTTATGGCCAAGTTTGTCATGTATTTTGTTGTATATTAAAAAGTAAGTACTTGTAGTAAAAATAATGAGTGCCTCTTTTCCAATGGGTTTGAACCTTCAATTGCCTTGTGATGCACCAGAAGCAGGGTTGTTAAGCTTCTTGCATTGTTGTAAATGAAAAAACAAATTTGAAAAAAAAAAAAAAAAAAAAAAAGAGAAAAATCTGTGTAACCCTGGAAACATTGAGGAGAGCATTCGGTCAAGTCAGTGCTGCTTTACTTTACAACATATTTGTCTCCATTAAACCATAGCTCTCATTCATGTAAAAAACAAACAAACATGGAAATATGTGAATAAAAACAACTGGTACAGTTCCAGACGACTGTATATTGATTTTCTTTGCCAAAGATGTTTCAAACAGGTGACATTTCGAGGGATGGGTAGTTTATGGTGATGGTCTTATTTTGAGTTGTCCGATTCATTTGTTGCATTCCTTTGATCTCTTGTATTTCCACAGTTTTACTTGAAAAATTAAGACAATTACAGTTGAAAAAAGACCAAAAAATTGCCGTGTTCAGTTTTATTTTTAAACTAAAGTGTACAATAAACACACGAGTCAGGTGTAACAGGGTGGAATTTATTTTAAAAACAGATGTTAAATGAGAATTTCCAAAAAGGTATTGCAACTACTTAAAAGCTATAGTGTCATGGTTTTGTTCGATTCCCATCATTTCATAAAGCATTTGGCTACTGCTGATAAACAAGTGCCTATGCCATCAATCTATGAGAAAAAAAAGGTTATAGAGTGTGGTCCAAAAGTAGAATGATTTACTAACAAAGTGGTGAAAAATAAATATAGAAAAGCTAAAGAACAATATGAGAACTGTATAATAAAATCTTTCAGAATAATAGGCCAAGTGTTAGAAATATTGCTGTGAATTGCATAAAAACACACTATCCCTTTCAAATTCAGTGCAGAGCGTCAGATCAGGGAGAAGGCACAATTTTACTAGGTTGTCTTGTTGCCAACATCTCTGCAGCAGCTACAACATTTCCAATGGCAAATACAATTAAAGTGGATACAAAAAGGAAGCGGCAGTGGAAGACATTAGGATACCTTTATACACGTAAAAAGCAGATGAATTGTTAATTAGCAAAACATATTTACACTTGTTACATACAGGCATTTTAAAAACATCTTTCAAGTCTTGTATATTGATAAAAGTATGTCTCAACAGAGAGGTTATGTACAATTATATTAGTCTCACTATAGCTAAAATTCATACTGTATAAAAATGTTTAAATTTCCAATTAATTTAATAATAATAAAAAAAAAAATCAACATATATTTCCTGAGTACAGTATGATCAGCGCCAGTGTTGAATACTGCAGTCTGCCTATAATAAGGCCACTAAAATCCCCTTAATAAAAAAGGAGAGGGTACACCACTGTAACAGTTTTTTATCCAGGGGTCTTAAATCCTATTGTACAAGCCAGCAGCTTTATATTTAAAAATGTATAAACAAATTAGATTGTTTAAACTATGTAATGTCTGAAAAAGGGTCCACTTCATGACACCACATCTCCAAACAAATAAAAAGACACACAATGTGACATAGGGGTTAGACAAGGGGAAATATTTGAACTAAACCAAAGGATGAAGCTCAAAATTCACCTGTACGTCCTTACGTTGGCTCAAATATAAAGGTTTTAAGAGTCTATAGTCGCTTGTGCAAACCCACAACTGTTACCAAATCTTAGCCAAAAGTAGTAAGCAACGAGATGACTAGGATGAGAATCAAGACCGCTAAGCACACTGCAATCCATATTTTCTTCTGTAAAATCAACAAAAGTATGATTAGATTTAATACATTATAAGTAAAAAACTAAGCAATATATTATAAGAGGATTGTAAACTGTACCTTGCGTGCCCTGGATTGATATGTAACTGCCTTTGCTGTATTTTCTTTAGCTTTTTCCACATAGTTAGATGATTGTTTGATGTTCGTTTCAATCCTGTCAACCATTTCTCCCTTAAAAATAAATTACATAAATGAAAAATGAACTCCTAACCCAATACAAAAACAAAAGATAAAGAAATCTTGTTACCTGTGCCTCCACCTCCATGGCAAGGTACTGAAACATATCGTGCAGGTCCCGTATGCTCCTCTCCAATTTAAGGATTTCATCGTGTCTGGATTCAATCTCATTCAGAGCCTGTTTTGTAGCTTGGGCATCGCTCAAGATCTGTGACAATCAACAGAGAAAACAAATGGAAAATGCATATTAAAAAGTGTACATTTGAATATGCTGTGTAGTACTTTTCAATTTCTACAATAAACTACTAGCTTTCACTGTACTACCACTGCCACTATTTCTTCTTACCCAAAGAGTTATCCAATTTAAGCAATAAGAAAAGCTACAACAAAGCACATTCTCAATCATTAAAATCATATTTATAGTAGGGCTTTGTGTGATAGTGAAAGTGAAAGGATGTAAGGTCGTTGAAAGGTCATGGTTACTTACATTCTGAGTGAAGACGTCAGTTTGCCCACTTTCTAGCATGGTGTCAAGCTCTTCGTCTGTGACATTGTTCCCAGCTAAAGATATAAAACAATATATTAGAAGTTACTTGGAAATACTTAATTGATCTCATTTAGAAGTAAACTATGTAAAGAAATTCCCTGTTACAACAGCAGCACAATAGCACCTTACTTTCACTTCTGATTTTGCCAATATCGAAATAAGCTATAAGAGAGTATAGAGTAAACTAATTAATACAGCAAAAATTCTCCATGTACTTACTGATTTTAAGTTGCCTTTGTATCCGTTCCACATTACGATCCCTGTATTGAGCCTGAATGGTGTTACAGTGGCCCATCAACTCAACAAATTCTTTGGATAAAACACCGTGCTATGGAAAAAAATACAACTATTAGATAAACTTTACACAGATGACCAAGGGGATTAAAGATATGCACTAAGAAAGAAAATACATCCACCTGTGTCCGCTGCATTCTAATGTTTATGGATATATATTTACCATCATCACTTTCTCCCTTTTTGGGTTCAATGCCTTTGAAAAGTACAATAGGTATGCATCAAATTGTGCTATATTTTGGATTTTAATAAAGGAGTTTGAAAAAATTACTCACTTTTTAGTTTTTTCTGTATTTGGCCCGCCATTGTTTTGATCTCATCTCTTAGAGTCTGAAGCTCTTTCTTCATACCTAATCCAAAAAACATGTAGGGTTAGCATTTTGATATTTAAAGGATCATTATTATACACTATAGTAAATATTATAGTGTTAAACTGTGATCAAAGTATTACTTACTGTCCTCTGGTAAAGCCACACCCAGGACAGTCTTCTGCTTGTTCTCAAGGTCAGAAACCATTCTCTTCAGACTCTGCAGGCCCTCATGGATCTCTTGAGCCTTAAAAACAATAAAAACACATGTTAACTTAAAAATAATGTCACCCATTTCAACACATAAACATATGATGTTCTCCAACAACATGCCATTCAATATAAGTGAAAACATGTATCAGTGAAGAAACATATTGACTCTAAAAACATTCAGTTTTCTTATGCTAGGAATCCTACAAAGACTCTGCATGTCTAAATGCAGCATAAGGGATTACTCAGGGATCTGCAACATTACCAAAACCTGAGTGGTGTTTGCAAAATAGAGATTTCCTCCATTCAAGTTTTCAGTTTACACATACCATTTTTTTTAACATAGCCATGGTGCCAAAGTCTTAATTGGCAATATCACAACCTCCCTGTGAGTGCTTCTGCCTAGTTAAAATATGGACCTATGCTCTTAAGTGTAACTCAATACATCCACTTCTCCTTTAAGTTTCACATCATATTGTGTCATTCCAGAAATCCCCAAACATAATTCTATAGTAAACAGACAAGGGTAAAAAGGGTGTCTAAGTTTTCTGAGTGTAGAATGTGATGATCCAGTGTTTTCCATTAATAGAAGAGTCTATGGTGGCCCCCCATAGTCTAAAATTCTCCCATAAGAACTAACGATTAGCCTAACAATATGTCACTTTGCTGCACTTTGTAAAAACATTGCTTAAATATGGAATACAGGCAATAAGAACACTGGGTTTATTAAGGATGCACCTTTTTGAAGAAGGCTTCGCTCTCCTTGTCCTCTTTGGCTGAAGAGGGTCCAGGCCTGCCCATGAGCGCTCTGCCCTCCTCATCTTCATCCGAGGACTCTGCTTTCTGTTGTCATGGTTACAGAGAGAGAAAACATTGGGCACAGTTAAAACATCTCTGATATTATCCATGTGTCCCTGGCATCAGCCGCTGCCCAGCCCTGAACCGGGGTTTGAGGCACCAAGCCGCAACGGAAGTCAATCCAACAGTAACATTACAGAAAGCAAGAGGCGAACTTACGCTTATCAACAAATAATTTCATAACAACATCGTGTATTTTCACAATTGAGTAACATTTAACAAAGGATGCATCCGCCGATTGGTTAAAAGAATGGACTTGTCAAGAATTAGCAGGTTAGCATGCTAAGGCTAAAGATAGCTACTATGTTGAAAACCCACATTTCCTAATTCTTTAGTTCGGTCCCGCATTTTTCACAGAGATGTCGATGCAAATAAAGCAGGAACAATGCCGTTCTATGTGTTGTCTAAATGTGACACACTAGAGTAAACTTGCACAAATGTCATTCAGCTCTCTAAGCTAGTAAACTTCAGTCAGAGGCTTCTTCTGTAGCTCAGAGGTCCGGATCCTCCACTCCGCCCCCTATCGGGCGACAGTGAAGGTGAATGCATAAAACTTTACCAGGCACAAGGTGACGCTGTGTGTCTATGGATCTTACTGGCCAACATCTGAGAGCATCTGCTTCAGAGACCATAGACATGCCACAGACGGTATAAGCATCTGACCTGCACAGAAAACTGCAGCGCGTATGAGATAAAGTTGTTTAAAATATTTTTTGGAAGTTCACTGCTATCTATATCTGTTTGATCGGCTGTATCCATGGAAGTATCTTATTATAGCTCCTGTATCACATATCTATGCATATTCGTGTTTACTAAAGTGAATTTAACATTTACTGAAATTACTTGCTATACATAGAGTAATTTATACACAAATTATGCATAAAAAAGAAAAGAAAAACATGTCATCTCCCTGTTCTTTTTTCTTTTGTCTATTAGAACTCAATTTCCCACAATGCACCGGGGCAGATCGTGGTCGACAGCAGAGAGCTGTCAGCGCAGGGCGAGGGAGAGGAATATTGGTCCAGCAGCAGCATCTGTGGTCGCAGCGGAGCGGAGCGGTGACGGAGACCCGGGACTTGGCGACGAAAATGTGGGTAAATTAAGCGTGACTCCCGGTGGAGATGCACGAAGCGGCCGCGTAAAGTCTGACCCTGCTCCGTCCGACACAGATCACTGCGGAGATCTGACTTTACCCCATCAATGAGATATGTGGAGCGGCTCTACCTCTCGGTGGTAACGCAGAAAAACACAAGATGAAGAAGCAGTTCAATCGAATGAGACAGCTCGCCAACCAAACAGTTGGCAGGTAAGGGGCACTATTTACTCATCACTACAGCGTTTCCCGTATTTGTTTAGCTAAATGTTTTGCCTGCATGCTATCATCATCTGTTTTGTCATTGGTGCGGGCTGTTTGCCGCTCAGCTGGTACGCACAGAGTAGCTGTCACTACAGGTCACGTTTGCACAGGGCTATAAGCTGTGATTGATTGAAGCCTGGAGCAGACTTAGTTGTGGTTCCCTGGTCCATGTTTATCCTTACCGGGCAACCCACTGTTCACTGTCCAGCCACCCTGGTTTAGGATGATAACTGTGCCATGGGGTATTTCAGAATTGTGAAAACAATGAAAAGCTTGTTCATAGGTTATTAAAGGTCCTATATTACACAAAATCGACTCTTGTGAGAAAAAAAACATACCAAAAGATGTTTTGTTTCATTCACACATGTTTGAGTAATTCTGCACTATTGGTCTGTTTACATCTCCAAAGCTCAAAATGCTCTGTTCCACCTTGTGATGTCATCTACTGACAGTTTCGAAGTGAACAGCTCCTTTTAGTTCAGTAGAGATAGGGCTGAAATTATGCAAATGATTCTAGCAAAGGTGTGTGGATGTTTAAAACACAGTGGAGCACTTTCTGTATTATCACATGACATCACAAGGTGAGCGTTTTCTGTTTGAGAGAAAAACTCATACTAAATACGCTGTATGTGTGAATGAAACAAAACACAAATCCAGGTATTTTTGATGAGGAAACCACATATTTACTGAAAACGGTAATAGAGTAATATGGGCCCTTTAATTGTTAAAAATATTAAAGGTAGCATGTCACAAGTCATACTAGGTCATATTATTGACAACAAGAAGATGATTGGTGTAGCTAATGCTGACAGTGAATGTAGTAAATTGTGAAAAAGCCTAAGCAATTACTACACAGCCACTGAACTAATTTAAAATAATAATAACTTCTTCTTTAGGGTGGGTATCTCTCACTCTGCTCCATAGGTATCCAGTTGTGTCTGACTTTAAGAAAACCAAAAGAGACAATATGCATTTGTTGTATTTTGAATTAGTGTCTTTACAGGCTCTTTACAGTAAAAGTTGAGTGATTTATGAAGTTTTGAAGAATCTTATTCCAGAGTTTGTAAAATCCAATGTTAATGACATGTCTGGACAGGTAAAATTTGGCTACATTAGTAATTGATTGTGTTTGGATGTCATAGACTCTCAGATGAAGGATATGCAGGAGGAGATTTCTGTATCTAAAGGAAATATCCAGTATAGTCAAAGTGTTTTATTTATAACAGGTGTTGTGGCTCATTATGCTTGTTTCTTTTTGTGGACTCCACCCTGTAACTGCAAATGAATGTCTATGTCAAATGTCAACACTGTGCCTTCAGCAATTTGGATCAAGTGGTTTCGCTCCTTTGTGGAGGTTACATAACAAGCAACCAACAATCAGATACAGGTTGTAGACCGACTCAGTATTGGACTTATAATTAGTGTAGTACAAATAGTATTTTTTCTTTTTTTATAACAAAGCACATTTTACACGTGGGGGAGCATTATCATTTGAGAGAATAAAAAATTTAATTGTTTAGTAGTACAAATGTTTCATACATTTAAGAAAATGTTTGTAAAGGTCTAAACTACAGGGTTAGCAAGTTTTCATTCTGTTACCTCAATAATAGCAGTCTTTGTAATAGGATAAGTACTATTCACATAGCAATTCAATTTGATGTTCACTAATTACATGTGTATAATTATAGCTAGTTATTTTATACTTTTGATTAGATTATCTCTACATATTTTGATGCATAGAACAGTATTTTGCCAGCAGTATACCATCCTTACTGCCATTTACAATTTCCCATGTCTATCTTTAGATTTGAATCTTTTATTCATTGAGCGGCAAACTACACGTTGCTATAAATTGCTTCTGGTGAGTGGATGTAACATTGGATGGTTGTCACTTGCCTGTGTTAACATTAAGCCTAGTCCTAACAGTGTTGCTTTATTGGCTTACATTTTTGTATTTTATAAAATGCATTACTTTTTAATCTAGCCTTGTACTCTTAACATTTGCTCACTATTTATTGGTTTCAGTTTCCTGTTATACAACATTTTGACTTTTTCTCATTCAAAATAGATAATATTTTTAGGAATGAACCAGCTTTTTCAGTTCCTTTAAACAAAAATAAAAGAAGACAAAACTGATCCAAATGTGTTATGTAGCTGTTATTTATCTCTCAAGTAATGACAGAATAACTTTGTATAAATAAAAGTTCAAACATTATGAGACTTTCTGGGCCAACTACAACCAATCAACAGTCTTATTACATCAATTTAAGTGTCCAACTCAAACATCATCTGAACCGATATTTGGATGCCGATACCCGATCCAGCAAATTTCTCAGTATTTCAGTAAATATTTTCTTTTTAATTGTTAATTGCTCTAGCAAAGCAACTGCCCTAATTTCTCATTCTGAAACCCATGGATATCTTTTCTAATCATGCATAAATTGGTATGTGGCCACAGAAAATACATAAATTTACCACTTGTCCACCCAATGTCTTGCTTGCCAAGTTATAATGACAACTACTTGTTTTCATTGGCGGACAGACCCTGGTAATAGATGAAACTGGCACAGAGATGCTTTCCTGTCTTGTACCTCCCCTGCCTGGCTGTCTGAGAGCGGGCAGGAGGCAGTGATCAATAAGAAAAGTATTACCACAGCTAATGCCCACCTGAGTAGACTTGGCAGAGCAACTGAAACCCGAAAGCAACATTTATCAGCTCCTAAAAAGTGACTGGAAGTGATGCCGGAGGTCTGGGAGACAAGAGCTTTAAGGTGTTTGAAAAGATAAAAACAGTTATTATGAAAAAATATATGACTCCACTGTTATGAATTACCTGGTTATTTGTTCAGTTCTACTGGGGCGTATCTGTGCACTAATGAGCTGTAATCTGTATCTGAAGATGAGGAACAGAAGGGGCAATTAGTCTTATTTAGACTGCCCCAGCTGGCCAACCGGTGGACACACACAGGTAACTTGGTCATATTTGTACCACGACCTTGGAGCTCACCTAATTTTGGCCAGAGGAGAGGAGACACCAGGTGAGCCTGACCTGAGATGCCCTCCAATTTGGGGACTCATAATAATTAGAGACCACAGTTTTGAATTATTACTTTACGGATGTTTTTTTTTTTGTTACTTAATCTGCATAGATATTTTTTGTGAATAGGCCTGTCACGATAACATATTTTGATCAATACTGAAAATTTTGATTGATTGGATATTGACCCCAAGGTATTGGTTCAGTCGATATCCCATTTTGGTCAATAAACTGGTGTAGTAAGACGTTTTACTGGACGATGTTGGCCCAAAAGACCTTGTGATATTGGACGTGTGTTTTTTCAAAGCTGTTCCGTAGTTACTTTATATGATAAATAACAGTTACAAAACGCATTTGGATCATTGTTTACCATATGCTGTTTGTGTTTAAAAGAAATTCATATTTTGAGTCCTTGCTTTATCAGTAGATATCGACAGATATCAGATATTGGCAGATATTTAAAGTCATAGTATCGACATCTGTATAAGAACAGAAAAAGCTGGATCAGTCCATCTCTATTTGTTTGACTAGAGAAAATTTTTTTCTTTTCCTACTGCTTGGGGCTATGAATGAATATACTATTAATTATTAGATTCACATATATTTGCATGTCTTTTGTTAGTGGGGGAATCTCTGGACATCCATTACGAATTGTGAGAAAGTTTTAGGTGATTTTTGCATTCTCATTCATGATTTCTGTGCAGCTGTATCTTGAATCTGTGCCTCCTTAAGTTAACTTGCCCATATGGAGTCATAGCTGAAGTGTCATGTGGGCCTTGTATCTCCAGTCGTTGTAAATACACATCCAGAAGTACCTTATAAAGTGTCTCCATCAGGACAATATTGCTGTGTTAAAGATATGGGTCAGAAGAGGTTCAGACTCTGAGTTAAATTTATCTCTGAAATGCTGCCCGCTCCATTAATCCACCGTAATCGTGTAAACTGAATGAAAACAGCAGAAACAGGAAGACCTAATCCTCACAATGTCACAATTACAACTCATTTACTCAGTTATAGTAAATCTGTAAACCATTAAAATGTTTTTTTGCTCTATTAATGAAAAAACGCTGTTACACAGTTTTGTATTATTTGTACAGTACAGGGAGAAAATTACAGCTGCATTCATACTTGTCCTTGTTTGATCCTGGTTTAGTTCTGAAGTAGACTTGCTTTGATCCTATTCTAGTCCTGATCTAGTACAGGTTTAGTTCCAGGTTTAGCCCCGATTGTTCCATTTTTAGTGGTGTGTGTGCAACTGTGAATGCAGCTTACAAATGTCAAGGTTAGACAGTGAGAAAAAATCTATTATTGAGAGCTCGGGAAAGGATAATCTCCAACATATGAAATGGCCTCTTTTTGTTGCCGTAGCCTGCAAGCAAAAAAAATAATGTTGTTTAAAATCATTCCAACAAATTGCAATGCAGTGTTCAATAATTACTGTCACTCCATCAGCTTTGAAAATTACTATAGTGGATTTCGGTGTGCTCTGGCTGCTGTTAATGGTGTGATTGTTAGCTAGACATCCATTTTGTGCTAGTTATATTGTGCAGTGTCATATTCTGTAGCAAGAAATAGTTAGTATGTGATTGATGGGTGAAACCTGTGACTAATGAATCCCTGCGCTTCTCAGTGGAGCTTGACAACGTCTCCAGCCACTGCCGACAGCTGGACCACTCCGTCACTTCCACAATGAGAAAAACTGATGCCATTCGTGGGTTCCTGCAACATTTTAAAAACCCTTTCCCGAGCAAAAGGTGTATTATATTGTTTTAAATTGTTAATCGCTATGACAACGGGCATAGTTATTTGTCATTCTGTTACACATGGATAGCTGGGCTTGTTAGACAGAGCTCAGCAATGCAAGATGCAGATGGATCCAGGAATGACTGTTCAAATAAAATAAGAAGCCTTC